AATGCACCACATGATTCCATTACCCAATTGTGAAAGCTCAGCAACTTGGTTCCTGCTTGCTGCTGCTGTTGCTTGACAATTTTGAGGTGTTTCTATCTGTGCCAGCCATCTCTGCCTCTCTTAGATTCTGTCCCCAGGGTGTAGATCAGACTATGTGTTTACAAAAAGTTCCATCTTGATTTCGGACCAGTGGCAGCCTCTCATGTACTGGAAATAATTCTTCAAGTTTGGCCATAAGAAACCTGACACAATGCGCTTGAGAGGAAATGAGATAGTCTGATATACATGCAGGAAACTCATTTTGTCTGTGCCAGACTCAGCTGCTACTGAAGCCCATATTTTTGAGGTTAAAAGATATGAGTTGGAGTCTTAGAAGGCACAGTCACATCCCCAAGTTCACTTTCTGCTTTGCTTCACTCATTCTACTAAGCTGCAGAATAGATTCTGAGTGTTCAAACACATAGGGTGTGAAGTGCAGCAGAAAGCTGTACAAACTTCAGTTAACTGGGGTGTAAAAAGACAAGGAAAGTTTTTTGGCAAAATACACCTCTAAATAGGTATTTAAAGCATCAAAGAAACCAAGAAGAAGACAAAGATGAAGATGAAGAGGAAAAGGAAGAAGAAGAAGAAGAAGAAGAAGAAGAAGAAGAAGAAGAAGAAGAAGAAGAAGAAGAAGAAGGAAAAAGAAGAAGGAAAAAGAAGGAAAAGAAAGAAAAACAAAAAGTAATGCCAATGTGTGTGGTTTTGTCTCCAATGCCTCAGCCTCATTTAGAAAGGAAAGGATCAAAATTTGCAGAATGGAAGGGTCACTGTGGAAAATGGACTTTGCCCCAAGGCACTGATGGTGTGTCTGGCCCACTATGTAAGTCCAACCCAGGGCAAAGCCTGGAGCCTGGTGGAGGCTGAGGCCAGGACTCAGGAGTTGAGGCCCCTGGGGCTGAGGTGGCAGAGACTTTGCTGCACCCTCGTGGCTCTGCCTTATTGGGCCTGCAGGGCTGCAGCATGGATGCTGTGGTGGAAATGGGTGTAAGGCAGGAGGTGCTGGCTCCTCTGCATGCTGCACACTCCCTGCTTGACCTGAGCACAGGAAGATTCAAGTCCTCCTTGCTGGAAAAAGAGACTCTGAAGAAGATTCTGGGTGTCCTCTACCAGACACAGATGAACACAGTGACTTCTCAGGTAGGGAGGGCAGGACACCCACCACAGCGGGATCTGCATGGCTTCATGTGTTGGGGGTTTAAAAGTTATCATGAATGATGTGTTGCCTTCTTGAATAAAAGACTCCTTATTTTATATATCTATAAAGTTAAGTGTGAATTTTCTTCTATATGCATATCCTAATTAAATACAAAAGAATATTAAGTCATCCATTTCCACTCACCTATTCAAGAAAATACCAACTATTTATTCTTAAGTGAATTGAACAGAAGAGAAGTAATACTGAATGGAGCACTATAAATAATGCAGTGGAAAAACAAAATGGATAAAACCACAAAGGCATCCCTCCCAGGATGAGAGGTCTGCCATCCCTCCCAGGATGAGAGGTCTGCCATCTCTCTCATGTCCTCACCTGCTGTGCAGGCCTGTGTCTCTTCACTGCTGGGTGGAGAGAGAGCCAGGACACAAACTCTCTTCCATCTCAGGAAAGATCAGGGACATGGCCTAGGACATGGCCTTCTTTCAGCATTTTCAGGGGCTGTAATTTATAATTAACTCAGCTGCTGTGCTGTGGAACATTCAGGGTTTCTAACAGTCTACACCTTAACTGATGAAGAAGAGAATATGGTGTCTTTCAATCTCATTTCTTATAATGACCCTTAGAAATGGAATTTCCAGGTTAAATGTATATAAGGTGAACTTCACAGATTTTTCACCTGAAGCCTCAGCATAGAGTTAGAGCCTGGTAGAGGAAGACTGAATCTGCTCAGATCTATGTGGAGATCTAAAGTCAGAGAGATGGTCCAGGCAGAGGTGCAGGACACAATGGCACCTAGCAGGAACCATGGCTAAAAAAGGCCCAGGTGCAGGCCACCTCATCCTTGAGTAAGTTCTCAGGAAAGCATCACACACTGCACACTGGACAGGAGAGAGCTGGAATGGTTCGAGAGCTCCTGCCTACATGCCTGAGGGCCCCTCTCTCACTCAGGGAAGCTCTGTATGACAAGGTCTGTTACAGAGCCCAACTTGTCTGAATGTTTTCCACCCAGGTGCAGATCTGAACTGCCACATGTGGACTCACCGTAGCTATGGAGCAGGACAGGTGTTTACAGGGAGCAGGTCAGGAGATGGGGACACTGCAGGCAGGTCAGGGTATGAAGCCTTACATAAGAGACCAGGCACTCACCAGCCCCAGTTTCCTCCAGCAGTAACCACACCATGCAAGAGTGTGCATTAAATCTGAGTAACTGAAAGGAATTACTCACAAAATGATATATCGTAGAGATAGTTTGAAGATACAAAAGTAAATGGTAGCATCCGTAATTAAAATGAGATGTGACTCTTAACGGATATGTGGTGTCCATTGATGTCCCCAAACCACATGCATCAGAAGGAAATAGTCTGATGAACAGAGTAATAAGGAGCACAGACAATGTGTAAAAATCACAGCTGCTTAATAACAACAACAAAGCTGGGATACAATAAGTGCACTGGTGAATTTTAGCCAGTATATAATAAAGAATAAATACTGATTGTTTTTCAATTCTTCAATCAAGTTGAAGGAAAAAACAAAAACAACTTCTTTTAAGTGAGAAAATAATACTGAAAATGAAGCCAGACAATAATGTGTTAAAAATAATATAAATGAAAAAACTCTGTTGGCTAATATTCCTACCAAACATACACAAAACTGTTCAGCTAAATGTTTGCCATGTTAACTCACCAGCATATTCAAAATTAACCAACATGATCAACACTGGGCTCAATCTCAGTGGTGCAAGAATGGTCCCTCTCACACAAACTATCTGTTTCCACCGGTTTTAACATGTTGTATCTTACTATATTTTATGATATATAGTAGTATAAACAAAAATTTTTATAGGCAAAGAGATAATATAGAAACCATTGTTCATTTTCTGTTAACTGATTCTAAATACCCTGTAATTCTTTCATTCTCTTGAATGGCTTCACACTGTCTTGATATGCTTGATGCTATAGTATACAAATTTATACTCAAATAATTCAAGGAATCAAGCACTATGGTTACTACTATTATGTTAAATTATCTGGGAGTGAAACACAATTATGCTTAAATTGTTCCATTATGACCAGTGTTGTTCTGTTACAATGTCCTCTTTTATCTTGATCTCCACCCTTTTTTTAAAAATTAAACTATTTTTTATTTTTTATCAATTAAGGGAAAACTAAATTAAAAAATAACGGGATATATTATAGTAACTATTTGTTTTCCTATTAACCTGATTTGAACCCCAATATTGTTTTTTTTAATTTTATTTAAGAGGAAAAAGAGAAAAACACAAAACAAAACAAAGTGGTATAAGGGTACACGTAATACAGAACTACAAAAAAAAAAAAAGTAAGAAATCACCTGTTAATAGATTACATATTATCATCTTAGAAATAGTTGCTCAAATTACAGTATCAAAGAATACAAAGTGGACATTCAAACAGAGAGACTGCAAACAGCTGTGTTCAATGATCCAAAAACATTAATATAGTCAGCTATTTAACACCCCTAAACACACTTGCTGTTATATCCGTTAGAGCTCTTTTTTTTTTCCCCCCTCTCCTGATAGGAAATTCATGGAATTTATCTTTGACTGCCTGGATCTTAATGCCAGCTCTATCTCTTGTCTAACAGTGTGAATAATTCTGGAAACAGTTTCCTCATCTGTAAAATAGAGTGCTCCTTTGGGCAGCACGTACACTAATCTATAAAACAGAGATACTAATGTATGTCATTAATATGTATACATATATACACACATTATATAACACACAAAATGCATAATATTGATTTAGTCTATTCAGAAGATCAAGTTAATTTGTGGAAAGTGCTTCAGCAGTGCTAGTTCATCTTACTTAGTTATTGCCAGCTTTTTTAATTGACATTTAAAGGCCATCTAATTGCCAACTTTCTTTCCATACATTTTCAACATTCTTTGCAACAAATAAAGGGAGGATGTAAGATTAATTTCATAGTCATTATAGATTATATGACATATACAAAGCAAAATTAACATGTTTGGCTCAGGACAGACTTCATCAGCCTACCAGGGAAGGAGTCAAATACGACTTACAATTTGCTTTCAGATACTTCAGTGCTAAATGGATTGACTTGTATTTTGTAGTGAAATCCTTTAATCTTTGCTTAGTTTTCATATAACATAACTCTTTGTAGAAATTTGTGAGTTAGTTCCTTTCTTGTGATATGTCTTCTAGGTTAAATGAAGGCATTTATTGAAGGCTCATTAAGTAATGGGCAATATAGGTGCTTTATGTGTATTAACTCCCTTAATTATCCTAATAAACCTATGAGTTGTAAGTACTATTATTATTCCTATGTTATAGAAGGCTTAATTAACCTGCAGGGATATTTTTAAATTTACCATAATTACACACCTAACAATATTGGAACTGAAATTTGACTGAACTACCTATCCCTTGAGCTCTTACTATCAAATACTCTACAACTTGTCTTTGGATAAGACACATGTATACTTTACTAATCTATTTTAAATTTATGATCATTATATTAGGTCTGAAATAACAATTGAATTAATAATTGTACACCTACCATTTGCTACTTTCTGCAAATGGTGTTCCAAATGTGTTTTGAATTGAACATGAAAGTATTTGAAATAAATTTTAGAAATAAAAAATATGGCCCATGTAAATACAACAGGTAAGACATTACAAAGGGAATGGCCTCCACTCCAGCAAGGTGCACTTTCTAGGCCTACTAATTACATCCAGGGAATATGTCACATGAAATTTGTATCTATTTGTTTCAGGTAGTTTTCTATATTGATAATTCACAGTTTTATTTTCTTTTTTTTTTAATTTTTTTTAAATTTTATTTAAGGAGAAAAGAAAAAAAGCAGAGAAAGGGTACAAGTTATACAGATTTGCAGGAAAAAAATGAACAGTAGGAAATCACTAGTTAATGGATTACATATTGTCATCTTAGAAATAATTGCTCAAGTCACAAAATTAAAGCTTGTAAAGTGGACATTCCATCAATGATACTGCAAACAGTTCTGTTCAATGATCCAATAAAACTCTGTGATATCATTTTCTATCTTATACACTTAAATATACATGCAGTTATATAGTATAGAGCACTTTCTTTTCCTCTCTTTTGTACAATGACTATTACACATTTTGGGTTTCATTGCTCCCATGGTTCTTATTACTTTTTTGGAAGAGAGTAAAACCAAATGAGACATAACAGGACAGAATCGGTCAAGTCAAAAGGGTGGACATAATAGATAATGTGAAAACATAATACAAGGTGATCAACAATGGTTACCATAATGCCTCCCGCTATCTCTAATAGAATTGCCTATATCGTTAGTTACAATACAATTGAACAAAACAGTAAAGAATAAAACCGACAAAACCAAAACATTGGAGACATTGGAGGTCTTCAAAAATAGATAAAAGTCAACGAGAATGGGCGTTATAATGAATCTCATTATCTTCACAGCTGATGCCTAAATTTTCGAACCTGATACTATCCAGCAAAACAGAATAGGGGAACATCAGTTAAAAACCAGATGGTGAGAGTAATACAGGGCTTTAAATCGAGGTAATGGAAAGTCAAAGTGGGTTACTATAATATATCCTGCTATTTTTTTCCTTTAATTAAAAGGATAAAAATAAAAAAGTAAATAATGGAATGGAGATTGAGATAAAAGAGGGCATAACAACGAAACAGCACAGATCAAAACATAACCATTTAAGCAGAATAGTGTTTCACCACCAGATAATCCTGACCTAAAAGTAGTTACCATATTATCTCTTTCCTTGAAATCCTTGGGTACAACTTCGTATACTGCAGCATTAAGTATATCAAAACAATGTAAAACCATTTAAGAGAATGACAGCATTACAGAGTATTTAGAATCGACTAACAGAAAATGAACAATGGTTTCTGTATAATCTCCTTGTCTTTAAAAGGTTTTTGCTTATACTATCGTACATAATAAAATCCAGTAAGATACAACCTATTTGGACCATTGGAGACAGAAGGACAAAAGCTAGATGAGACTTCAAAACAAGATGATACTAAATCAGTATTACCTATTAAGATGTCATTTTCTCCAAAATAGCTGTTCCTATCATCCAATCTTCTCTGCCTCATTTCTATTGAGCTCTTATTCTGTCAGTAGCTGTCAGTTTGTCTTCTTCACTTTGTTCTCTGCTCCATTCGTTGTGGCCTCCATTATTTCTGGATTCTTTGTATTTTTCTTTTTTTAGAATATCCTGCAATACTCTCTGTAGAGTTGAATTGGTGGTTTCAAATTCCCCCAGTTCCTCTTTATCCTGGAAGCACCTTGTTTTTCCATCAATTTCCAGGGACAGTTGTGCAGGATATCTCAATCTTGGCTGGAGATTATTATCTTTCAAAGCTTGAATTATTTCCCTCCACGCTCTTCGTGATTTGATGGTTTGTGCAGAGAAATCTGCTGTAATTCTGATGGGTGTTCCCTTGTAAGTGGTCTGTTTCTTGTCTCTGACAGCTTTTAATATTCTGTTCTTGTATTGAATTACTGGAATTTTTATTATTATATGCCTGGGTGTTGCTCTGTTTGGGTTGTAGATAGCTGGGGTCCTGTATGCCTCATACATCTGAGTATCTTTACCTTTTGCTAAATTAGGAAAATTCTCCTGGATTATTTCTGTGAATAGCTTTTGTAGTTCATTTGTTTGTGTCCCTACTTCTTCTTTTATGTTCTTAATCCTTAAGTTATGGATCCTCTTATCATCTTCTTGTCTTTGTATTATTGCTGTTTGTTTCTTTGTTATTTTTAAGAAGTTTTTCATTTCATTCTCCCATATTACAATTCTGCCCTCCAGTTCAGATAGTCTGTCCTTAGTTTCTTTCAAGCTGTTATGCCAGTCTTGGATAGACTTCTTAGTTTCTTGGTAGTCCCTTTGAACCTGCTTCACGTATTCTATGCTTTCCCTGTTCTCTCCATCAAACAATTCTCCCCTCTTTTTCTGTTCTTCCATTCCACCATCTGTTTTTTCTTGGGTGGTGCTTAGCATTTCTCTAACTATTTTGCATACTTCTAGCTTCAGGTCGTTGATAACTTCATTCCTGAATTGGTCTATGAGGCTCTCTATATGGCGCCTTATGTGTAATGGTGCGGTGTCTGCTATTGCCTGTTTCTCAGAATTGGGGGCTGAGGAGCCTTTCTTGTTGCTGCCTCTTCCCATATTCTCTGTTCCTTATATATGCAAGCTTATATGAGAGGCCCAGCTTCTCTCCCTGTCAGCCACAGCCTGATTGAATTGCACCGGTTAGGTGTTCCCACTCACCGCTGCACACCAGGCAGCCTATGTGGGGCCCGTCCCTCCCGGCTCTGGGATCTGGGTTGGGCCAGCCTACGGGGTCCACCGGCAGCGTCACGCAGGCCAGGCACTTTTCACCAATCCCGCCCGAGAGGGGAATGTGTGGCTGGAGTCGCCACCGCGCCCTGCTCCCGCAGGACTGCTTGGGCCCAGAAAGTCCGCTGGAGTCAAACTGTGGTGGAGTGTCAGTTTCTTTCACTCACCTCGCCACAAGTCAGAACATGCCTCCCTGCCCATCCTGTTGTCGACTCCGTTCGCAGACTCTCGTTCTCAGAGTTTCCATGCGTCTCTCTCCTTGCCGAGCCGATGTAGAGGCAGCCAGCCACTGCGCGGCGGGAAACCCAAATGGCGTGGGGTCCAGCGTCAGCAGCGAGGCTTTTCTGTTCCTGTTTTAGCACCAGGACTGCATTCCAAGTTGGTTTCTCTCAGCCAAGTTCGTTCCTGAGTTAGCAGAGCATAACTCCACCTGCTTATGTCACTTTAGTCCGCACCATACCTGGCTTCTGAGCCTAGTTTTCAGAGAGCCTCCAGTAGTTGCTGTTATCTGTCCGCCATGTTCTCCCAGAAGTCCCGATACTCTATTTTTGAATCATGTACTATGCCCATCCTTCTGTTCTAACCAACTCTGTTTTGTTTAGTCATCTTAAGATTTATTCTCTTCAAAAAATGTAATAAGAATTGTGGGAGTAAAAAAACTCAAAAAGTGTAATTGTTATTGTGAAAAAGAGGAAAGGAAGGTGGTGTAAGGGATATAACTTCATGCTTGAGTGTGTAGGATGGAAAAACATATTACTGAGCTTTTGTTGGATCACTGAACATAACTTTCTGCAATCTCACTATATGAATGTCCACTTTCTATGCTTTAATTTTATAATTTGGACAACTGTTTCTAAGATGACAATATGTAACCTATTAACTAGTGAGTTCTTACTGTATATTTCTTTAAATTCTGCATTACTTGTACCCTTTTACTCCTTTGTTTTTATTTCTTTTTTCTCTTTAATTAAAAAATAATCAATCCTGGAATGGATATCTTTTATTTACTTAATTTTTTGGCACTTGAGATCAAACTCATGACCTCACACTTGCCAGGCAGGTGCTTAAGCCACTGAGCTAAGTCCACAGCCCACCAATTGATATGTTTTACATCTCGTCCTCTTCAGAGTAGTTGCCTCTACTCTTACACTTGATACCAGCAAGCATACCAAATGTGAATAAAATCAGTCACGGCCAAATAACATTCAAACAAACCAGCTTCAAAGAAGATCAGTCATAGAAGACAATGTAAGTAATATAGGGATTCAGTTTTAGTTAATGGAAATTAAGGACAGTTACCATGGTATAACCTGCTATTTTTTGTTATCTCTCTGTGCCCTCAAATCTGAGTAGACAGACCAGAACAAAATATAACCAAACTAAACAGAGCAACAAGACTACTGTAGCTTTTAAATCCTGATACACTTTTAACAATGTCCACTGCCTTCCTTTTTTAGGCAATTCCTCACCTTTCTCCTTCTCAGGATACTATTATTCACTGTTCAGAGTGATATTAGTCTAGTCTCTCATGTTCAATTTCAGCACACATAAAGACAAAGACAGCTAAAGAGAATGAGAGACATTATGGTAGTCATTATCGACTTCCCCAAAATCAGTCTTGAAGACCGAAAAAGCCTGCATCATCCTGTAATTATTTGATTAGTTTTATAATATTTGGTGTATATTTAATGTGTGTGAAGATGGGAACAACTATTTGGAAGAAAACTAGACACAGTAAGATAGACAGTGAACATCTCCAGTGGACTTGCTTTGAAATCTGTGTTTCCTTATCTTGTTTCCTAATGAACTGTTCTGTTCTGTTTTGTCATGTTTAATCTTACCCTCTTTATTAAAAAAAGTGTGTAGGACAGATAGGCATATTAATAACTTTTTGTTGGATCACTGAGGTGAACTGTCGACAGTGTCATTAATTGAATATCACTTTGTATGCTTTAAATTTGTAACTTGAACAACTACTTCTAAGATGACAATACGAAACTAATCAACTAGTGATTTCTTATTGTTTATTTTTCTGAAATTCTGTATTATTTCTACACTTTTATCTTTAAATAAACATTACAATTCACCAAAAAATATGAAATTTAAGTTTTAAAGACAAAATATTAAGTACACAGGCACTATCCATATTTGAAAGTGAAAAGCTCATTTCAGTTTGGCATGTTTAATTACAAGATGCCATGTTGAAGCACAAAAACACTTTAAAAAATCTAGAGAGTTACAAGGAATTAACTGAAAATCATACAACATATGCAATTGAGTAGAGCTCCACCTCAGATTTGTCATTTGTGGAATATTTGTGAAGAAATATTGACATCTAACTTCTTTATTGATTATTTCTTCAGGTCTCCTTGGGATTTTTAAAGTAAACTTGGATCTAAACTGTCTGAACAGTGATTCTTTTTCTATGTATTTAACAAGAAACATGGATTACCATATTTCTCACATTGTTAACCCGCATAGGATCTTTGCCCAGTGAGCTCTTTCAGATATGTAACAATGATCATGTGTGCTGAGAGTATTCCCATAACACATAGGATTTATCTATTTTGTGAGTTTTTTCACGTATTTCACTTACAATCTGGCTGATGAAAGTGTCTCCACTTGCTTACATAGCCAGTGGTTCTTCCCAGTGTGAATTCTTTCATGTGTTTTGCAATGACTGTATGGGGTAAAAGCTTTGCCACATTGTTATATACATAGGGTTTCTTTACCAGTGTGAAGTCATGGATGTATTTTACAATATCCATGTGTGGTGAAAGCTTTCCCACATTCTTCACATACACAGGGTTTCTCAACACTGCAAATTTTTCATGTATTGGACAATGAGCATTTCTGCTGAAACCTTTCCCTCATTCCTTACATATGTAAGTTTTCTGCCCAGTGTGAAGATTTTCATGCATCATGCAATATGTACGTGTGCTGAAACCATTCTCATGATGCCTATATACACTGGTTTTATCTTGAGTGTGAACAATCATATTGCTTATAATGTCGATGTAGGGTAAAAACTTTCCCACATTGCTTACATACATAGGGTTTCTCTCCAATGTGAATTCGTTCATGCTTCCAACAATCTCCCTGTGTTTTAAAAGCTTTCCCACATTGCTTACATACAGAGTGTCTCTCCAGTGTGAATACTTTCATGTTCCTTACAATTTGCATGTGTGATAAAAGCTTTTCCACATTGCTTACATACATATGGTTTCTATCCAGTGTGAATTCTTTCATGTATCTTCCAATCGCCCCATGTGATAAAAGCTTTCCCACATTGCTTACAAATATATGGTTTCTTTCCAGTGTGAATTCTTTCATGTTTCTTACAATCTCCCTGTGTTTTAAAAGTTTTACCACATTGCTTACATACATAGGGTTTCTCTCCAGTGTGAATTCTTTCATGAACCTTACAATTTGCATGTCTGTTAAAAGCTTTCCCACATTTCTTACATACATATGGTTTCTTCCCAGTGTGAACGTTTCATGTTGCTTACAATGTCCAGATCTGGTGAATCCTTTTCCACACTGCTGATATACATGGGGTTTCTCTCCATTGTGAATTCTTTCATGTTTCTTACAATCTCCCTGTGTTTTAAAAGCTTTCCGACATTGCTTACATACATAAGGTTTCTCTCCAGTGTGAATTCTTTCATGTTCCTTACAGGTTGGATGAAACCTTTTCCACATTGCTTACACACATAGGGTTTCTCTGCAGTGTGAACATTTGCATGTGTTTGAAAATGAATTTTACTGCTAAAATCTTTCCCACGTTTCTTACATATATGCAATTTCTGCCCAGTGTGAAGTTTTTCACGGATTACACAATAAGTACATGTGCTGAAAGCTTTCTCACAGTGCTTACATTCATAACATTTTTCTCTGGAGTGAAGACTTTCATGTACTTGACAATATGCACGTGTTGTAAATGCTTTCCCACACTGATTACATATGTAGGGTCTCTCTCCTCTGTGAATTCTTTCATGTTTCTTACAAATTCCATGTATAGTAAAACCTTTCCCGCATTGATTGCATACATAGGATTTCCCTCCACTGCAATATTTTTATGGATCTGAACATTGTGGTGTGTTTCTGTTTCTTTCACATTCACATTACCTTCTGCAGTACAAAGGAATATTTCTTTACACTGATTCCAAGATGTATGTCCATAGTATTTCCCTAGCTTGTCATTTCTGTAAAGAAAAATACAGGATTCATATATAGGATTTATAACCATATTACTAAGTTTTTGTTGGAGAGTTGAACAAAACTGCTTGCAGTCTCGCTGATTGAATCCCCACTTTGTATGTTTCACTTTTGTATTTCATAACTATTTCTATGAGCAGCATATGTAATCATCATCTTGCGATTTCTTACTGTTTATTTTCACTTTGAAAATAGTATTATTTCTACTTATTTTGTTTTGTTTAATCTTTCCTTATATTAAATTTAAAAAAGAACAATTCACAGTGAAATGGGTCTCCGTTTAATGACTGCATTAATGTCAAGTTCTGCTTTTAATGCCTGCTAAGAAATTCAGACCATGAAGCTACAGAATGGACTTGTAAGATATGTTGAAAACAACCATTCCCAAAAGACTGGTACACATTTGGAAATCTTAAAATTGGTACTTTAAAATTCAGAATCTTTAGCTTCACTTTGGGCATGGGTACATATGTGTATCATATATAGATTATTCTGATATGTTTCCCCATCACAATGTCCCTTCTGTCCTTAACCTGTAGTTCCCTTTTCCATATGGTCAGTCTTACTTTTCCCTATCAACTCTCTTTCATTTCATTCCACAATTTATATTTTGGTTTCTCATCTAAAAGAAACCCTGTGACCTTTTAGGTTTTATAGCTGAGCTATTTCACTGAATTGATGGGTGAAAGACCCATCTATTTCTTATGTCAAATGACATTGTATTTTTATGTTTTGACATTATATAACACATATTTTTCTTTTCTGGGCTGGAAATGAACAACAGGTATGAGCATAAAATCTATAGCTTTTTAAAAATCTATTTTAAGAGATTTTCACGGATAATTAAGCTGTGAAGTTTGAACTTGAATTTGCCATTCTGCAAAATCTGATTCCTCGTATGCTGGGTTTAGAAAAATGCACAATCACAGTGAGTCTATTAACATTTTCCTTCTCCACACGTCCAGTGATAGATAGCTAAGCTTCAAGGCCTGATCTGTTATAACTTGATCTGCTTTGTATATGAGTAAGCATGTATCAGTATTTTATGCAGATTTGAGATTTTAAAAATATCCAGGACAAGTATCAGGGGATCAATTTCTAGAGACAACTGCATACTGATATTCAAAATGAGTGCACTAACATTCCACCAGCCTACTAAGAATATTAATCAGAATCGCTGATTGTCTAGAGCATGGCTTGGAAACATGAGCACTCAGTTTTATTTCAAATTCTATTGCAATCTTAGCAATTGTTAGATAATGAATGTGCATAGAAGAAAACACATTCCACATAACTGAGGTACCTGAAATAATAGTAACTGAAATAAAGAAGCAACATTGGGAAGCATCAAAGAAATTCAAACTAGAAATAATCTTGTAGGTAAAAAAAAAAAAAAGAAATGAAGGAGATTCTGAACATATCTAAAGAAGACACAGTTAAAAAATTGGAGGAACTAAACAAAAAGATAGAATCCCTGGATGAACTCTAGAAGAAACAAACAGAATACATAAAGCAGATGCAAAGTGATATACAGGAAATGAAAAACTCCATTGAATATTGTAAAAACTGCCTCAATGAATGTGAAGATACAATCTCAGACCTCGAAGACAAGATTGCAGCTAGTGAACAGGAAAGGAAAGATGTTTTTAAAATAACAAGAAATCACGAAATAACTATTCAACACCTGCAAGATGACGCAAAGCAGAACAACATTAGGTTGATAGGGATAAATGAAAAAGAAGGGGGACAACATAAAGGATATCAAGAGGATATTTAGAGAAGTAATAGCTGAAAATTTCCCAAACACGAGATTGGAAACTGATATCAAGATCAATGAAGCATATAGAAATCCAAATAGCCATAACCAAAATAAATCTACACCCAGACATATAATAATGACCATCCCAGAAATTGAGCAAAAGAATAGAATATTAAAAGCTGTCAAAGAGAAGAGACAGATCACCTATAAAGGAAAATGTATCAGAATCACAGCAGACTTCTCAGCAAAAACAATAAAGTCAAGAAGAGCATGCAATGAAGTATTTCAGATCCTAAAGGAAAATGATTGCCAACCTAGACTGATGTACCCTGAAAAACTGTCCTTCAAAATCAAAGGAGAAATAAGATTCTTCTATGACAAAGAAAAGCTGAAAAACTTCATGATCACCAAGCCAACCCTGCAAAGAATACTGAAAGACAGCCTAGATACATTTAGGAAAAAACCTCTAAACCAAACAGAAAGCTAAAAAGAGCAGAAAGATAAAGATGCAACAGCAGAAAGATAACATGTCAACAATAAACCAATATATAACAGCTCTAACCATTAATGTAAATGGTCTCAATGGACCAATAAAGGAAACCAACTGGCAGAATGGATTAAGAAACAAAATCCAACCATATGCTGTCTACAAGAAACCTATCTAAATCCAAAAGGATACTCGCAGACTGAAAGCCAAAGGATGGAAAACAATATTTCATGCAACAGGAACCAAAAACATAACAAAACAAAACAAGCAAATAAACAAAAAAACAGAGGTAGCTATTCTGTTTGCAGACAATGTGAACTTCAAGCCAATAATGATCAGAAGGGATGAAGAAGGTCACTAAACACTGCTTAGAGGAAAACTCCAAGAGGAAGAGAAAACTATCTTAAATTTATATGCACCAAACTCCAGAGCACCCAATTATATAAAACAAGTACTAACAAAAATGAAAAATCAAATTAGCACTAACACAATTCTAACAGGAGATATTAACATATCAGTGACACCAATGGACAGATCAACCAGACAGAAAATGAGCAAATAAATAAAAGAACTAAATCGCACCTGTGAATAAATGGACTTAATAGACATATACAGAGTACTCTACCCAACAACAACAGAATACACATTCTGCTCAGTATTACATGGGTCATTTTCTGAAATAGACCAAATATTAATTCACAGAGCATATTTAAATAAATGCAAAATGGTTGAAATTATCCCTTGCATGCTACCAGACCATACTACAATGAAATTAGAAATTAATAATAAAAGATACTGCAAAATTCCCACAAACACATGGAAACTGAATAACACTCTTGAGTAATCAATGAGTCACAGAGGAAATTAAAGCAGAAATTAAACAATACCTACAAAGAAATGAAAAAACTAATACAACATACCAGAATCAATGTGATGTAATGAAAGCTGTCCTCTGAGGAAAATTTATGGCACGAGTTCCCACATTAGGAAAACAGAATGAATAGAAATATATAACCTGATGTTATACCTCAAATATCTAGAAAAAGAAGAGCAAGTCAAGCCCAAAGCCAAAAGAAAAGAAGAAATTATAGAAATCAATGCAATAGAGACCAAAAAAAAAAAAAATCCAAAAAATCAATGAATCAAAGACTTGGTTCTTTGAAAGAATAAATAAAATCGAAGAGCCACTAGCCAACCTTATTTTAAAAACGGAAGAAAATGTTCAAATGCATGCAATAAGGAATAAAAGAGGTGAAATTACTACAGACCCTATTGAAATACAGAAGATCAAAAACACCTATTTCGAAAACCTCTACTTTCAAAGGTTTTATAACACAGAGGAAATAGACAGATATCTAAAGCATATGAAGTACCATAGCTAGGTCATGAAGATGTAAATCTACAGAATAACTCAAATTCTATTAATGAAATTGAAAACATAATAAAATCGTTACCTACAAAGAAGAGCCCAGGCCCAGACGGATTCACTGAAGAATTCTACAAGAAATATAAAGAAGACCTAATGCCAACACTCTGTAAACTCTTCAATGAAATGGAAAGGGAAGCAATCCTTCATAAATTGTTCCTAGAAGCAAATATTACTGTAGTACAAAAACCAGAGGAGGACCCAACTGAAAAAAAGAACTACAGAACAATCTCCCTAATGAACAAGGATGCAAAAATCCTCAATAAAATACTGGCAAATAGGATGGAGCAAATCAACAAGAAGATCATTTATCAGGACCAAGGGGGATTCATCCCAAGCATACTGAGATTGTTTAATATATGTAAATAAATAAATGTAATGCACCATATCAATAGAGCCAGAAGTTATAATCACATGATCATTAATATAGATGCAGAAAAAGCTTTTGATAAGGTCCAACATTCATTTATGATAAGAACCTTGCAGAAAATTGGAATAGATGGTCCTTACCTCAATATAATTAAGGCCAGCAATGACAAAACAGCCAGTACCATACGAAATGGTAAAAAATTGAAGGCCTTTACTTTAAATCAGGCACAAGACAAGGATGTCCCTTATCACAGCTCCTATTTAATATAGTACTGAAAATAATGGGCAGAGCAATTAGACAAGACAGAAACATAAAAGGCGTAAAGATAGGAAAAGAAGAAGTTAAATGATCAGTATTTGCAGATGACATGATACATTATATAGAAGATCCCTGAAGCTCCATTGAAAGACTCCTAGATATATTAATTCAGTAATGTAGCTGGATAGAGAATCAATACTCAAAAATCAATAGTATTTCTATACACTAACAACAAAGTCACACAGACAGAAATAAGAGAGGCCACACCCTTCACACTAGCAAACAAAAAAATGAAATATTTAGGAATTACTCTCACGAAAGAAGTGAAAGACCTATACAGGGAAAATTATAACACACTGAAAAATGAAATTGAAGATGATCTCAGAAAATGGAAAGACATCCCTTGCTCATGAATAGGAAGAATAAATATTGTGAAAATGGCCATTCTCCCAAAACTTTTATTCAGATGCAATGCAATTCTGATAAAAATACCATCAACATACCTCATAGAACTTGAGAAATCACCCCTAAAATCATCTGGAATAAGAAGAAACCAAGAATAGCAAGGACAATTAGAAGCAGCAAAAGCAAGGCAGGAGGTACCACAATCCTTGACTTGAAGTTATACTACAAAGCAACTGTAGTACAATCAACATGGGCCTGGAATTGAAACAGAGCCGAAGATCAGTGGAATAGATGAGAAGATACAACCACCACTACAAACACACTCAACTCCCTTATCTTTGATAAATGGGCCAAACATGTTCACTGGAAGAATGACATTCTATTTAATAAATGGTGGTGAAAAACTGGCTCTCCATATGCCTAAAACTAAAACTAGACCCATGCCTATCACCATGTACTAAAATAAAATCTAAATGGATCAAAGATGTAAATATTAACAGAAACACTAAATCTATTGGAAGACAAATTGGGTAAAAACCTTGAAGAATAGGAGTAGGTAGAGAATTGATGAACAGGACTCAAACCTCATAGGAAATGCTTCCCAGAATCAATCATTGGGATCACCTCTTATTAAAAAGTTTCTGCACATCAAAAGAAATCTCCAGTATAGTGAAAAGAAAACCCACAAACTGGGAAAATGTCTTAGTGAACTGGCCCACAGACAGAGGACTTCTATCTAAAACATATAAAGCATTTTAAAAAATGAGTCCACCAAAATTCATAGACCCAATCCAAAAATGAGCATCTGAGATGAATAAACAATTTTGAGATGAAGAAATACAAATGACAAATAAATACATGAAAAAATGTTCACCATCAATGGTCATTAGAGAAATACAAATTAAAATCACATTGAAATTTCATCTCACTCCTGAAAGAATGGCCAAGACCAAGAAAACCACCAACAACAAATGTTGGAGACGCTGTTGGGAAAAAGGAACTCTTCTGCACTGTTTGTGGGAGTGTAGACTGGTGCAACCATTGTGGAGATCAGTCTGGAGATTTATCAGAAACTTGGGACTGGAAGCACCTTTTGACCCAGCTCTTCTACTTCTAGGCGTATTCACCGAGGAACTGAAAGCATCATTCAACAGTGATATATGTGCACGCATTTTTATAGCAGCACAACCAGATCTTGGAAACAATCTAAGTATTCATCAACTGAGGAATGGATAAAAAAGTTATGGTGCTTTTATACAATAGAGTACTAGTCAGCTATAAAGAATAATCACATTGACATATAAATAAATGGATGCAGATTGAGACCATATTAAGAAGTGAAATAAATCAAACTCAAATGTATAAATACCAAATATATTCCCTGGTATAAGAAATGATAATACATAGAAGTATGTGGTAATCATGATACCCAATCATATTGGTTTGAATCCATACAATGTTTTTACTCACTAAGTGCAATGGTTTTATCCTGGGTTTCTCGATTTTAGTATCGAGGATAGTACGAATAGCTATTCTGAAGAAAATAACACATCATAAAAGCTAGTGCTGATTTAATATCTTCTTTGGAACTCCCATCAAGCTGTTGTACATAATTCCACTGGTTTTACCATGTTGTGTCTTAATATATTTTACTGTATGTGATAGTATAAATAAAAATTTTTACAGGCAAAGAGATTATATAGAAATCGTTGTTCATTTTCTGTTAACTGGCTCTAAATACCCTGTAATTCTTTCATACCCTTGAATGGCTTCACACTGTCTTGATATGATTGATTCTATAGTATACGAAGTTATACTCAAATAATTCAAGGAAAGAGGCACTATGGTGACTACTATTATGTTAGATTATCTGGTGGTGAAACAAAATGATGCTTTACTTGTTCAGTTCTGACCTGTGTTGTTCTATTACAATGTCTTTTTTATCTCGATATACACCCTTTTTTAAAAAAATTATACTATTTTTTATTTTTTTCTATTAAAGGAAAACTAAATTAAAAAATAGCGGGATATATTATAGTAACTATTTGTTTTCCTATTAACCTGATTTGAACCCCAGTATTGCTCTCCTCATCTTATTCTGCCTGATTTTACTATATTCTATTTTGTTTGATAGTATCAAGTTTGAGGGTAGAGGCAACCACTTTGAAGGCAATAAGATTTAATATGATGCCCATTATGATTTGACTATTATCTTCTTTTGAAATCCTGTAAGGTCTCCAGTGTAGATTTTATTGGTCTTGTTCTCTACTGTTTTGATCTATTCTATTATAACTGATGATATAGCAACTCTTTTGAGGGACAATGGTAACCATTTTTGATCAGCTGATATTCTATTTTTGATTCAAGTACTATGCCCATCCTTATGTTCTAACCAAATCTGTTTTGTTAACTCACTTGAGGTTTTATTCTCTTCAAAAAAAAGTAGTAAGAACTATGGGAGTAAAAAAAACTCAAAAGTGTAATTGTTATTGTGAAGAAGAGAGGAAAGGAAGGTGGTCTAAAGGATATAAGTGCCTGTTTGAGTGTGTAGGAAGGAAAACCATATTACTGAGCTTTTGTTGGATCATTGAACAGAACTGTCTGCAATCTCGCTGTATTAATGTTCACTTTAGATGCTTTAATTTTATAATTTGGACAACTGTTTCAAAGAAGACAATATATAACCTATTAACTAGTGATTTCTTACTGTATTTTTTTTCTTGAAATTCTGTATTATTTGTACCCTTTTACTGCTTTGTTTTTTTATGTTCTTTTTTTCTCTTTAAATAAAAAAATTAAACCTGGAATTTATATCTTTTATTTATTTAATTTTTTTTTTTGGTACTGGGGATCAAACTGGAAAGCTCACACTTGCCAGGCAGGGGCTTAAGCCACTGAGCTAAATCCCCAGCCCCACAATATATATCTGTCACATCTTATCATCTTCAGAGTAGTTGCCTCTACTGTTGGACTTGATACCAGCAAGCATACCAAATGTGAATAAAATCAGTCAAGGCCAAATAACATTCAAACAAGCTTCAAATAACATCAGTCATCATAAGACAGTGTAAGTAATATAGAGTTTCAGTTTTAGTTAATAGAAAATTAAGGACAGATACCATCATAGTATAACCTTCTATTTTTGGGTTATCTCTCTGTGCCCTCAAATCTAATGAGTAGACAGACCACAAAAAAATATAATCAAAATAAACAGAGCAACAGAACTACTGTAGCTTTTAAATCCTGATTCACTTTTAACAATGTCCTCTGCCTTCTTTTTTTAGGCAATTCCTCACCTTTCTCCTTCTAAGGATACTATTATTCACTGTTCAGAGTGATATTGGTTTAGTCTCTTATGTTCAATTTCAGCATACACAAAAATAAAGACGTCAACTACGAACAGAATGAGACACATTATGGTAATCATTATCAACTTCCCCAAAATCAGTCTTGAAAATCAAAAAAGTGTGCATCATCCTGTAATTATTTGATTAGTTCTATAATGTTCAGTATATATTCAATGCATGTGAAGATGGGAACAAATATTTTGAGGAAAACTAGAGACAGTAAGATAGAAAATGAACATCTCAGTGGACTTGATGTGAAACCTGTGTTTCCTTAACTTATTTCCTTGTGAACTGTTCTGTTTTGTCATGTTTAGTCTTACCATCTTTAAGATAAAAAACAAGTCTGTACAACAGATAAGCATATTAATAAGTTCCTGTTGGATCACGGAGGTGAACTGTTCACAGTGACATTATTTGAATATCATTTTGTATGCTTTAATTTTGTGACTTGAACAATTACTTCTAAGATAACAATATGTAACTAATCAACTAGTGATTTCTTATTGTTTATTTTTCAGAACTTCTGTATTATTTTTACACTTTTTGGGTTTTTTTTCCTTTAAATAAAAATAATTCATTAAAAAATATAAAAATTAAGTTTTAAAGACAAAATATTAAGTACATAGACACTATTCATACTTGAAAGTGAAAAGCCCATTTGAGTTTACCATGTTTAATTACAAGATGTCATGTTGAAGCACAAAGACACTATAAAAAATCTAAAGACGTATAAGTGATTAACTGAAAACCATAAAAAATATGTACTTGAGTAGAGCTCCACTTCAGATTTGTCATTTCTGGAAAATTTGTGAAGAAATATTGACATCAAACTTCTGTATTGATTATTTCTTCAGGTCTATTTGGAATTTTTAAACTAAACTTAGATCTAAACTGTCTGAAGAGTGCTGCTTTTTCTATGTATTTAACAACAAAAATGGATTGCCGTATTTCTCACATTGTTAATACACATAGGATCCAGTGAGCTCTTTCAGATATGCAGCAATGATCATGTGTGCTGAGATAAATACATAACACATAGGATTTATCTCTTGTGTGAATTTCTTCACATATTTCACTTACAATCTGCCTGCTGAAAGTGTCTGCACTAGCTTATGTAGCCAGTGGTTCTACTGAGTGTGAATTCTTTCATGTGTTTTGCAATAACTGTGTGTGGTAAAAGCTTTGCCACATTGTTATATGCATAGGGTTTCTCACCAGTGTGGAGTCATTGATGTATTTTACAAAATCCATGTGTGGTGAAAGCTTTCCCACATTCTTCACATAAACAGGGTTTCTCAACAGTGTAAATTTTTTCATGTATTGGACAATGAGCATTCCTGCTGAAAGCGTTCCCACATTCCTTACATATATAAGTTTTCTTCCCAGTGTGAAGTTTTTCATGCATTATGCAATATGTACTTGTGCTCAAAAAATTCATGATGCTTACATGCACTGTTTGTTTCTTGAGTGTGAACTTTCATGTTGCTTACAACTTCCCTGTTGGGTAAAAGCTTTCCCACACTGCTTACATATATAGGGTTTCTCGCCAGTGTGAATTCTTTCATGTTGCTTACAATGTCCATGTGTGGTAAAAGCTTTCCCACATTGGTTACATACATAGGGTTTCTCTCCAGTGTGAATTCTTTCATGTTTCTTAAAATATCCCTGTGTGTTAAAAGCTTTCCCACATTGCCTACATACATAGGGTTTCTCTCCAGTGTGTATTCTTTCATGTATTTTACAATTTCCCCGTGTGTTAAAAGCTTTACCACATTGCTTACATACATATGGTTTCACTCCAGTGTGAATTATTTCATGTGCCTTACAATGCCCATGTGTGGTAAAAGCTTTCCCACATTGCTTACATATATAGGGTTTCTCTCCTGTGTGAATTCTTTCATGTTGCTTAAAATACCCCCGTGTGTTAAAAGCTTTCCAACATTGCCTACATATATATGGTTTCACTCCAGTGTGAATTATTTCATGTGCCTTACAATGTTCATGTGTGCTAAAAGCTTTCCCACATTGCTTACATACATAAAGTTTCTCTCTAGTGTGAATTCTTACATGAACCTTACAATGTGCACGTGTTTTAAAAGCTTTCCCACATTGCTCACATACATATGGTTTCTCGCCAGTGTGAATTCTTTCATGTTGCTTACAATTTCCATGTCGGGTAAAACCTTTCCCACATTGCTTACATACATAGGGTTTCTCTCCAGTGTGAATTCTTTCATGATTCTTAAAATCTCCCTGTGTGTAAAAAGCTTTCCCACATTGCTTACATACATAAGGTTTCTCTCCAGTGTGAAATCTTTCATGTTTTTCACAATCTGCATGTTTGTTAAAAGCTTTCCCACACTGCTTACATACATATGGTTTCTCTCCAGTGTGAATTCTTTCATGTGTTTTACAATTTCCCCGTGTGTTAAAAGCTTTACCACATTGCTTACATATATATGGTTTCACTCCAGTGTGAATTATTTCATGAGCCTTACAATGTCCATGTGTGGTAAAAGCTTTCCCACATTGCTTACATACATAGGGTTTCTCTCCAGTGTGAATTCTTTCATGTTGCTTACAATGTCCAGATTTGGTGAAACCTTTTCCACAGTGTTGACATACATAGGGTTTCCCTCCACTGCAATATTTTTCATGGATCAGAACATTATGGTGTGTTTCTGCTTCTTTCACATTCACATTACCTTCTGCAGTACAAAGGAATACTTCTCTACACTGATTCCAAGATGTATGTCCACAGGATTTCCCTAGCTTTTCATTTCTGTTAAAAAAAAAATACCACATATAGGATTGATAACCATATTACTAAGTTTTTATGGGAGAGTTGAACAAAACTATTTGCAGTCTCGCTGTTTGAATCCCAATTCATATGTTTCACTTTTGTATTTCATTAAGTATTTCTATGAGCAGCATATGTAATCACTGTCTTTAGATTTCTTACTGTTTATTTTCATTTTGAAAGCGGTATCATTTCTACTTACTTTGTTTTTTTTTTACTCTTTCTTTACATTAAATAAAAAAATAAGAAACATTCACAGTGAAATGGGTCTCAGTTTAATGACTGCATTAATATCAAGTTTTGTTTTTAATGCCTGCTAAGAAATTCTGACCATGAAATAACAGAATGGCCTTGTAAGACATGTTGAAACCAACCATTCCCAAAAGAATAATACACATGTAGAAATCTTAAAATTTGGTACCTTTTCAAATGCAGAATCTTTAGCTTCACTTTGGGCAAGGGTACATATGTGTATCACATACAGATCATTCTGATATGTTTCCCCATCACAATCTCCCTTCTGTGCTTAATCTGTAGTTCCCTTTTCCATATGGTCAGTCTTACCTTTCTGTATTAACTTTCTTTCATTTCATTCCACAATTTATATTTTGGTTTCTCATCTAAAACAAATCCTGTGAACTTTTAAGTTTTATAGCTGAGCTATTTCACTGAATTGATGGGAGAAAGAACAACCTATTTCTTATGGCAAATGACATTATATTATTTATTTTTTGATATTATATAACACATTTTTTTTCTTTTCCATGTTGGGAATGAACAAAAGCTATTAGCATAAAATCTACAACTTTTTAAATCTGTTTTAAGACATTTTCGCTGATCATTAAGCTGTGATGTTTGAACTTGAATTTTCCATTCTGCAAAATCTGATTCCTAGTGTGCTGGATTTACAAGAATGCACAATCACAGAGAGTCTATTAACATTTTCCTTCTCCACAAATCCAGTGAGAGATAGCTAAGCTTCTTCAAGGCCTGATCTATTATAACTTGATCTGCTTTGTATATGAGCAAGCATGTATCAGTATTTTATGTGGATTTTGAATTTTTAAAAATATATCCAGGACAAGTATGAGGGGATCAATTTCTACAGACAACTGCACACTGATATTCAGAATGAGTGCACTTAACATTCCACCAGCCTTCTAAGAATTTTAGTCAGAATGGCTGATTCTTTAGAGCATGGCTTGGAAACACAAGCACTCTGTTTTATTTCAAATTCTATTGCAATCTTACTAATTTTTAGATAATGAATGTATTGTATTCACATGCATATATGGGTAGAAAAACTGAAGGGAGAATGTCATAACTCAAAGTGTATGCCTTTTGTACACATCTATATGCAATGACATACATTTTCATGATTTAATCCACTCATTATACATACCCTAGCTTATACATCTTCGGAGAATATTACTGACAATAAATTGAATGGTGCCTCATTTCTTTGGCGGTCATTTTTCTGCTGACTCACTAATTACTCAGGAACATTCCTTCTCCTTATGAGCGTGAATTACCTTAAGTATCTCCAGTAAATTTTGCATTCTTTTTCAGCTTCCTGGATATCCCCAAGTCCTCCTGAATTGTAGACATACAAATACCAGCACCCATTAGAATAATATACACAAATTAATAGATTTTGTTTAGAGTTATGATTTAATGTGCCCAGGTCTGAGCTATTTTTAAAAATATATTCACATTGTTTTTAATGAAACAGCACTGATGAGCGACATACAATATTCTGACAGCATGAATGACAAAAGTATTTTGTCCTTACCTATTGCAGTCATGTTCCTAAAGGTTTCGTCCATCACATCTCTGTAGAGGTTCTTTTGGGATGGACTCAGCAAAGTCCACTCCTCATTGCTGAAGTTCACGACCACATCCTCAAAGGTCACCACCTCCTAAAGGATCATACATATATTTCTCACACGAAGGTTGAGACACCAGGTTTTGGGATATCTTATATTCTCTCCTACAAATTTGAATCAAAAGCAAAGTGTGGTGGTATATATCTATAATTCCAGCACTCAAAATGCTGAGGCAGGATGGTTTCAGTGAGTTCAGGGCAATTCTAGGCTCCACAGGATGTTCAAATCTATCTGATATACATACAGAAAGCTTGTCTCACTAAAACAAAACAAAAGTAAACAAATACAACCAAACAAAACAGCTGAATGAAGACTGATTTCTTCAAATTTAAATCCATGTCTTGGTCATTAATTTTGTGTATATGCACATTTTTGAAGACAGCAAATTTGATGATAGATTGCAACTCACTGCTAATGTAAGAGTGAAATAGGAGCACTGATTCTTGTGCTGAGTCACAGCAATATTCCCTGTGTACTGTCTCTAAAGCAGAGCTCACAGTGAGAAGCCTGTTGGACCAGCATCCACAAAGCACAGAACCAGATAAATATCCCATCAATCAAATGGGAAGCCAAACAAGCACCTCCCTTCCCTGGTAAGTGGTGATGATGTGCCAGACTGTGGCCTATCCAGGGGGAAACCAGCAGCAGCTCCTGAGATCCATGCCATGCTGCAATTTAGGACACTTGGAAGGCAAGCAAGCACCACTTCTCCCGGGTAAGCGGTGGCGGTCTCGCAGAATGTGGCGCTTCCAGGGGGAGAATCAGCAGCAGCTCCTGAGATCCACGCCATGTGGGAACTTAGGACGCTGTGAAACCAAACAATCGGCCTGTCTCCCTACTAAGCAGTAGTGAACCTACTGATGTACGGCCTAGAATCAAACATCCCACTTCCCTACCCGTCTTCTCCTGTCACCCCCCCTCCCCCCATTAGCAAATGGGAACCAGAAATCTGAGCATCTCCTGGGAAGCAGACCATAACAAATAAGGGGGCCTTCCTTCTACTATCTCTTTGGAGGCAAATATTTTTATTACTGTTTTGCTCTATTCTGATTAATGGTATTGCTCTATTCAATATTCTGTTTTGATAAGTACTATAATGTTCTGTATTTCATCTCATTTTGATATATGTGTTTGAAAGAACAACTATTGGGGCTGGGGATTTAGCTCAGCGGCATAAGCACCTGCCTTGCAAGAAGACAGTCGTGGGTTCGATCCCCGGTACTGATAAAAAGGAAAAAGACAAAAAAAAAAAAAAAACACAACTATTATAAAGATAATAAAGTATACTGTGATACCTATTACTGTTATCGCAGTAACCAGTTGTGAAGTTGTGTACCATTTTCACTGTATGATCTTAGTTGGCCTTATTCTGCCTTGTTCTGTTGTATTTTACCACTTTCAAAATTTAAAAAAAGAAAAAAAATCTCATCAATCACTTTGATAGGCTATAGATAATGTCTCTTCAAATCTCATTTAGGCCAGTGAGTACTTTGTTCTTAATATACTTCAGCAGCATTTTGAAACATGAATTTGGTTTGATAGAACAAAACATAAATAACATCCAATATGGTACACAAATAATAACTCAAATGTTAGTGAAAAATGCTGTTTGTAAAAAATAAGTATATAAAAGGGAATGAGGCCCAAGATGTAATTTATAGCTCACTGTCACCAAGCGTTCACTTTCAATTCACATATAAGAAATATGTCCTGTGAGGCTGGTGAAGGACTTCTTCCTTGAATTTGGGGCTATCCTAAGTTACAGAGCTGTCTAACATAGAGAAACCGTGACTGTGACACCCCACAGACAAAGTGAAACTTGAAAAGAGACTGCATAAGACACCTTTGGTTTGCTTTTAAAAATTATAGCCATACAATATGGAAAAATTCCAACAATATTCACACTTTCTGAGAAACAATGTGGATATCTGCCATACAACAAAGAAAACACTTTCATAGTTGGGTATTTAGCTCAGTGGCATGAACGCCTGCCTGGAAAGCATAGGTCATGAGTTCGATCCTTGGTACAAAAAAATCCACATTTTACCTTCATGACACTGGGGCATAATTAGAGATAATCCAAGTTAGATCTGAAGTATGGAACAGAAAATTCATGGGTTGACAAGGATGTGAAACACTGATTGTTGCCAGAGCTGGTTTTGATCACCTCAATGAAGCAATCAGAACCCAACTTTAACTTCACACTTATCTAAGAACTACCTGAATTTCAGTGAAGACCCTCTCTGTTGTATGCCCTGCTTTTGGCTTCCTGCATTCTGTCAGTCACTTGTACATCCTTTCCACGCTCCTCTGATCCATCCTCTGCAGGAAACCCTTAATGCCTAACTATTGATATCACTGCAAAATTTAGAGCTTCTCCTTTACACCACTTAGTAAATTCCATTGCAGAGCATTTCCATATTTAACTGTCTATGAACAACCAAGCCACTAAATCAGCTCTTAATTCAGAGATGACACACCTATTCCTTTCCACTCAAAAGGATATCACGTGTATATGTCCATGCAAATGCCTAAATTTCAGCATTTTTTGATGAGAATTTAACAGGTAACCCTTTCAGGAATTTGTCCTTCACAAATTTTTAACCTGTCCTTGATAACACTTTCATATTTGCTTCATTTTTCTCAGACTTCAAAACCCTATGGCTGTTCTCACAAGCCTAGTCTGTGAGCAGGCGTGCCACATAAATACCTAAGTATGTTCAGAAATTATTTTGCACTGATCCATATAATACACAGGAGTTCATGAGTTGTTTGGGAAGCCTTTTTCCACTGAGGCACACTACTACACATCTCTGAATTCTCAGGACCTTTGAGACTACCTGTCATGAGGACGGAAATATGAGAACATACTATAAATTGAGGAGATCGCTACAAATACAAAAAAGCCCAAGTTTAAGTTGAGCCATTGTGGCTATGAGGCCCTGCATTACAGACATTAATAAACTTTGGACATTCCAGATCTGCTACTATGAGGAAAGAGAGCAGAGACCTAGCTCATTACTGCTCTACAAGCTACAAAAAGTATCATAGTCAGGGTCTTCTCAAGCTCCTTCCAATGCCTAAGATTGTGGAGTTACCAGGCCAGCAGTGAATTTCAAAGATGATACTTGAGTCTGCTGCTGTCATAGTGAAGCCAGGGTTCTGGGGACCCCAAATCACCCTTGCCAACAGCAAGAGGCAAAAGGGACAGTGAATGACCCATGGACAATGCTGGAGGACCTCAGGAGCTGAAGCTAACTAAATACCTGAGGCTCCAGACACTGGAATTACTTCTAAATACTTGTAACTGGTTTCACCCAATCCACCCTATCTCTGGCCTCCCATCCACAACCTCACCATGCCATGGCTCCAGGATCTCTCAGGTTCTTTGCTAATCAGGCCACAGGACATCAAAAGTACTAAATGAGATGCAGCAAGCATTTTGCTACCAGTATTCTACTCAGAAAAGGTAAATCATGCTGAGACACTGGAAGAGACAAAAGTCACAGCCAGCAATGGCCTGAAAATTGGACACTTCATATAGCCTGCCCCTTCATCAATGATTGACTCCTGCTCTACTGCTCGCCTTCTGAGTCAAGAATCAACAGGGAAAGGAACCCCTCCCTGCAAGAGAGGATCTCAAAAGATAGACTGTAGAGCAGGGACTTCTGGAGCTGCCATTCTTCTACAGTGGTGAACTCAGCTCGACCAGAGGAGTGTTTGTACTGAAGAGCTTTACCTCAGTCTTTTAATTTTCAAATCCATTTTATTTCAATGAAAAAAGAACACATCAACTAAAATTAAATTTCAAAACATGTCAATTGGGGGTAACACTTGAAAATACATTGCACACTGTAATCCCCAGATCATTCACCCAGAGCACAAGACATCTGTAATCAATTATCCAAACAGTACTGTTACAGGCACCTAAGTTAGTTAAATAGTATTGCCATAAGGCAGGGCTAGGTCCTCCAAGGAGTCCATGCAGGAGACGAGATACCATGCAACTATGGGGAAGACTGACACGTCATGCTATGGGCCAAGTCTCAAGACAAATGATAAGCAAATTCATCCATATCCTAAAGACTGATATTCTAAATAGTGCCTTAGCACTCTGAGGAGGTCAGGACTCACCATTCAAAGAAAAGTATGCTTATTCTAAGGACTGACATTTTAAATATCTCCTATCATCCTGATGAACTCAGGTGTCACCCTCCCATAACCCTAAGGGAAAAGTCACAGCTGCCTAAGAATGCCTGCTTCCTATGTGACTCCCTTCCCCTTTGTTCCCAATTTAATCAACTTTTACATGAACTTATAATCTTATTGGCTACCATAGCTCTGTCCCATCTTATGCCCATCTGCATTGTGAGTTCTGATTTTTCCCCACCTTAAACTCAGCTTACCACATGATTTTACTCTACAAAGTTCCCTAGAAAGACAGTGTTTGGCATCCCGCTCAGGACCCCTTCTCTCTCTCAGGTGGCTTTCTTTCTCTCAAGAAGTATATTGTGCTCTTAATTTCTGTTGTTCCTAAAATTCATTCTTTCACTTTAGAGAACCCAAACTCATACCACACATGGAAGGTCAGGAATTTCATTCCACTATATCAGGGTATGGTTGCCTCTATTTCTAACTAACTCAGCTGCCTGTAAATTTAAGAATTGTTTATCAATTTGACTTGGAGTAACTGTAGCAAATAAAATGTTCTTAATGAATATATGGATATATATCATTAAAATGAAAAAACGATTATCACAGTTTTTCTACCTAGAACCAGCCAACATTTTCAACTTTCAAGTATGTGGGAAAACAAAAAATAAAACCAACTCAGAAAATAGCAATCCTATAAGGGACAGTATATCATTCACTGTAATACCCATGTTATCTGCAGGTATTTCATAGGTCACAAAAGAAACATTGAGCTTATTAAATACCAAGTATCAGTTTCAATAAATGTGCTCATAGCACTGCATCATTGACAATTGTGATTTTTTTTTCTGTATGAGGGATTGAACTCGTGACCTTGTGCTCTCCAGGAAGCTCCTTGTATCCTTGAGTTCAATCTCCAGACCCAACTACTTTAGATCTAAATATGACTATTAACAATGTTTAATTTGCCATTGACATATTTAGTTATAAATTTTGTAAATCTTAATTTTCACAAATGAAATTATTTTCTTTCCTTGCAGTTTAAATTACTTTTTTTTTTTAGGTACCGGGCATCAAAGCTACAACCTAGCACTATCCAGGCAGGTGTTTCTGCCTCCGAAGATAAATCCCTGGCCTGTAGTAATGAATATTTCACTTTATTCATTCAAATAGAACTGTGATTTTAGCAAAGGATATCAATGTAGAGAGAAATTGATATACAATGAGAGAGGAACTGGAACCTCAAATAGTTAATGCAAAAAACTAAGTACAACAATCACTGCTACAGGCACAGCTGAAGAAAGCCAGACCTGAAGGTGAAGATGAAGTGACCAGGTCTACATGGTCCTGAAGAGAAAAACAACAGTTTGCAATGTACTACAGTTACCACCACCTCCTCCAGGAAGTTCAGATGGGCATCAATTACCATATTCAATGACCAGAACACCTGGACTATTGTTCCCACAAAATGCCTTGGCTCTTTCCACATACCTTTTCTGGCTGACTTGTTCCCCTGTTGAATATTATTAGTTAAGCAGCTATAAGCTTATAGGTTGATTGTAGTCTGAGACCCACACTGTACTCACATTGTGACTTTCCTGTATAAATGACCCCTGAGAATAGGTCTGGGCCAAAAACCCAAAGACCACTCCTGAAAATTCAGGGCTATTCTTCCTTCTTTTTTTCTAAGAAAATTTTTGAACTTCTTTTGGTTTATGACTTCATTTCTCAATGTTGTGAGCCATTAAACTTGCTGCATTTGATATCAAACAGGGCAGGATTATATTTCTCTTATTTCAATTTAAATATGAAATGTCTGCTAAAGGCCATGTTCCAAAGCCAGAATTTCAGGCTGCTTGTTTGCCCTGAGTTTAACATTTCCATGAGCTTTTAGAAGTCCTCTGTCTAGTGAACTGCAAATGTATTGGAGGAAGCAGGTCACTGTTGTCCTGTAGCACAATAGGTGCCATTCCTAAGTCAGTGTTAGTCCCTGCCTCCTGGATGCCACTACATGGACTTCTTTCCTCTGCAACATCATTCAATAATTCCCATTTTTCATAACTGAAATTTCACTCAGCTCTATTATTGTTTGTTTTTAATAATTTTTCTGTCTACTTGGTTTTTTTTTTTTTTTTCATTTTAGTTTTTGGTTTAAAGACATAGTCTCACTTTGGAGTTCTGGGAAGCCTTGCACTCACTATGTAGGTTAGGCTGTCTTTGAATATATGGCCATTCTCCTGTTTCAGTTTCTTCATTGCTGGGGAAAAGAGGTGGGCATTATAGCACATGATGTTTGTCTTTTTTCTCTTATCCTTTTCACTACTATTCTTTCATTTCAGGGGCACTGTTATTTAATCCTGAGGTTTGCTTGTGTCAGTAAGGTTTCTGCAGCTTGAGGTGATTTTGTGAACAATAATATAGGAAGCCAAGCAACCCAATTGAGAAATGTGGAATTTCATTAGCTGCTCTCAGCACCACTTGTATACAGAACCCCCACCCCCATTTCAGGATCTAAACAAGAGGCTCTGAACTGGAAAGTTAGAGATGTTTTAAAAGATAGAATCACCAAAAGATAGTTGGAAATCATTTAGCTAGAATCTTATAATAATTTTTGGATAACAACTGTATTCTGCTTCTTTTGTTGAGCACGTTAATTTTTTTCTTTGTTTACAGCTCATTTTGCTTTTCTCCTGGGACTTATACCCTGAGTGATTTTCCATTTTTCTGAGTGAAATACAGGGCACTAGTTAAATGCAAAGCTCAAGATGGCATCTATTAAGCCAACCTACAACACAGCTAAGTTACAAGCCTCAATATTTTCTAGGGTAAAAACACACAGATCTATAATCCCAGCACTCAAGAGGTTCAGACAGGAATGCTGCTTTGAGGTTAGGGCAATTTTGTGCTCCATAAATGGTTCAAATCTAGCTGATATACATAGAGAAAACTTGTCTCAATAAAACAAAACTAAACTACACAAATAAAACCAAACAAAACAGCTGAATGGAGAGTGATTTCTTCAAATTTTATTCCACATCATGGGGATTAATTTTTGTATATATACATTTTTGATACAGCAAATTTGATGCTATATTGCAACTCACAGCTAACGTACCAGCCAAACAGGGGCACTGATTCTTTTTTTTTTAAAGAGGGAAAAAGAGAAAAACACAAAACAAAACAAAGCGGTGTAAGGGTACACCTAATACAGAACTACAAAAAAAAAAAAACATAACAGTAAGAAATCGCCTGTTAGTAGATTACATATTATCATCTTGAAAATAGTTGCTCAAATCACAGTATCAAAGAATACAAGGTGGACATTCAAACAGGGAGACTGCAAACAGCTGTGTTCAATGATCCAAAAACATTGATATAGTCAGCTATTTAACACCCCTAAACACACTTACTGTTATATCCCTTAGAGCTCTTTTTCTTTTCTTTTTTCTTTTTTTTCCCTCTCTTGCACTGATTCTTATGGTGAGTCACCGCAAGAGTCCCTGTGCACTGCCTCCAAGGCAGAGCTCATAGTGAGAGCCTGCAGGACCAGCATCCATAAAGCACAGAGGCAGACAAATATCTCATGAATCACTTTGATGTACTAACAGTAATATCTCTTCAACTCTCATTTAGGCCACTGAGGCCTTTGTTCTTAATATACTTAAGCAGTATCTTGATATTTAAATTTGGTTTCATAGAACAAAGCATAAATAACATCAAATATGATACATAAATAATAACTCAAATGTTCATGGAAAACTGATGTATGTTAAAAATGTATAAACAATGAAATCAGGTACAAGTTTCAAATTATAGCTCAGTGTCACCAAGTGATCACTCTCCATTCAGATATAAGAAATATATCTTGGGAGGCTGATGCAGGAGAACTTCCTTGAGTTTGGGGCTAGCCTAAGTTACAGAGCTGTCTGAAATATAGAAACCCCGACTGAGACACCCCACAGACAATGTGAAACTTGAAAAGTGACTGCGTACGACACCTTTGATTTGCTTTAAAAATTATATCCATACAATATAGAAAAATTCCACAATACTCAACATTTTCTGAGGAACAATGTTGATATCATACATAGTATACAGAAAACACTTTCAGAGCTGGGTATTTAGCTCACCAGCATGAACACCTACCTAGCAAGCTTGAGATCATGAGTTCGATCCCTGTTACAAAAAAAATTCAAATTTCACCTTCATGACACTGGGTCATAATTAGAGATAATCAAAATTAGATCTCAAGTGAAGAACACAGAATTCATGGGTTTACAAGGATATGGAATACTGATTCTTACCAGACTTGGTGTTTTTCACCTCAAGGAAGAAATCATAAGCCAACTTTAACTTCATGCTTACCCTAAGAACTACCTGACTTTCGGGGAAGACCCTCTCTGTTGTATATCCTGCTATTGGCACTCTGCGTCCTGCCAGTCAGGTCCACATCCTTTCCATGCTCATCTGATCCACCCTAAGCAGAAAATCCTTCAGGACTAAACTATTGATATCCCTGCACAATTTCAATTTATGGCATCTCCTTTACACCACTTAGTAAAGTCCACTGCAGAGCATTTCCAAATTTCAACAATGTATATGATCAACCAAGCTATTAAATCACCTCTTAATTCAGACATGACACCCATATTCCTTTCCATTCAGAAGGATATCACGTGTATATATATGTTCATGCAAATAACTAAATTTAGGCATTTTTCAATGAGAATTTAAGAGGCAGCCCTTTCTGGAATTCGTCTTAGCAAACACAGTTTACCCTGCCCTTGATGACACTTTTACATCTGCTTCATTTTACTCAAAATTTAAACCTCTATGGCTGTTCTCCCAAACATCGTCTATGAGCACATGTGTCACATAAAGTATGTTCAGAAATTCTTTCCATTTTTCTCTATAATACACAGCATTTCATCCGGTGTTTGGGAAGCCTTCCTCCACTGAGGCACATCACTACACATCTTTGAATTCTCAGAACCTTTGCCTCCACCTTTCATGAGCATGGAAATACGAGAACATAGTATAAATTTAGGCGATCACAAAATACATAAATGCATAAGTTTAAGGAGAGCAGTTGTGCCTATGAGGTCCTGCATCACAGACGTTTATAAACTTCTGGCTTTCAGATCTGCTGCTGACAGGAATGAGAGCAGAGACCTAGCTTATAACAGCTGCATCCAGCTTGAAACCACATCGGAATCAGGGTCTCCTCATGCCCCTTACTGGGCCCAGACTGTTGGAGGAGCAAGGGCAGCAGGCGATTTCAAAAATGGCATTGTGGACTGGTAGTATCACAGTGGCGACAGCGTTCTAGGGACCCAGAACTGTCCTGGCGCCAGCGAGAGGTAAAAGGGACAGAGGATGACTCACTGCTAGCAATAGAGGACCTCAGGGTCTGAGGCTAAGCACACAGGCGCTAGACAGCACAGCTGCTTCTCACCACTTGTTTCTTTTTTTTTTTTTTTCCTTTTCGTTTCTTTTTTTTTTTCTTTTGGTCTTTTTCCTTTTTATCAGTAGAGGGGATCAAACTCATGACTGCCTGCTTTCAAGGCAGGCGCTTATGCAGCTGAGCTAAACCCCCAGCCCCTTCTCACCACTTCTAACTGGTCTCAATCGGATTCCACCCCATTTCACTGCTCCCATCCCATAACATCACCATTGCGTAGATTGGAGGTCTCCCAGGTTCTTTCTAAGCAGTCCACAGCGAATAGAAGCAAAAAACAGTGGTCTAGCAAACATCTAGTGCTCCCTTTTGTGCCCTGGCCTTGCAATTGACGCCATGACACCGGAAGACACCGCCTACCTTTGCCCGCCTGATTGGACAGTTCTTCAGCCAGTCTCTTCATCACTGATTGGCTCCTGCTCTCCTGCCTGCCTTCCCCACCAAGAATAATTGCAGAAAATAAAACACCCTGTAACTGTGGATCCCCAATGAAAGCTGGTGGAGGCTTCTGGAGCTGGCTGTTTTCTGGAATGTTGACCTCAGCACGTCTGATGGGTATTTGCACTGAAAGTCTTTACCTCAGTCCTTGTTTTTTCTCCCACACCCATTTTCTTTGAAAGTTAAAAACTAAAAAATGTGGTCCACCGATTTAGCTTAAGTACCTGCCTGGCAAGCTAGAGGTCCTGCATTCCACACAAGATCTGGCTACCACAAACTGCTGCTATAAACGTGGGTGCACATATATCACTGTGGTATGATAATTTTTATTCTTTTGAGTAGATACCCAGAAGGAGAATAGCTGAGTTGAGTGGGAACTGTAGACCTAGTTTGTGTGGAATCTCCACACTGATTTCCACAGTGGTTGCTTTACCACCAACAATGGAGAAGGGTTCCTTTTTCCTCCACAACCTCTCCAGGATTCGTTATTGCTTCATTTCTTGACAGTAGGCATTTTTTCTGGGGCAAGGTGACATATCAGTGTTATTTACTTTGCAATTCTTAAATGACGAGTGATGCAGAACATTATATCACATATTTATTTGCTGTTTCTATTTCTTCATCTGAGAACTGTGTATTTCACCTCAGATGCACATTTTTGGATTTGGTCTTTAAATCTGGGAAGACTGAAATTTTTTAGTTTTTCATGCTCTCAATAGTAATACTTTGTCTGAAGAACAGTTGGCAAACATTTTCTCTCACGTTGTGGGTTGTCTTTTCACTCTGTTAGTTATTTCTAGCTGTTAAAAAGTTTTTCAGTAGGGTGAGATTCTCAATTCTCTTCGATTTTTGCTGTTCAAAAATCGAAGTTTTCTTCATAAAGACTTTGCTTACATGAATGTCTTCAAGAGTTTTACTTACTCTATCTTGCAGCAGATTTAATGTTTCTGTTTTAATATAAGATCTTTGATCTATTCTGATCTTAGCTTAATACACTTTGAAAGATAATATTCAGAATGTATGGAGCCAGTTTTTCCAGCACCATTTATTAAAGAGACTGCTTTTCTTCCAATGACTCTGTTTGGCACCTTTGTCAAAGATAAGATGGTTTAGTGGTCTGGGATTGTTTCCCCATCTTCTAATTTGTTGCTTTGATCTTTGCATCTGGTTTTTGTTTGTTTTGTTTTTTGTCAGTACCACATCTTTTTTTTTTATCACAATACCTTTATAGTATAATTTCAAGTCAGGGATTTTGATGAACCTTATCTTTCCTTTGTTGCCCAGGATCACCTTTGCTACTCTAGGTCTCTTCTGGTTCCAGATGAATTTTAGGATTTATTTTGTGTAATTCTTTCAGATATGCTATGGGGTTTTGATTGGGATTGCACTAAATCTGTACAATAGCTTTGGAAGTATGGTCATTTTCACTATATTGAATTTCCCTACCCAAGACTATGGGATAGCTCTTCATTTTCAAATATCTTCTTCAATCTCCATTTTGAGAGTACTGTAGTTTACAATGTAGAGATCATTTACATCCTTTATTAGATTGATTCCTAAGTATTTCATTTGGTTGGATGCTATTGTAAAAGTTATTGTTTCCTTGATTTCTCTTTCCATGGGTTTTTTATTCTTGTTTATGAAGTCTATTGATTGTTGAGTGTTGCCTTTGTAACCAGCTATATTACTGAATTTGCTTCTTAAACTAGAAGTCTTTTGGTGGAATTTTTAGGGTCTTCTACGTAGAGTATCATGGCTTCTTCAAATAATGACATTTTAAGCTTTTCCTTTCCTATCTTTATTCCTTTTATTTCTTTCTCTTGTCTAATTGCTCCAGCTAGTTTCCAGGACTATATTGAATAAGAGTGGAGACAGTTGTCTCCACTTGTTTTGTTCCTGATTTTAGAGTGAAAGCTTTCAGTGTTTGTCCACTTAGTATGAGGATGACTGTTGGTTTGTAATAAAAGGCTTTTATCTTGAGATAAAGATCATCTCCCCAATTTTTGTAGGTTTTTTATTATGAATAGGTGATGCACTTTGTCAAAATCTTTTTCTGCATCTATTGAAGTGATCAAATGAGTTTTGCTTTTGGATTTGTCAATACGGTGTATTATATGTATGGATTTATGTAAGTTGAACCACCCCTGAGTACCAGGGAATAATTCCAGTTGATCATGATGTAAAACCTTCTTGATGATATTCTGCAGTCTGTTTGCCAGTATCTTATTGGGGATTTTTGCTTCAATGTTCACTAGGCAGAATGGTCTGTAATTGTCTTTCTTATTTGGATTGTTCGCTAGTTTTGGTATCAGGGTAATGCTTGCTTCCAGGAATGAACTGAGAAGTACAATTTCCCATTTGATTTCATTAAATTTTGAGAAGTGATGGTGTTAGGTCTTCTCTAATTTTTTATTTATCCCTGCCATTTCATGGCTACCCTGCTTTCTTTCAAGGATCAGTGGACTCTTTGCATAATGGGCTGCAAATGTTTCCAGGATTCACGTTCAATCCTCCAGGAATAAAAGTCCACTGATGTCAGAAAATATTCTGAGAAAAGGCCAGGGCAGGACACAACAGAACAGAGAGATGGAAGTTTCTGTTAGAGGCATCAGATTTCATTTTCATGATTTTCACTCATTTCTATTAATTTTCCACCAAGAAACCCAGTATGTGAACACAAAAGGAGCACAGTTACCATGTATAGTGAAGACATTACATTTAAATGATAGTAATGGTCTGCAACAGTGTAAGGATGAAATAAAAGCAAGCATCAGTACTCCAAGACAAGCTTGCTACTCATTCAGGCTCAAAAAAATGCTGAATTCTGAAAGTGATCATATTGCCAAGCATGGGGGTGACAATTATTGCTGAAATGGAACCTAATCCAATTAAACATTTCCTTCTGGTGAGGCAGGGACACCCAAGGACTTGACACTCAAAGTTCCCCTTGCCGTATAGTTCCCTTGTCACTAATTGGCACTCAGCTCTTTTTGTACTCTACTTTAAAAAAAAAAAACATGGCCCCATGATGAAAAAACGGGGCAAGACCCCAAGATGACGAATGGGACAAGACATCTTTTTTAAAAGAAGCACTTTTATTTGCACTGTGTGCCCAGCGACACAGTGCAAATGGAATTTGCAAAGCTGTGCAACTGAGTTAGAGTTTTGACTGATTTTTATAGTTCATTTATGATTAGCTCATTGATCAGTAAGTACATAGTGATGAGAAAGAGAAATAAGGTGGGCCTTTGTTCCCCTTTGCTTGAGGACAGAGGCATTTCACAGTGGGTGGTTGGCCAATTCATAGCCCTTGGTCTGCCAATTTCAGGAACATTTGTCTCTCATAAAGGGAACAGTGGTTGGCACAGCATCATTTGTCTCTTACAAGGGGAACAAAATTTGACATAGGACACAGGTCACTAATGTGGGGGGGATGACGCATTACAGAACAGCAGAATGACGTGGTCAGTTAATTTATACCTATGTGGTTGGTGCTTCATTACTAGGGCAATGAGCTCAGTAGAATGATAATATTACTAATAACTATCTTTTTAAGTAACTATTTTTGTTAATTATCTTTTAATCAATTATTTTAATTTTTAGCATCTCAGTATAACACTCTTCAGGATTTTAATACTCCTAGAAGTCATATATTCCCTAAAGCCTGGTGATCCATTTGTTAACACCTTTTGGCTTCAGAAATGTGTAGGAGATTACTATGATTGCTTCTATATGTATAAACTGCAGCCATGTGTGTTAGAACCCATGAACCAAATCTGGTCTCTGGATCCTTCTTTCAGGTTCTGAAACTGTTCTCTGGCTCCTTGATGTAATAAAAAACTTACTTTTTCCTTTTCACTTTTTTCCAAGATATTTATGCTTTGGAAACAGTCAAAATCAAACAACCCTCATGGAAACCATGAGATAAAGAATATATTTATACTAAATTCTATAAGTCAGGTATTTTGTACCTGTATAAAAGTAAAGAAATAAATATCTAATACAATTCAGCTAGCTGTATGTTCTGAATAATCTTCCAAATGCATCAACTCATTCTTCAAGTAATTATGTAAATGAGTTTTTAATCTATGTAAACCCTAACAGTTTTTTAGCATTTACCTGTTTCAGTTTGACTCCAGCAATTCTTTGGAGATCAAAACCACTTAATTTCCTGTACAATCCATTCTGTGCCAAGCAGGCATAACTGGCATCTGGTCAGGAATTCTTGGTAAACAAATGAACTGCTAGAAACACCGAGACTCATGTTACATAGTACTTAGCAAGTTGATGGAGGCCTCCGTAATTATCTACCAATTTCACTTATAAGTACTGACTTAGAAAAGTTATGCAGAATACTCACAATGATGTAAAGAGGTGTATAATCATGCCTTCTGAGAAATCACTATAATACCCCTCGATATGTTAAAAAGGTAGCATATGTTGATAAGTTAGCAATATATTTGTTGATAATAACACTTCCATCTACAGGTAAAGAAAATTTACATGCAACAAAATTTTCAGGAAACTTACAGTTATCCTATCTGGAAGGTAAGTTTTTATTGGAGCCTATGCCTAAATACCTAGCCCCCAAAAAAGTGCACAGCAAAGGACCAAAAGAAGGAGAAAAGTCTCATTGTCTTGAGGGCAACAGGAAGAGTGAAATCTTCTTCAGAACTCATAACTCTGCTAACCAGCCAGCCACCTGTCACTAGGCAGCCCATATTTAATCAGAACAAGCAAGCAAGTGAGTGGACAATGGTAAAAAGCTGAGCAGGCCCCTGGGAGAGGGTCAAGGAAACCCACAAAGCAACAGATGATTCTAATTAGGAAAAATTATTCAGGAAGCCTAGGTGGCCTCAGCTGTAGCCTATCTTGTTCCTTGCAGTGTCGCCTCATTCTCAATTCAATCATGCCCAGGCCACACCACAGCCCTGCACATGTATTCATCTTCAACCCTTTCCAACAACTCTCTCTTATTTTGTTTGGTTGACTTCCAGGATGGGTGGCCAGCTTAAGGTGGGGAAGCATTGAGGAGAACTCAAATTTAAACTCATCATAGTCCATCAGTTCATAACAGCAGTCATTTACCAGAATAGCCAGCAATTGTCAGAGGATGTTAGCGATCCTAGCTCCCCCCTCAGCCAAGCTTTTACATTGCACTATACCTTCAGAGGCCAGACTCTTCTTCAGGATGTCCAAGGCCAAGCTAACATGAGACCTGCATTAACTACTGTCTTAGTTATTTTTTACTTGTTTCTGAGACAAAATACGTGAAGCCCAAGTTGAGAAAGGAAAGGTTTATTTCTTCATTTTTTGGAGGTTTCAGTCCACACTCAGTTGGTTCCAAGGCAGGTGTACATGGCTGGGCCACATTTCATGGCAGCAGCAAACAGCAAGCAGGAACCAGCAAAAACCAAGACACACATTTTTCCTGCCATTATATTACATCCTGGCTCCACCCCTATGTGGGTGTAGCACTAACACCATCAATCGACGTACTACACAATGAACCATCACAAATGCATAATGCAAACTCATGAAGCCTGGGGCACACAGTCATAAACCATGACATTCCACCCCTGGCCGCCAGGACTCATGTATATCCATTATACAAAAGACATTTAGTCCACTTCCAAGAGTTGCCAACGTCCTATGTTTCGGTATTCCTGAACAGTCCAATTACCAAGTCTCCTCCAAGATCTAAGGCAAACTCTTAACCATAACCCCTGTACAAATCAAACAAGGTTAAACATTTCCCAAATGCAAAGGTACAAGGTAAACATTACCATTCCAAAAGTTACAAGAATGGGAATATAAAGTACTGGAAACAAAAGAAGTCCAGCAGGGTGAACATTAAGTCCTAGAATTCCATGTTCAGCATCAGAAGCAATCTGGTTGCAAACTCCAAAAGGCTTGGGTAATTCCACCCCCATGGCATTTCCAGCAATTTTAACTCCAGCAGCTTTTCTCTTAAATCTTCTCTGCTCTCTTTTTGCAGCTTCCCTTGAATCAAACACATTCTTGCCTTTTCCAAACATCTGCAGTCTCCACCGCACCTTTGGTTTCATCCTTACGTCTTCACAAATTGCCCTCTCAGGGACACACCTTTTGGCCTCCCAGGCACTTTGCAATTGAGGTGGATGCCATCTTGCCTCAGAATTTGTGCATTTTCCTTGCACCTAAAATCAGCACCTTGTAGATGCCACCAAGGTTTGCTGCTGACTGGAGCAGTACCTACACTTTTCTGTCTATTGGCCTAGGGGTTAGTTGCCTGGATTGCAGTGCTCTGTTCACATGATTGTGAGGAAAAGCTTCTCAAAGGGGCCACCATTCTGGAACCTCAAGTGGCTTCTGTTGCCATTCTACAACATGGCACTCTGTAGCTTTTCCCTCTGAGCAAATTCTTTCACTTTTGCAGTGAGGTTGCACAGGGTGGGGACCCCCTTCCTATGATGCCCTGGGCCATCTTTCTTATCTCTCTGTTTCTCCTCAGGAATCAAAATCTCAACTCTGTCTTTGCAATCCACAGTCTTCCTGGAATTTTCCTTCTGGCCAAACTCACAGCATTGTACACTATCCTGCTGATCTCTTTGCTTTTGAAATGCAACATAAATCTGGCTAAAAGACCCCAACAATAGCCATGCCACAGCCTCAAGGTTTGATTGCTTTTTAGTTTCTTTTCCAAGATTAATCAGTCCATTGCCCTTTGTCTCAGTCTCAGCAAAGTCTCTGGGCAGTAGCAAAATGCAGACAAACCTTCTGCCAAGCCATAACACACATCAGGTGGAGTCCAACAACCAATGCAGTCCTTCTTCCCAACAGAAAACTCCCAAGCCTGGTTTTTATCATCCAGCCATCTATCAGCCTTCTGGTCTCCTGAGGTCTGACCAGAATCCCCTCTACAGAACAGCCTAAGCTGCTCCAGCTCTACGCATCCAGGTGACATGTCCAAACCTTTCCAAACTCTGCCCACAAGCCATTTCCAAAGCCTCTCGAAAAACATGGTCAAGAATAGTCACAGCAAAAGACCCCAATCCTAGGTACCAAATTCTGTCTTAATTACTTTTTACTTGTTGCTGAGACAAAATACCTGAAGCCCAATTTCAGAAAGGAAAGATTTATTTCTTACAGTTTTTGCAGGTTTCAGTTCACACTCCGTTGGCTCCAAGGCAGGCAGGTATGGCTGGGCCACAGTTCATGGAAGCTGCAAAAAGCACACAGGAACCAGCAAAAAGCAAGATACACCTTCTTCCTGCCATTGAATTACATCCTGGCTCCACCCAATGTGGGTTTAGGACTGACACCATCAATCCGAACACTAGACAATGAACCATCATAAATGCACAATGCAAACTCATGAGGCCTGGGGGACACAGGCATAAACCATGACATTCCACCCCTGGCCCCCAGGACTCATATACATCCATTATGCAAAAGACATTTAGTCCACCTCCAAGAGTTGCCAAAAGAGCTTCCTTCAAGGTCACTTAGGTCTTCTCAGGAGTTATCTTAGAACCATGCATAACACCTCATGGCTCTTCTGTCAGTGTCCGCCACTTAGAAGAGTCACAATCATTGCTTCACCACGTTGCTCTCTGTGAAAGCTTGGGAGATTTTTCTCCTGTGACTCTTCTTAGGCACACCTTGCATTGAAGATGACTTTCCTCTGTGGTTTCATCATATCCTTGATGAGACAACTAGGGGCTCACTGAATATCTTAGGATGATGCAATCAGAGATTATTTTATATCCTGGGTCTCCACCACCCTTGAAGGGCTGGGGCCAAAATATTGGCTATCCATTTAGCCCATCTGTTTCTCTAAGTTTTGGCTTCCAAACCTTAGCTGTCAAACATCCAAAAAAAGTTTTTCATAACAATACAGTATATTAGAGGCAGTAAGTGTAATATTACTATTTTATCTAAACATGAAACATCTTAGAACATTAAATGAATCCTATTGTCTTCAATCCATGGACATTTTAGCATTTGAATACCTACAGTATTAACAGTTGCATATTTTTCATAATATATCAGGAATCAGAACCGTACATAGTATTGCATCACGACAATCACGAAATTCTTGTAGTAATCTAAATTCTTGTTTGACATAAATTATCCCATTTAGTCAATCACCCTTATCTAATACAAAAGAAGTTTGTTGTATATTATTGAAAAACTTATTGATCTTTAGTTCAATGTGAATCTCACAAGTCTTTGTGAGCAGCAAAGGTGTGCACGAGACAAAAATCTGTTACCATAAGTAATCCCCATTTTACAATCATGGAGTCTTACGCATCCAGAATTATGAATATATGCAATACATCATATAGCTGATTAAAATCAACTGTCATAACCATGTGAAACCTTTATACAGGCATCATCAAACCAAAAATATGTATTACTTCATTTGATAATGACCAATGTGAACATTTACGAATAAATTTCATAAATTTATTTGAGGTGTCTCCTATAGTGATCTGGAGATCATTGAGGTCTCTAATCAATGGATAAAAACTGGTTAAAAATGTTACCAGACAGCTGCTTTCTTATTTATCAATCAGAGCTTGGTCCACCAATCTAACTGCTAAGGGACTTTATTTATTTATATTTTTAAATTTATTTTTATTTAAAGAAAGACAAAACAAAACAGAAAGCAGGCATAAATAATACATACATTCAAATCAAAGAATAAACAGTAATAAGTCACTACTTTGTGTGTTTTATTGTCCTCTTTCAAATAATTGTTCAAGATACAAAAGTGGACCATATAAATGGGAATTCAAACAGGGAGACTTCAAGTAGTTCTGTTCAACTATCTAATAAAAACTAAGTAATATGGTAGTCAATCCTATACACTTAATCATGTATGTATTTATCCATATCTTCATTTATGTTGAGTTGAAACAAAGCAAAGCAGATTAAAATCACTCTAGTTGAAGATTAATAGTATTGCTTGATTTCACATCATGACACGATGGAACCAGCCCTGGGTACTGTAGCCCCCTTTTTTCTCCTTCAAAGTATTTGTTCATTTCATCATGTATCATAAAATCAGTTCTTCTAAATTATTGATAGGTTTTATGGAAGCATGCATCTTAACATGTGTTACTATTCTTTCTATATTAGAGGGAGAACCAGAACAAAGCAGGACAGAGCAAAACATAATCCTAGAGATACATAAAAGTAAAAAGACATATAAAACTGCTGTACAGGGAGTTCTACCATGGTTACTGTGTTGTCTCTTGTTATGATCAATAAAAATGGCTATATCATCGGATAAAGTATAATTGAATATATCACTGCATAACAGTATTAACAGAAATAGAACTTTGTAGATAGTGTAGAGCTACTAAAACAGATATTAATCAAGTCAGAATGGGTAATATAGAGAGTCATTTCTATTTTCAGTATAATTGTCTACACTCTGACGATACTATCAACCTAACGGTTTTGAATAAATAGTCAATAACAAGAAGCAATCAAACAAATCAGATTTAAATAAATTCAGCAATGATATAACAGTATAAGTTATAGAGGAATCTGGTTTAAGTTAACAGGAAATTGAAGATGATTAATGTGGTATATCCTCATATTTTTGGGATAGCTGTCTGTGCCCTCAGATTTAGTGCTTGTATAAAAACTGGGATGGAATAAGTTCTATCTAAACAGAGTGGTACAAGTAATACGGGTTTTAATTCCTGATACACTTATAGCAGTATCTTCTTCTGTCTTTTTAAAGTCTATTCTTCCCCTTCACTCCCCCAGGATGTACTGTGTATTTTTGGGTCTCCCCAACACCCTTGGTTTTATATTGTGTGGGCAACCTGCAATTTATCTAAGTGTTTCTGAACTTTCTCACTCCAGGACTTGATCTCTAGTTATATTTCTTTACTTATTAAAGCCTTTCTTTCCAACCTACCCATAAATACTGGTCCAGTTGCCCCTATTACTCTCTCATTCCCTATCACATCGAGTTCTATGTTCTCATATTCAATTTTGGTCCAAATACCCTTCTTCAGGTCAATTATACTTCCTATAAAGAGCATCTCAGTTGGCCCTATTTCTTGATCCACTCTGCCTGTGATTCTCTCTTTTTTTCCTTAATTTAGTGTATATAGGACATCTGCATTAGAAATTATATCGAACCTTCTCTGTCTCATTTCTGTTGTTCTATTTTTCTGTCATCAGTTGTCTATTTTTCTTCTTCACTTTGTTCATTTTGTTAATTGGCTCTAAATACGCTGTAATTTTTTCATTCTCTTGAATGGCTTCACACTGTCTTGATATGATTGCTTCTATAGTATACGAAGTTATACTCAAACAATTCAAGGAAAGAGGCACTATGGTGACTACTATTATGTTAGATTATCTGGTGGTAAAACAAAATGATGCTTTAATTGTTCTGTTCTGACCTGTGTTGTTCTATTACAATGTCTCTTCTATCTCGATCTCCACCCTTTTTTAAAAAAAATTCTATTTTTTTAAAGGAAAACTAAATTAAAAAATTGAGGGATATATTATAGTAACTGTTTTGTTTTCCTATTAACCTGATTTTTAACCCCAGTATTGCTTTCTTGTTCTGCCTGATTTTACTATATTCTATTTTGTTTGATAGTCTCACGTTTGAGGGTATAGGCAACCACGTTGTAGGCAATAAGATTTACTATGATGCCCATTATGGCTTGACTATTATACTCTTTTGAAATCCTATAAGGTCTTCAGTGTAGATTTTATTGGTCTTGTTCTGTACTGTTTTGATCAATTCTATTATACCTGATGATATAGCAATTCTTTTTAAAAATAGCAAAAGGTACAATGGTAAACATTTTTGATCAGCTGATATTCTATTTTTGCATCAAGTACTATGCCCATCATTATGTTCTAACCAACTCTGTTTTGTTAACTCACTTGAGGTTTTATTCTCTTCAAAAAAATTAATAAGAAATATGGGAGTAAAAAAACCTCAAAAGTGTATTATGGTGAAGAAGACAGGAAAGGAAGGTGGTCTAAGAGATTTAAGTGCCTGTTTAAGTGTGTAGGGAGAAAAACATACTACTGAGCTTTGTTGGATCATTGAACGGAACTCTCTGCAATCACACTGTAGGAATGTTTACTTTATATGCTTTAATTTTATAATTTGAACAATTGTTTCTAAGAAGACAATATGTAACCTATTAACTAGTGATTTCTTACTGTATTTTTTTCTTGAAATTGTGCATGATTTGTACCCTTTACTGCTTTGTTTCTTATGTTCTTTTATTCTCTTTAAAAAAAATTAAACTTCAATTTATATCTTTTATTTATTTTTTGGTACTGGGGATCAAACGGATTACTTTACACTTGCCAGGCAGGAACTTAAGCCACTGAGCTAAATCCCCAGCCACCCAATATATATCTTTCACATCTTATCATCTTCAGAGAAGTGGCCTCTCTACTCTTGGACTTGATGCCAGCAAGCATAAAAAATGTGAATAAAATCAGTCAAGGCCAAATAACATTCAAACAAACCAGCTTCCAATAAGATCAGTCATAGTAAGACAATGTAAGTAATACAGGGTTTCAGTTTCAGTTAATAGGAAATTAAGGACAGTTACCATCATGGTATAACCTGCTATTTTTGGGTTACATCTTTGTGCCCTCAAATCTATTATGAGTACACAGACCAGAACAAAATATAATCAAAATAAACAGAGCAACAGAACTACTATAGCTTTTAAATCCTGATACACTTTTAACAATGTCCTCTGCCTTCTTTTTTAGGCAATTCCTCACCTTTCTCCTTCTCAGGATACTATTATTCACTGTTCAGAGTATATTAGTTTAGTCTCTTATGTTCAGTTTCAGCATACATTAAAATAAAGACATCTACTACGAAGAGAATGAGACACATTATGGTAATCATCAACTTCCCCAAAATCAGTCTTGAAGATCAAAAAAGCCTTTATCATCCTGTAATTATTTGATTAGTTCTATAATGTTAAGTATATATTCAATGCTTGTGAAGATGGGAACAACTATTTGGAAAAAAACTAGCGACAGTAAGATAGACAATGAACATCTCAGTGGACTTGCTTTGAAACCTGTGTTTCCTTAACTTGTTTCCTTATGAACTGTTCTGTTTTGTTTTGTCATGTTTAATCTTACGATCTTTAAGATAAAAACAAGTTTGTAGAACATATAAGCATATTAATAAGTTTTTGTTGGATCACTGAGGTAAAATGTTCGCAGTGTCATTATTTGAGTATCACATTCTATGCTTAATTTTGTAACTTGAACAATTACTTCTAAGATGACAATATGTAACAAATCAACTAGTGACTTCTTATTGTTTATTTTTCAGAAATTCTGTATTATTTCTATACATTTTTGGTTTTTTTTTAATAAAAATAATTCACCAAAAATATAAAATTAAGTTTTAAAGACAAAATATTAAGTACATAGACACTATCCATACTTGAAAGTGAAAAGCCTATTTCATTTACCATGTTTAATTACAAGATGCCATGTTGAAGCACAAAGACACATTAAAAAATAAAGAGGTATAAGTGATTAACTGAAAACCATACAAAATGTGTACTTGAGTAGAGCTCCACTTCAGATTTGTTGTTTCTGGAAAATTTGTGAAGAAATATTGACATCAAACTACTGTATTGATTATTTCTTCAGGTCTTCTTGGAACTTTTAAAGTAAACTTAGATCTAAACTGTCTGAAGAGTGCTGCTTCTTCTATGTATTTAACAATAAACATGGATTGCCATATTTCTCACACTGTTAATACACATAGGATCCAGTGAGCTCTTTCAGATATGTAACAGTGATCAGGTGTGCTGAGTATTCACATAACATATAGGATTTATCTCTTGTGTGATTTTCTTCATGTATTTCACTTACAATCTGGCTGCTGAAAATGTCTCCACTTGCTTACGTAGCCATCCAAATGTGAACTGTTTCATGTGTTTTGCAATGACTGTGTGTGTTAAAAGCTTTGCCACATTGTTATATGCATAGGGTTTCTCACCAGTGTGGAGTCATTGATGTATTTTACAAAATCCATGTGTGGTGAAAGCTTTCCCACATTATTCACATAAACAGGGTTTCTCAACAGTGTAAATATTTTATTTATTGGACAATGAGCATTTCTGCTGAAACCTTTCCCAAATTCAGTACATATATAAGATTTATGCCGTGTGAAGCTTTTCATGCATTATGCAATATGTACTTGTGCTCAAAAAATTCTCATGTGGCTTATGTACACTGGTTTTAACTTGAGGGTGAACTTTCATGTTGCTTACAATGTCCACGTTGGGTAAAAGCTTTCATATATAGGCTTTACATATATAGGGTTTCTCTCCAGTGTGAACTCTTTCATGTTGCTTACAATGTCTATATAGGGTAAAAGCTTTCCCACATTTCTTACATACATATGGTTTCTGGTCAGTGTGAATTCTTTCATGTTCCTTACACTGTCGATGTGTGTTAAAAGCTTTCCCACATTGCTTACATACATAGGGTTTCTCTCCAGTGTGAATTCTTTCATGTTCCTTACAATATCTATGTGTGGTAAAAGCTTTCCCACATTGCTTACATACATAGGGTTTCTCTCCAGTGTGAATTCTTTCATGTCTTTTACAATCTGCCTGTGTGTTAAAAGCTTTCCCACATTGCTTACATATATAGGGTTTCTCTCCAGTGTGAATTCTTTCATGTCGCTTACAATGTCTATGTCGGGTAAAAGCTTTCCCACATTGCTTACATACATATGGTTTCTCACCAGTGTGAATTCTTTCATGTTCCTTACACTGTCTGTATCTGTTAAAACCTTTCCCACATTGCTTACATACATAGGGTTTCTCTCCAGTGTGAATTCTTTCATGCTTCTTAAAATATCCCCGTGTGTTAAATGCTTTCCCACATTGCTTACATACATACGGTTTCTCTCCAGTGTGAATTATTTCATGTTGCTTACAATTTCCATAATGGGTAAAACCTTTCCCACATTGCTTACATACATAGGGTTTCTCTGCAGTGTGAATTCTTTCATGTATTTTACAATTTGCCTGTGTGTTAAAAGCTTTCCCACATTTCTTACATACATATGGTTTCACTCCAGTGTGAATTATTTCATGTCGCTTACAATGTCCAGATTTGGTGAACCCTTTTCCACATTGCTGACATACATAGGATTTCTCCTCACTGCTATATTTTTCATGGATCTGAACATTGTGGTGTGTTTCTGCTTCTTTCACATTCACATTACCTTCTGCAGTACAAAGGAATACTTCTTTACACTGATTCCAAGATGTATGTCCATAGGATTGCCCTAGCTTGTCATTTCTGTCAAAAAAAATCACATATCAGATTGATAACCATATTACTAAGTTTTTATTGGAGATTTGAACAAAATTTTTTGCAGTCTCGCTGTTTGAATCCCCACTTCATATGCTTCACTTTTGTATTTCATTATTTCTCTGAGCAGCATATGTAATCATTGTCTTTAGATTTCTGTTTATTTTCACTTTGAAAGTGGTATCATTTCTACTTATTTTGTTTTTTTTTACTCTTTCCTTACATTAAATAAAAAAATAAGAAACATTCACAGTGAAATGGGTCTCAGTTTAATGACTGCATTAATGTCAAGTTTTGTTTTTAATGCCTGCTAAGAAATTCTGACCATGAAATAACAGAATGGCCTTGTAAGACATGTTGAAAACAACCATTCCCAAAAGAATGCTACACATTTGGAAATCTTAAAATTTGATACCTTTTGAAATGCAGAATCCTTATCTTGACTTTGGGCATGGGTACATATGTGTATCACATACAGATCATTCTGATATGTTTGCCCATCACAATCTCCCTTCTGTCCTTAACCTGTAGTTCCCTTTTCCATATGGTCAGTCTTACTTTTCTCTATTAACTCTTTCATTTCATTCCACAATTTATATTTTGGTTTCTCATCTAAAAGAAACCCTGTGAACTTTTAGGTTTTATAGCTGAGCTATTTCACCAAATTGTTGGGACAAAAAACCACCTATTTCTTATGGCAAATGACATTATATAATTTATTTTTTGTCATTATATAACACATTGTTTTCTTTTCCATGGTGGGAATGAACAACAGCTTTTAGCATAAAATCTATAGCTTTTTAAATCTGTTTTAAGACATTTTCGCTGATCATTAAGCTGTGAAGTTTAAACTTGAATTTGCCATTCTGCAAAATCTGATTTCTTGTGTGCTGGATTTATAGGTATGCACAATCACAGAGAGTCTATTAATATTTTCCTTCTCAACAAATCCAGTGATAGATAGCTAAGCTTCTTAAAGGCCTGATCTATTATAACTTGATCTGCTTTGTATATGAGCAAGCATGTATCAGTATTTTAAGTGCATTTTGAATTTTTAAAATATATCCAGAACAAGTATGAGGGGATCAATTTCTAGAGACAACTGCACACTGATATTCAGAATGAGTGCACTTAACATTCTAGCAGCCTTCTAAGAATTTTAGTCAGAATGGCTGATTCTTCAGAGCATGGCTTGGAAACACAAGAACTCCGTTTTATTTCAAATTCTATTGCAATCTTAGCAATTTTTAGATGATGAATGTGTTGTATTCACATGTATATATGGGTAGAAAAACTGAAGAGAGAATGTCATAACTCAAAGTGTATGCCTTTCATACACATCTATATGCAATATCATACATTTTCTTCATTTAATCCACTCATTATCCATACCCTAGCTTATACATCTTCGGAGAATATTACTTACATTAAATTGAATATTGCCTCATTTCTTTGGTGGCATTTTTCTGCTGACTCACTAATTACTCAGGAACATTCCTTCTCCCAATGAGCGCGAATTACCTTAAGTATCTCCAGTAAATTTTGCATTCTTTTTCAGCTTCCTGGATATCCCCAAGTCCTCCTGAATTGTAGACATAGAAATACCAGTGCTCATTAGAATAATACATACAAATTAATAGATATTGTTTAGAGTTATGATATAATGTGTCCAGGTCTGAGCTATTTTTAAAAATATTTTCACATTGTTTTTAATGAAACAGCACTGATGCATGACATACAACATTCTGAAAGCATGAGTGACAAAAGTATTTTGTCCTTACCTATTGCAGTCATGTTCCTAAAGGTTTCGCCCATCACATCTCTGTAGAGGTTCTTTTGGGATGGACTCAGCAAAGTCCACTCCTCATTGCTGAAGTTCACGACCACATCCTCAAAGGTCACCACCTCCTAAAGGATCAATAATACATATACTTCTCACAGGAAGGTTGAGACACCAGGTTTGGGATATCTTAAATTCTCTCCTACAAATCTGAATCAAAAGCAAAGTGTGGTGATATATATCTATAATTCCAGCACTCAAAATGCTGAGGCAGGATGGTTTCAGTGAGTTCAGGGCAATTCTAGCCTCCATAGGGTGTTCAAATCCAGCTGATATACATATAGAAAGCTTGTCTCAATAAAACAAAACTAAACTAAACAAATACAACAAAACAAAACAGCTGAATGAAGACTGATTTCTTCAAATTTAAATCATGTCTTGGTCATTAATTTTGTGTATATACACATTTTTGAAGACAGCAAATTTGATGATAGATTGCAACTCACTGCTAATGTAAGAGTGAAATAGGAGCACTGATTCTTGTGCTGAGTCACTGCAATAGTCCCTGTGTTCTGTCTCTAATGCAGAGCTCACAGTGAAAAGCCTGTAGGACCAGCATCCACAAAGCACAGAGGCAGATAAATATCCCATCAATCAACTGGGAATCCAAGCAAGCACCACTTCTCCCTGGTAAGCAATGGCGGTCTGGCAGAATGTGGCCCTTCCAGGGGGAGAAACAGCAGCAGCTCCTGAGACCCACACCATGTGGGATCTTAGGATGCTGTGAAACCAAACAACTGGCCTGTCTCCCTACTAAGCAATAGTGAACCTACAGATGCAAGGCCTAGAATCAAACATCCCACTTCCCTACCCCTCTTCTCCTGTCACCCCCCCTTCCCCGTTACCAAATGGGAAACAGAAATCTGAGAGTCTCCTGGGAAGCAGACCATAACAAATAAGGGGGATTTCCTTCTACTATCTCTTTGAAGGCAAATATATTTGTTGCTGTTTTGCTCTATTCTGAGTAATAGTATTACTCTATTCAATATTTTTTGATAAGTACTATAATGTTCTGTATTTCATCTCATTTTGATATATGTGTTTGAATGAACAACCATTGGGGCTGGGGATTTAGCTCTGTGGCATAACCATCTGCCTCACAAGCACAGTCATAGATTCGATCCTCGGTACCGATAAAAAGGAAAAAAAAAAAAAACAAAAGAAAGAACAACTATTATAAAGATAATAAAATATACTGTGATACCTATTATTGTTATCACAGTAACCAGTTGTGAAGTTGTGTACCAATTTCAATACATGATCTTAGTTGGCCTCATTCTGCCTTGTTCTGTTGTATTTTACCACTTTCAAAATTTAAAAAAAGAAAAAAAATCTCATCAATCACTGTGATAGGCTGCAGATAATGTCTCTTCTAATCTCATTTAGGCCAGTGAGTACTTTGTTCTTAATATACTTCACCAGCATTTTGAAACATGAATTTGGTTGCATAGAACAAAACATAAATAACATCCAATATGGTACACAAATAATAAACGTTAGTGGAAAATGCTGTTTTTAAAAAATAACTATATAAAATGGAAACAGGCCCAAGCTGTAATTTATAGCTCACTGTCACCAAGCATTCACTATCAATTCAGATATAAGGAATATATCTTGTGAGGCTGGTGAAGGACTTCTTCCTTGAATTTGGCGCTACCCTAAGTTACAGAGCTGTCTAACATAGAGAAACCCTGACTGTGACACCCCACAGACAAAGTGAAACTTGAAAAGAGACTGCGTAAGACACCTTCGATTTGTTTTTAAAAATTATACCCATACAATATGCAAAAATTCCAAAAATATTCAACACTTTCTGAGAAACAATGTGGATATCTGCCATACAACAAAGAAAACACTTGCATAGTTGGGTATTTAGCTCAGTGGCATGAACACCTGCCTGGAAAGCATAGGTCAGGAGTTCGATTCTTGGTACAAAAAAAATCCACATTTTACCTTCATAACACTGGGGCATAATTAGAGATAATCAAAATTAGATCTCAAGTGTGGAATAGAAAATGCATGGGTTGACAAGGATGTGAAACACTGATTTTTGCCAGAGCTGGTGTTGATCACATCAAGGAAGCAATCAGAACCCAACTTTAACTTCACACTTACTCTAAGAACTACCTGAATTTCAGTGAAGACCCTCTCTGTTGCATGTCCTGCTATTGGCTTCCTGCATTCTGTCAGTCACTTGCACATCCTTTCCACGCTCCTCTGATCCATGCAATGTTCATCTATATTCGTATCCTACATTACATATAAAAGAGTATTAAGTCATCCATTTCCACTCACCTATTCAAGAAAATACCAACTATTTATTCTTAAGTGAATTGAACAGGAGAGAAGGTAATATTGAATGGAACACTATAAATAATGCAGTGGAAAATAAAAGGGAAAAACCACACACGCATCCCTCCCAGGATGAGAGGTCTGCCATTGACCAGCTCCTCTCTCCTGTCCTCACTTGATGTGCAGGCCTGTGTCTCTTCACTGCTGGGTGGAGAGATAACCAGGACACAAGCTCTCTTCAATCTCAGGAAAGATCAGAGACATGGCCTACTTTCAGCATTTTCAGTGGCTGCCATTTATAAAAAACTCAGCAACTGTGCTGTGGAACATTCATGGTTCCTAACTGTCCACACCTTAACTGATTAAGAAGAGAATATGGTGTCTATCAAACTCATTTTTTAAAATGAACCTTAAAGTGGAATTTCCAGGTTAAATATATATAAGATGAATTTGAGGATCGCAGATATTTCACCTGAAGCCTCAGCATAGAGCTAGAGCCTGGTATAGGAAGACTGAGTCTGCTCAGATCTACGTGGAGATGTAAAGTCAGAGAGATGGTCCAGGCAGAGGTGCAGGACACCATGGCACCTAGCAGGAACCATGGCTAAAAAAGGCCCAGTCCAGGCTGCCTCATCCATCAGTGAGTTCTAAGGAAAGCGTCACACATTCCACACTGGAAAGGAAAAAGCTGAAATGGTTCTAGAGCTCCTTCCTACATGCCTAAGGCCCCCTGTCTCACTCAGGGGAGCTCTGCATGAGAAGGTCAGTCTGTTACAGAGCTCAAATTGACTGAATATTTTCCACCCAGGTGCAGATCTGAACTGCCACATGTGGACTCACCATAGCTATGGAACAGGACAGGTGTTTACAGGGTGCAGGTGAGGTGATGGAGGCACTGCAGGCTGGTCAGGGTACAAAGCCTTAAATAAGAGACCAGGCCCTCACCAGCCCCACTTTCCTCCAGCAGTAACCAAACCCTGCAAGAGTGTGCATTAAAAACTGAGTAACTGAAAGGAGTTACTCACAAAATTATATATTATGGAGATAGTTTGAATATACAAAAGTAAATGGTAACATCCATAAATAAAATGAGATGTGACCCTTAAAGGATATGTGGTGTCCATTGATGTCCCCAAACTACACGCATCAGAAGGAAACAAGTCTGATGAACAGAGCAATAAGGAGCACAGGCAATGGGTAAACATCACAGCTGCTTAATAACAACAACAAAGCTAGGATACAATAAGTGCACTGGTGAATTTTATCCAGGATGTGGTAAAGAATGAATACTGATTGTTTTTCAATTCTCCCATCAAGTTGAAGAAAAAACCACCACCAACTTCTTTTAAGTGACAAGTCATCCTGAGAATGAAGCCAGATAATAATGTGTTAAAAATAAAATAAATGAAAATGCTCTGTTGGCTAATATTCCTAATGAACATACACAAAAGTATTCAGCTAAATGTTTGCCACATTAACTCACCATCATATTCAAAATTAACCAACACAATCAACACTGGGCTCAATCTCAGTGGTGCAAGAATATTCCCTCTCGCGCACAAACTAGTAAGTGTTGCTTCACACTTTCACAGCATAAGGTACAGCTAACCCCTGAAGAGATTTGGAAAGACAGCTTTGAGAACCTCAAAAGTTCACCATTTTTTCATGATATAAATCATTCATAGACTATCAGTAGGAGGAATGGACCTCAGCACAGCATGACAAGCTCCATCCTTGACATGGTGCTCAGGTGCTGACAAGCTGCAAGCTTAGCTTCTAGGGTCAGAAAGGAGACAAGGCTTGCAACTCTTTTCAACATACAGTACTCGAAGTCCTGGCCATAGAATTTAATCCAGAAAGAGAAAGCAAAGCCTTCCAAATCAGAAAGGAAGAATTAATTGTTGTTACAGTTCTCCTGAGGGTACAGCATTGTATATAAGAAATTTAAACTACATTGACAACCTTATAGAACTAATTCACAAATCACTTAAATTGCAGGATACATGAGCAACATGCTCTAATCAATTCGTTACTACGTACTACAAACAAATTGTAGTGTCAAATACAAAGAACACAATTCATTTCACAAATAATCAAAAATAACTAATGATTAGGGAAACTGAAGCAAACTCACATCTTCTTGGAATGCAATAAGTAGAAGAGCACTAACAGAAGAAAAGCCATACTGTGATGAGGGGTGGGAAGAATTCATGTTATAATGTACATGCTACCCAGAGCAACCAGGTGTTTCAGTGCCATTCCTGTCAAAGTATCAGTGCCATTTTCCTAGAAACATAAAAAAAAAATATGAAAATTCACAAGGAAGTACAAAGAGTCTTCCTATAGCCATAGAAAGAACATTAAAAGTAGAGGCATCAAAATACTAGTTTCCAGGTACTATAAAGTAACAGTAGTTAAAAGGGTTTTACACTGGAAGAAAAGGACCACAGACTAAAACAGCTTGCCCAGATGCACACCAAGTGACAAAATCACTAGGAATTTTGTTTCTTCTTTCCTTTCTTTTCTTCCCTATTTTTTCATTTTCATTTTATATTCAGGGTCTTGCTGTGTCATTGGAGCCTGAGCTGAACTCAGAATATGTTGCAGGCTTGTCTGGAACTCCAGGAATCCTGCTGCCTCAGCCACTTGAGTACAGGCATTACAGGCATTTTCACCATTCCTTGCTCAGCCAGTAAGTTTTTTTTTTATTTAAAGAGAAAGACAAAAATAAATGAAGCAAGACAGTAAAAGGCTAGAAGCAACACAGAATTTCAAGAGAAAAAAACATACAGTAAGAGTTCACCAGTTAATAGATCACACATTGTCAAGTTACAAACAGCTGTCCAGATTACAAAATTAAAGCATACAAAGTGGAGATTAATACAGTGAGATTGCAGTCAGTTCTGTTCAATGACCCAAGACAAAGTCAGCAATATGGTTCTCTTTCCTACACAGCTAAATAAAGTTGCAGTTGTATCCTGGAGATCACTTTCCTTCCTCTCTTTTTTACACTAACAATCGCGCATTTTAGTTTCCATTACTTCCACAGTTTTTTACTTTTTCTTTGAAGAGGAAAAGAAAAAAGTGTGAAAAAAAACAGGCCAAAAAACAAAAAACAAAGCAAGACAGAGCACATCAATTTCTCCATTATGGTAAACCTTATGCTAGGTGTGCTGACTAACGTACAGACGCAAAAGAACCTCACAAAGATTTCTCACTAGAAAGTCTATTTTTGACTTTTCATTTTTATCATTTTTTTTTTGCTCGCTTTCTTCTTTCTTTTTTTCTTCAGACAGGGTTTGCTATGCAGTTCAGTCTGGCCTTGATCTTCCGTTGTGGCCCAGGATGACCGAAAACTCATCACAAACTTTCTGCCTCGGCCTTCAGAGTCCTGGAATAACAGGTGTGCAACAACATCCCTGATTGTGTTTTCCTCTTTAAATTTTGTCCAAAACAAAACTCCTCAAAGTTTTTGATATTCTCAAAGTTCATTAGGTTGGTTATACAAAACCAAATCAGAAAGTATTGAAAACACCCTGAAGAACTTTCAAAATCCTCACTAACATACAACATAACATAACAGAGCACAATATAGTATAGCCTAATAACACAAAAATAAATAAAAAAGGAACCACATAACTCTGCTTTAAATATCTGCTTCCAAAAATACAGCAAGAATTTCTAAGTTATCCATACACCAGCAATATGATGCATTTTCTTTGAAATAAATGTTGGTATCCACTCAAATGCTTGTGTAAGAATGAGTGTGGCAGCTTCCTTTTGAAGTCTGACCCAAAAACATAAAAAATGGCCATCACAAGATGGGTGACAGGTGCATGTCCTTGCTTCAGCCACATAATAGTGGGTGGTGGCAGCACAGAGAGAGCCCAGCATGGAAACACTGCTTCAAGGAAACCAACCAAAGAGTATTACAACTGAAAAGGCTCAGCACCATCCCCTCTAGGAAAGGGAAACTACTCATCAGGGACACAAAGCCCATGGTCTGATTGGCATGGGAGGAAAGGAAGTGACAGCAGCAGCTAGGAGACAAGTTCCCCAGGAATGATGCACATGTGTCCTTCATCAGTACGGGGTGATGATGTCACCTCCCCATTTTTGCCAGAGCTGGTTTTGATCACATCAAGGAAGCAATCAGAACCCAACTTTAACTTCACACTTACTCTAAGAACTACCTGAATTTCAGTGAAGACCCTCTTTGTTGTATGTCCTGCTATTGGCTTCCTGCGTTCCGTCAGTCACTTGTACATCCTTTCCACGCTCCTCTGATCCATCCTCTGCAGGAAACCCTTAATGCCTAACTATTGATATCACTGCAAAATTTCTGTTTAGAGCTTCTCCTTTACACCACTTAGTAAATTCCATTGCAGAGCATTTCCATATTTAAACTGTCTATGAACAACCAAGCCACTAAATCAGCTCTTAATTCAGAGATCACACACCTATTCCTTTCCACTCAGAAGGATATCACGTGTATATGTCCATGCAAATGCCTAAATTTCAGCATTTTTTGATGAGAATTTAACAGGTAGCCCTTTCAGGAATTTGTCCTTCACAAATTTTTACCCCGTCCTTGATAACACTTTCACATTTGCTTCATTTTTCTCAGACTTCAAAACTCTATGGCTGTTCTCACAAACCTAGTCTGTGAGCAAGGGTGCCACCTAAATAATTAAGTATGTTCAGAAATTATTTTGCACTGATCTGTACAATACACAGGAGTTCATGAGTTGTTTGGGAAGCCTTTTTCCACTGAGGCACACTACTACACATCTCTGAATTCGCAGGACCTTTGAGACTACCTGTCATGAGGATGGAAATATGAGAACATACTATAAATTGAGGAGATCGCTACAAATACAAAAAAGCCCAAGTTTAAGTTGAGCCATTGTGGCTATGAGGCCCTGCATTACAGACATTAATAAACTTTGGACATTCCAGATCTGCTACTATGAGAAAAGAGAGCAGAGACCTAGCTCATTACTGCTCTACAAGCTACAAAAACATCATAGTCAGGGTCTTCTCAAGCTCCTTCCAATGCCAAAGATTGTGGGGTTACCAGGCCAGCAGTGAATTTCAAAGATGATACTTGAGTCTGCTGCTGTCATAGTGAAGCCAGGGTTCTGGGGACCCCAAACCACCCTTGCCAACAGCAAGAGGCAAAAGGGACAGTGAATGACCCATGGACAATGCTGGAGGACCTCAGGAGCTGAAGCTAACTAAATACCTGAGGCTCCAGACACCGGAATTACTTCTAAATACTTGTAACTGGTTTCACCCAATCCACCCTATCTCTGGGCTCCCATCCACAACCTCGCCATTCCATGGCTCCAGGATCTCTCAGGTTCTTTGCTAATCAGGCCACAGGACATCAAAAGTACTAAATGAGATGCAGCAAGCATTTGGCTACCAGTATTATACTCAGAAAAGGTAAATCATGCTGAGACACTGGAAGAGACAAAAGTCACAGCCAGCAATAGCCTGATAATTGGACACTTCATATAGCCAGCCCCTTCATCAATGATTGACTCCTGCTCTACTGCTCTCCTTCTGAGTCAAGAATCAACAGGGAAAGGAACCCCTCCCTGCAAGAGAGGATCTCAAAAGATAGACTGTAGAGCAGGGACTTCTGGAGCTGCCATTCTTCTACAGTGGTGAACTCAGCTCGACCAGAGGAGTGTTTGTACTGAAGAGCTTTACCTCAGTCTTTTAATTTTCAAATCCATTTTATTTCAATGAAAAAAGAACACATCAACTAAAATTAAATTTCAAAACATGTCAATCGGGGGTAACACTTGAATATACATTGCACACTGTAATCCCCAGATCATTCACCCAGAGCACAAGACATCTGTAATCAATTATCCAAACAGTACTGTTACAGGCACCTGAGTTATTTAAATAGTATTGCCATAAGGCAGGGCTAGGTCCTCCAAGGAGTCCATGCAGGAGACGAGATACCATGCAACTATGGGGAAGACTGACACATCATGCTATGGGCCAAGTCTCAAGACAAATGATAAGCAAATTCATCCATATCCTAAAGACTGATATTCTAAATAGTGCCTTAGCACTCTGAGGAGGTCAGGACTCACCATTCAAAGAAAAGTATGCTTATTCTAAGGACTGACATTTTAAATATCTCCTATCATCCTGATGAACTCAGGTGTCACCCTCCCATAACCCTAAGGGAAAAGTCACTGCTGCCTAAGAATGCCTGCTTCCTATGTGACTCCCTTCCCCTTTGTTCCCAATTTAATCAACTTTTACATGAACTTATAATCTTATTGGCTACCATAGCTCTGTCCCATCTTATGCCCATCTGCATTGTGAGTTCCGATTTTTCCCCACCTTAAACTCAGCTTACCACATGATTTTACTCTACAAAGTTCCCTAGAAAGACAGTGTTTGGCATCCCGCTCAGGACCCCTTCTCTCTCTCAGGTGGCTTTCTTTCTCTCAAGAAGTATATTGTGCTCTTAATTTCTGTTGTTCCTAAAATTCATTCTTTCACTTTAGAGAACCCAAACTCATACCACACATGGAAGGTCAGGAATTTCATTCCACTATATCATGGTATGGTTGCCTCTATTTCTAACTAACTCAGCTGCCTGTAAATTTAAGAATTGTTTATCAATTTGACTTGGACTAACTGTAGCAAATAAAATGTTCTTAATGAATATACGGATATATATCATTAAATTGAAAAAATGATTATCACAGTTTTTCTACCTAGCACCAGCCAACATTTTCAACTTTCAAGTATGTGGGAAAACAAAAAATAAAACCAACTCAGAAAATAGCAATCCTATAAGGGACAGTATATCATTCACTGTAATACCCATGTTATCTGCAGGTATTTCATAGGTCACAAAAGAAACATTGAGCCTATTAAATACCAAGTATCAGTTTCAATAAATGTGCTCATAGCACTGCATCGTTGACAATTGTGATTTTTTTTTCTGTATGAGGGATTGAACTCTTGACCTTGCGCTCTCCAGGAAGCTCCGTGTATCCTTGAGTTCAATCTCCAGACCCAACCATTTTAGATACTAAATATGACTATTAACAATGTTTAATTTGCCATTGACATATTTAGTTATAAATTTTGTAAATCTTAATTTTCACAAATGAAATTATTTTCTTTCCTTGCAGTTTAAATTACTTTTTTTTTATGTACCAGGCATCAAAGCTACAACCTAGCACTTTCCAGGCAGGTGTTTCTGCCTCCTAAGATAAATCCCTGGCCTGTATTAATGAATATTTCACTTTATTCATTCAAATAGAACTGTGATTTTAGCAAAGGATATCAATTTAGAGAGAAATTGATATACAATGAGAGAGGAACTGGAACCTCAAATAGTTAATGCAAAAAACTAAATACAACAATCACTGCTACAGGCACAGCTGAAGAAAGCCAGACCTGAAGGTGAAGATGAAGTGACCAGGTCTACATGGTCCTGAAGAGAAAAACAACAGTTTGAAATGTACTACAGTTACCACCACCTCCTCCAGGAAGTTCAGATGGGCATCAATTACCATACTCAATGACAAGAACACCTGGACTATTGTTCCCACAAAATGCCTTGGCTCTTTCCACATACCTTTTCTGGCTGACTTGTTACCCTGTTGAATATTATTAGTTAAGCAGCTATAAGCTTATAGGTTGATTGTAGTCTGAGACCCACACTGTACCCACATTGTGACTTTCCTGTATAAATGACCCCTGAGAATAGGTCTGGGCCAAAAACCCGAAGACCACTCCTGAAAATTCAGGGCTATTCTTCTTTCTTTTTTTCTAAGAAAATTTTTGAACTTCTTTTGGTTTATGACTTCATTTCTCAATGTTGTGAGACATTAAACTTGCTGCATTTGATATCAAACAGGGCAGGATTATATTTCTCTTATCTCAATTTAAATATGAAGTGTCTGCTAAAGACATTGTGCCAAAGCCAGAATTTCAGGCTGCTTGTTTGCCCTGAGTTTAACATTTCCATGAGCTTTTAGAAGTCCTCAGTCTAGTGAACTGCAAATGTAATGGAGGAAGGAGGTCACTGTTGTCCTATAGCACAATAGGTGTCATTCCTAAGTCTGTGTTAGTCCCTGACTCCTGGATGCCACTACATGGACTTCTTTCCTCTGCAACACCATTCAATAATTCCCATTTTACATAACTCAAATTTCACTCAGCTCATTATTGTTTGTTTTTAATAATTTTTCTGTCTACTTGGTTGTTTTTTTTTTTTTTTCATTTTAGTTTTTGATTTAAAGACATAGTCTCACTTTGGACTTCTGGGCAGCCTTTCACTCACTATGTAGATTAGGCTGTCTTTGAATATATGGCCATTCTCCTGTTTCAGTTTCTTCATTGCTGGGGAAAAGAGGTGGGCATTATAGCACATGGTGTTTGTCTTTTTTCTCTTCTCCTTTTCACTGCTATTCTTTCATTTCTGGGGCACTGTTATTTAATCCTGAGGTTTGCTTGTGTCAGTAAGGTTTCTGCAGCTTGAGGTGATTTTGTGAACAATAATATAGGAAGCCAAGCAACCCAACTGAGAAATGTGGAATTTCATTAGCTGCTCTCAGCACCACTTGTATACAGAACCCCCACCCCCATTTCAGGATCTAAACAAGAGGCTCTGAACTGGAAAGTTAGAGATGTTTTAAAAGATAGAATCACCAAAAGATAGTTGGAAATCATTTAGCTAGAATCTTATAATAATTTTTGGATAACAACTGTATTCTGCTTCTTTTGTTGAGCACGTTAATTTTTTTCTTTGGGTACAGCTCATTTTGCTTTTCTCCTGGGACTTATACCCTGAGTGATTTTCCATTTTTCTGAGTGAAATACAGGGCACTAGTTAAATGCAAAGCTCAAGATGGCATCTATTAAGCCAACCTACAACACAGCTAAGTTACAAGCCTCAATATTTTCTAGGGTACAAACACACAGTTCTATAATCCCAGCACTCAAGAGGTTCAGACAGGAATGCTGCTTTGAGGTTAGGGCAATTTTGTGCTCCATAAATGGTTCAAATCTAGCTGATATACATAGAGAAAACTTGTCTCAATAAAACAAAACTAAACTACACAAATAAAAGCAAACAAAACAGCTGAATGCAGAGTGATTTCTTCAAATTTTATTCCACATCTTGGGGATTAATTTTTGTATATATACATTTTTGAGACAGCAAATTTGATGCTATATTGCAACTCACAGCTAACGTACCAGCCAAATAGGAGCACTGATTCTTTTTTTTTTTAAGAGGAAATGAGAAAAACACAAAACAAAACAAAGCAGTGTAAGGGTACACCTAATACAGAACTACAAAAAAAAAAAAATAACAGTAAGAAATCACCTGTTAGTAGATTACATATTATCATCTTGAAAATAGTTGCTCAAATCACAGTATCAAAGAATACAAAGTGGACATTCAAACAGGGAGACTGCAAAAAGCTGTGTTCAATGATCCAAACACATTGATATAGTCAGCTATTTAACACCCCTAAACACACTTGCTGTTATATCCCTTAGAGCTCTTTTTCTTTTCTTTTCATTCCCTCTCGTGCACTGATTCTTATGGTGAGTAACCGCAAGAGTCCCTGTGCACTGCCTCCAAGGCAGAGCTCATAGTGAGAGCCTGCAGGACCAGCATCCATAAAGCACAGAGGCAGACAAATATCTCATGAATCACTTTGATGTACTAACAGTAATATCTCTTCAAATCTCATTTAGGCCACTGAGTCCTTTGTTCTTAATATACTTAAGCAGTATCTTGATATTTAAATTTGGTTTCGTAGAACAAAGCATAAATAACATCAAATATGATACATAAATAATAACTCAAATGTTCATGGAAAACTGCTGTATGTAAAAAATGTATAAAAAATGAAACCAGGTACAAGTTTCAAATTATAGCTCAGTGTCAACAAGTGATCACTCTCCATTCAGATATAAGAAATATGTCTTGGGTGGCTGATGCAGGAGAACTTCCTTGAGTTTGGGGCTAGCCTAAGTTCCAGAGCTGTCTCAACTATAGAAACCCTGACTGAGCCACCCCACAGACAATGTGAAACTTGAAAAGTGACTGCACACAACACCTTTGGTTTGCTTTAAAAATTATATCAATACAATATAGAAAAATTCCACAATATTCAACATTTCTGAGGAACAAAGTTAATATCATACATAGTATACAGAAAACACTTTCAGAGCGGGGTATTTAGCTCAGCAGCATGAACACCTACCTAGCAAGCTTGAGATCATGAGTTCTATCCCTGTTACAAAAAAATTCAAATTTTGCTTTCATGACACTGGGTCATAATTAGAGATAATCAAAATTAGATCTCAAGTGAAGAACACAGAATTCATATGTTGACAAGGATGTAGAATACTGATTCTTACCAGAGCTAGTGTTTTTCACCTCAAGGAAGAAATCATAAACCAACTTTAACTTCATGCTTACCCTAGAACTACCTGACTTTCAGGGAAGACCCTCTCTGTTGTATGTCCTGCTATTGGCACTCTGCGTCCTGACAGTCACTTGCACATCCTTTCCACGCTCATCTGATCCACCCTAAGCAGAAAACCCTTCATGACTAAGCTATTGATATCCCTGCACAATTTCCATTTATGGCATCTCCTTTACACCACTTAGTAAAGTCCACTGCAGAGCATTTCCATATTTCAAAAATGTATATGATCAACCAAGCTATTAAATCACCTCTTAATTTAGAGATGACACCCACATTCCTTTACATTCAGAAGGATATCACTTGTATATGTTCATGCAAATGACTACATTTAGGCATTTTTCAGTGAGAATTTAACAGGCAGCCTTTTCTGGAATTTGTCTTAGCAAGCACACTTTACCCTGCCCTTGATGACACTTTTATATCTGCTTCATTCTACTCAAAATTTAAACCTCTATGGCTGTTCTCCCAAACATCGTCTATGAGCACATGTGTCACATAAAGTATGTTCAGAAATTCTTTGCTTTGTTCTGTATAATACACAGCAGTTCATCCGGTGTTTGGGAAGCCTTCCTCCACTGAGGCACATCACTACACGTCTTTGAATTCTCAGAACCTTTGCCTCCACCTTTCATGAGCATGGAAATATGAGAACGTAGTATAAATTTAGGCGATCACAAAATACATAAATGCATAAGTTTAAGGAGAGCAGTTGTGGCTATCAGGTCCTGCAGCACAGACATTTATAAACTTCTGGCTTTCTTATCTGTTGCTGACAGGAAAGAGAGCAGAGACCTGGCTTATTACAGCTGCACCCAGCTTGAAAACACATCGCAATCAAAGTCTCCTCATGCCCCTTCCAGGGCCCAGACTGTTGGAGGAGCAAGGGCAGCAGGCGATTTCAAAAATGGCATTGTGGCCTGGTGGTATCACAGTGATGACAGCATTCTAGGGACCCAGAACTGTCCTGGCGCCAGCGAGAGGTAAAAGGGACACAGGATAACTCACTGCTAGCACTAGTGGACCTCAGGGTCTGAGGCTAAGCACACAGGCTCTAGACTGAACAGCTGCTTCTCACCACTTTTTTTTTCCTTTTCTTTTTCTTTCTTTCTTTCTTCATTTATTTTTATTTATTTATTTATTTATTTATTTATGTTGGTCTTTTTCCTTTTTATCGGTACAGGGGATCGAACTCATGACTGCCTGCTTTCAAGGCAGGCGCTTATGCAGCTGAGCTAAACCCCCAGCCCCTTCTCACCACTTCTAACTGGTCTCAATCGGATTCCACCCCATTTCACTGCTCCCATCCCATAACATCACCATTGCGTAGTTTGGAGGTCTCCCAGGTTCTTTCTAAGCAGTCCACAGCGAATAGAAGCAAAAAATAGTGGTCTAGCAAACATTTACTTCTCCCTTTTGTGCCCTGGCCTTGCAATTGACGCCATGACACCGGAAGACACCGCCTACCTTGGCCCGCCTGATTGGACAGTTCTTCAGCCAGTCTCTTCATCACTGATTGGCTCCTGCTCTCCTGCCTGCCTTCCCCACCAAGAATAATTGCAGAAAATAAAACACCCTGTAACTGTGGATCCCCAATGAAAGCTGGTGGAGGCTTCTGGAGCTGGCTGTTTTCTGGAATGTTGACCTCAGCACGTCTGATGGGTATTTGCACTGAAAGTCTTTACCTCAGTCCTTGGTTTTTCTCCCAAACCCATTTTATTTGAAAGTTAAAAACTAAAAAACGTGGTCCAGCGATTTAGCTTAAGCACCTGCCTGGCAAGCTAGAGGTCCTGCATTCCATCCAAGATCTGGCTACCACAAACTGCTGCTATAAACGTGGGTGCATATATATCACTGTGGTATGATAATTTTTATTCTTTTGAGTAGATACCCAGAAGGAGAATAGCTGAGTTGAGTGGGAATTGTAGACCTAGTTTGTGTGGAATCTCCACACTGATTTCCACAGTGGTTGCTTTACCACCAACAATGGAGAAGGGTTCTTTTTCCCCCACAACCTCTCCAGCATTCGTTATTGCTTCATTTCTTGACAGGAGGCATTTTTTCTGGGGCAAGGTGACATATCAGTGTTATTTAATTTGCAGTTCTTAAATGACGAGTGATGCAGAACATTATATCACATATTTATTTGCTGTTTCTATTTCTTCATCTGAGAACTGTGTATTTCACCTCAGATGCACATTTTTGGATTGGGTCTTTAAATCTGGGAAGACTGAAATTTTTTAGTTTTTCGTGCTCTCAATAGTAATACTTTGTCTGAGGAACAGTTGGCAAACATTTTCTCCCACGTTGTGGGTTGTCTTTTCACTCTGTTAGTGATTTTTCTTGCTGTTAAAAAGTTTTTCAGTAGGGTGACATTCTCACTTAATTCTCTTCGATTTTTGCTGTTCAAAAATCGAAGTTTTCTTCATAAAGACTTTGCTTACATGAATGTCTTCAAGAGTTTTACTTACTCTATCTTGCAGCAGATTTAAGGTTCCTGTTTTAATGTAAGATCTTTGATCTATTCTGATCTTAGCTTAATACACTTTGAAAGATAATATTCAGAATGTATAGAGCCAGTTTTTCCAGCACCATTTATTAAAGAGGCTGCTTTTCTTCCAATGACTCTGTTTGGCACCTTTGTCAAAGATAAGATGGTTCAGTGGTCTGGGGATGTTTCTCCATCTTCTAATTTGTTCCTTTGATCTTTGCATCTGGTTTTTGTTTGTTTCGTTTTTTGTCAGTACCACATCTTTTTTTTTTAATCACAATACTTTATAGTATAATTTCAAGTCAGGGATTTTGATGAACCCTATCTTTCCTTTGTTGCCCAGGATCACCTTTGCTACTCTAGGTCTCTTCTGGTTCCAGATGAATTTTAGGATTTATTTTGTGTAATTCTTTGAGATATGCTACGGGGTTTTGATTGGGATTGCACTAAATCTGTACAATAGCTTTGGAAGTATGGTCATTTTCACTATATTGAATTTCCCTACCCAAGACTATGGGATACCTCTTCATTTTAGAATATCTTCTTCAATCTCCATTTTGAGAATACTGTAGTTTACAGTGTAGAGATCATTTACATCCTTTGTTAGATTGATTCCTGAGTATTTCATTTGGTTGGATGCTATTGTAAAAGTTATTGTTTCCTTGATTTCTCTTTCCATGAGTTTTTTATTCTTGTTTATGAAGTCTATTGATTGTTGAGTGTTGCCTTTGTAACCAGCTATATTACTGAATTTGCTTCTTAAATTAGAAGTCTTTTGGTGGAATTTTTAGGGTCTTCTACGGAGAGTAACATGGCTTCTGCAAATAGTGATATTTTAAGCTTTTCCTTTCCTATCTTTATTCCTTTTATTTCTTTCTCTTGTCTAATTACTCCAGCTAGTTTCCAGGACTATATTGAATAAGAGTGGAGACAGTTGTCTCCACTTGTTTTGTTCCTGATTTTAGAGTGAAAGCTTTCAGTGTTTGTCCACTTAGTATGTGGTTGACTGTTGGTTTGTAACAAAAGGCTTTTATCAGATTGAGATAAAGGTCATCTCCCCAATTTTTGTAGGTTTTTTATTATGAATAGGTGATGGACTTTGTCAAAATCTTTTTCTGCATCTATTGAAGTGATCAAATGAGTTTTGCTTTTGGATTTGTCAATATGGTGTATTATATGTATGGATTTATGTAAGTTGAACCACCCCTGAGTACCAGGGAATAATTCCAGTTGATCATGATGTAAAATTGTCTTGATGATATTCTGCACTCTGTTTGCCAGTATCTTATTGGAGATTTTTGCTTCAATGTTCACTAGGCAGAATGGTCTGTAATTCTCTTTCTTATTTGGATTGTTCTCTGGTTTTGGTATCAGTGTAATGCTTGCTTCCAGGAATGAACTGAGAAGTACAATTTCCCATTTGATTTCATTAAATTTTGCGAAGTGACGGTGTTAGGTCTTCTCTAAATTTCTTATTTATCCCTGCCATTTCATAGCTACCCTGCTTTCTTTCAAGGATCAGTGGACTCTTTCCATAATGGGCTGCAAATGTTTTCAGGATTCACGTTCAATCCTCCAGGAATAAAAGTCCACTGATGTCAGAAAATATTCCGACAACAGGCCAGGGCAGGACACAACAGAACAGAGAGTTGGAAGTCTCTGTTAGAGGCAGCAGACTTCATTTTCATGATTTTCACTCATTTCTATTAATTTTCCACCAAAAAACCCAGTATGTGAACACAAAAGGAGCACAGTTACCATGTATAGTGAAGACATTACATTTAAATGATAGTAATGGTCTGCAACAGAGTAAGGATGAAATAAAAGCAAGCATCAGTACTCCAAGACAAGCGTGCTACTCATTCAGGCTCAAAAAAATGCTGAATTCTGAAACTGATCATTTTGCCATATGGGGGTGACAATTATTGCTGAAATGAAACCTAATCCAATTAAACATTTCCTTCTGGTGAGGCAGGGACACCCAAGGACTTCACACTCTAAGTTCCCCTTGCTGTATAGTTCCCTTGTCACTAATTGGCACTCAGCTCTTTGTTGTACTCTACTTAAAAAAAAAAAAAACATGGCCCCATGATGAAAAAATGGGGCAAGACCCCAAGATTGCGAATGGGACAAGACATCTTTTTTAAAAGAAGCACTTTTATTTGCACTGTGTGCCCAGCGACACAGTGCAAATGGAATTTGCAAAGCTGTGCAACTGAGTTAGAGTTTTGACTGATTTTTATAGTTAATTTATGATTAGCTCATTGATCAGTAAGTACATAGTGATGAGAAACAGAAATAAGGTGGGCCTTTGTTCCCCTATGCTTGAGGACAGAGGCATTTCACAGTGGGTGGTTGGCCAATTCATAGCCCTTGGTCTGCCAATTCCAGGAACATTTGTCTCTCATAAAGGGAACAGTGGTTGGCACAGCATCATTTGTTTCTTACAAGGGAAACAAAATTTGACATAGGACACAGGTCACTAAGGTGGGGGGCATGACGCATTACAGAACAGGAGAATGACGCGGTCAGTTAATTTATACCTATGTGGTTGGTGCATGGTTACTAGGGCAATGAGCTCAGTAGAATGATAATATTACTAATAACTATCTTTTTAAGTAATTATTTTTGTTAATTATCTTTTAATCAATTATTTTAATTTTTAGCATCTCAGTATAACACTCTTCAGGATTTTAATACTCCTAGAAGTCATATATGCCCTAAAGGCTGGTGATCCATTTGTTAACACCTTTTGGCTTCAGAAATGTGTAGGAGATTACTATGATTGCTTCTATATGTATAAACTGCAGCCATGTGTGTTAGAACCCATGAACCAAATCTGGTCTCTGGATCCTTCTTTCAGGTTCTGAAACTGTTCTCTGGCTCCTTGATCTCATAAAAAACTTACTTTTCCCTTTTCACTTTTTTCCAAGATATTTATGCTTTGGAAACAGTCAAAATCAAACAACCCTCATGGAAACCCTGAGATAAAGAATATATTTATATTAAATTCTATAAGTCAGGTATTTTGTACCGGTATAAAAGTAAAGAAATAAATATCTAATATAATTCAGCTAGCTGTATGTTCTGAATAATCTTCCAAATGCATCACCTCATTCTTCAACTAATTATGTAAATGAGTTTTTAATCTATGTAAACCCTAACAGTTTTTTAGCATTTACCTGTTTCAGTTTGACTCCAGCAATTCTTTGGAGATCAAAACCACTTAATTTCCTGTACAATCCATTCTGTGCCAAGCAGGCATAACTGGCATCTGGTCAGGAATTCATGGTTAAAACAAATGAACTGCTAGAAACACCGAGACTCATGTTACATAGTACTTAGCAAGTTGATGGAGACCTCCGTTATTATCTACCAATTTCACTTATAAGAACTGACTTAGAAAAGTTATGCAGAATACTCACAATCATGTAAAGAGGTGTATAATCATCCCTTCTGAGAAATCACTATAATACCCCTCGATATGTTAAAAAGGTAGCATATGTTGATAAGTTAGCAATATATTTGTTGATAATAACACTTCCATCTACAGGTAAAGAAAATTTACATGCAACAAAATTTTCAGGAAACTTACAGTTATCCTATCTGGAAGGTAAGTTTTTATTGGAGCCTATGCCTAAATACCTAGCCCCCAAAAAAGTGCACAGCAAAGGACCAAAAGAAGGAGAAAAGTCTCATTGTCTTGAGGGCAACAGGAAGAGTGAAATCTTCTTCAGAACTCATAACTCTGCTAACCAGCCAGCCACCTGTCACTAGGCAGCCCATATTTAATCAGAACAAGCAAGCAAGTGAGTGGACAATGGTAAAAAGCTGAGCAGGCCCCTGGGAGAGGGTCAAGGAAACCCACAAAGCAACAGATGATTCTAATTAGGAAAAATTATTCAGGAAGCCTAGGTGGCCTCAGCTGTAGCCTATCTTGTTCCTTGCAGTGTCACCTCATTCTCAATTCAATCATGCCCAGGCCACACCACAGCCCTGCACATGTATTCATCTTCAACCCTTTCCAACAACTCTCTCTTATTTTGTTTGGTTGACTTCCAGGATGGGTGGCCAGCTTAAGGTGGGGAAGCATTGAGGAGAACTCAAATTTAAACTCATCATAGTCCATCAGTTCATAACAGCAGTCATTTACCAGAATAGCCAGCAATTGTCAGAGGATGTTAGCGATCCTAGCTCCCCCCTCAGCCAAGCTTTTACATTGCACTATATCTTCAGAGGCCAGACTTTTCTTCAGGATGTCCAAGGCCAAGCTAACATGAGACCTGCATTAACTACTGTCTTAGTTATTTTTTACTTGTTTCTGAGACAAAATACGTGAAGCCCAAGTTGAGAAAGGAAAGGTTTATTTCTTCATTTTTTGGAGGTTTCAGTCCACACTCAGTTGGCTCCAAGGCAGGTGTACATGGCTGGGCCACATTTCATGACAGCTGCAAACAGCAAGCAGGAACCAGCAAAAAGCAAGACACACTGTTTTCCTGCCATTATATTACATCCTGGCTCCACCCCTATGTGGGTGTAGCACTAACACCATCAATCCACCTACTACACAATGAACCATCACAAATGCACAATGCAAACTCATGAAGCCTGGGGGACACAGGCATAAACCATGACATTCCACCCCTGGCCCCCAGGACTCATGTATATCCATTATACAAAAGGCATTTAGTCCACTTCCAAGAGTTGACAACGTCCTATGTTTCAGCATGCTGAACAGTCCAATTCCCAAGTCTCCTCCAAGATCTAAGGCAAACTCTTAACTGTAACCCCTGTACAAATCAAACAAGGTTAAACGTTTCTCAAATGCAAAGGCACAAGGTAAACATTACCATTCCAAAAGTTACAAGAATGGGAATATAAAGTACTGGAGAGAAAAGAAGTCCAGCATGGTGAACAATAAGTCCTAGAATTCCATGTTCAGCATCAGAAGCAATCTGGTTGCAAACTCCAAAAGGCTTGGGTAATTCCACCCCCATGGCATTTCCAGCAATTTTAACTCCAACAGCTTTTCTCTTAAATCTTCTCTGCTCTCTTTTAGCAGCTTCCCTTGAATCAACCGCATTCTTGCCTTTATCAAACATCTGCAGTCTCCACCGCACCTTTGGCTTCACCCTTACGTCTTCACAAATTGCCCTCTCAGGGGCACACCTTTTGGCCTCCCAGGCACTTTGCAATTGAGGTGGATGCCATCTTGCCTCAGAATTTGTGCATTTTCCTTGCACCTAAAATCAGCACCTTGTGGATGCCACCAAGGATTGCTGCTGACTGGAGCAGTACCTACGCTTTTCTGCCTTTTGGCAATAGGGGTTAGTTGCCTGGATTGCAGGGCTCTGTTTACATGATTGTGAGGAAAAGCTTCTCAAAGGGGCCAGCATTCTGGAACCTCAAGTGGCTTCTGTTGCCATTCTAGAACATGGCACTCTGCAGCTTTTCCCACTGAGCAAATTCTTTCACTTTTGCAGTGAGGTTGCACAGAGTGGGGACCCCCTTCCTATGATGCCCTGGGGCCATCTTTCTTAACGCTCTGTTTCTCCTCAGGAGTCAAACTCTCAACTCTGTCTTTGCAATCCACAGTTTTGCTGGAATTTTCCTTCTGGCCAAACTCAGCATTGTACACTACCCTGCTGATCTCTTTGTTTTTGAAATGCAACATAAATCTGGCTAAAATCCCCCAACAATAGCCATGCCACAGCCTCAAGGTTTGATTGCTTTTTAATTTCTTTTCCAAGATTAATCAGTCCATTGCCCTTTGTCTCAGTCTCAGCAAAGTCTCTGGGCAGTAGCAAAATGCAGACAAACCTTCTGCCAAGCCATAACACACATCAGGTGGAGTCCAACAACCAATGCAGTCCTTCTTCCCAACAAAAAACTCCCAAGCCTGGTTTTTATCATCAAGCCTTCTATCAGCCTTCTGGTCTCCTGAGGTCTGACCAGAATCCCCTCTACAGAACAGCCTAAGCTGCTCCAGCTCTACACATCCAGGCGACATGTCCAAACCTTTCCAAACTCTGCCCACAAGCCATTTCCAAAGCCTCTCGAAAAACATGGTCAAGAATAGTCACAGCAAAAGACCCCACTCCTAGGTACCAAATTCTGTCTTAATTACTTTTTACTTGTTGCTGAGACAAAATACCTGAAGCCCAATTTCAGAAAGGAAAGATTTATTTCTTATAGTTTTTGCAGGTTTCAGTTCACACTCAGTTGGCTCCAAGGCAGGCAGGTATGGCTGGGCCACAGTTCATGGAGGCTGCAAAAAGCACACAGGAACCAGCAAAAAGCAAGATACACCTTCTTCCTGCCATTGAATTACATCCTGGCTCCACCCAATGTGGGTTTAGGACTGACACCATCAATCGGAACACTAGACAATGAACCATCATAAATGCACAATGCAAACTCATGAGGCCTGGGGGACACAGGCATAAACCATGACATTCCACCCCTGGCCCCCAGGACTCATATACATCCATTATGCAAAAGACATTTAGTCCACCTACAAGAGTTGCCAAAAGACCTTCCTATCAAGGTCACTTAGGTCTTCTCAGGAGTTATCTTAGAACCATGCATAACACCTCATGGCTCTTCTGTCAGTGTCAGCCACTTACAAGAGTCACAATGATTGCTTCACCACGTTGCTCTCTGTGAAAGCTTGGGAGATTTTTCTCCTGTGACTCTTGTTAGGCACACCTAATTAAACTGGAATTTATATCTTTTATTCATTTTTTGGTACTGGGGATCAAACGGATTACTTTACACTTGCCAGGCAGGAACTTAAGCCACTGAGCTAAATCCCCAGCCACCTAATATATATCTTTCACATCTTATCATCTTCAGAGAAGTGGCCTCTATTCTTGGACTTGATGCCAGCAAGCATAAAAAATGTGAATAAAATCAGTCAAGGCCAAATAACATTCAAACAAACCAGCTTCCAATAAGATCAGTCATACTAAGACAATATAAGTAATACAGGGTTTCAGTTTTAGTTAATAGGAAATTAAGGACAGTTACCATCATGGTATAACCTGCTATTTTTGGGTTACATCTCTGTGCCCTCAAATCTATTATGAGTAGACAGACCAGAACAAAATATAATCAAAATAAACAGAGCAACAGAACTACTATAGCTTTTAAATCCTGATACACTTTTAACAATGTCCTCTGCCTTCTTTTTTTAGGCAATTCCTCACTTTTCTCCTTCTCAGGATACTATTATTCACTGTTCAGAGTATATTAGTTTAGTCTCTTATGTTCAGTTTCAGCATACATTAAAATAAAGACATCTACTATGAAGAGAATGAGACACATTATGGTAATCATCAACTTCCCCAAAATCAGTCTTGAAGATCAAAAAAGCCTGCATCATCCTGTAATTATTTGATTAGTTCTATAATGTTAAGTATATATTCAATGCTTGTGAAGATGGGAACAACTATTTGGAAAAAAACTAGAGACAGTAAGATAGACAATGAACATCTCAGTGGACTTGCTTTGAAACCTGTGTTTCCTTAACTTGTTTCCTTATCAACTGTTCTGTTTTGTTTTGTCATGTTTAATCTTACGATCTTTAATGTAAAAAACAAGTTTGTAGAACATATAAGCATATTAATAAGTTTTTGTTGGATCACTGAGGTAAAATGTTCGCAGTGTCATTATTTGAGTATCACATTCTATGCTTAATTTTGTAACTTGAACAATTACTTCTAAGATGACAATATGTAACAAATCAACTAGTGACTTCTTATTGTTTATTTTTCAGAAATTCTGTATTATTTCTATACATTTTTGGTTTTTTTTTAATAAAAATAATTCACCAAAAATATAAAATTAAGTTTTAAAGACAAAATATTAAGTACATAGACACTATCCATACTTGAAAGTGAAAAGCCTATTTCATTTACCATGTTTAATTACAAGATGCCATGTTGAAGCACAAAGACACATTAAAAAATAAAGAGGTATAAGTGATTAACTGAAAACCATACAAAATGTGTACTTGAGTAGAGCTCCACTTCAGATTTGTTGTTTCTGGAAAATTTGTGAAGAAATATTGACATCAAACTACTGTATTGATTATTTCTTCAGGTCTTCTTGGAACTTTTAAAGTAAACTTAGATCTAAACTGTCTGAAGAGTGCTGCTTCTTCTATGTATTTAACAATAAACATGGATTGTCATATTTCTCACACTGTTAATACACATAGGATCCAGTGAGCTCTTTCAGATATATAACAGTGATCAGGTGTGCTGAGTATTCACATAACATATAGGATTTATCTCTTGTGTGATTTTCTTCATGTATTTCACTTACAATCTGGCTGCTGAAAATGTCTCCACTTGCTTACGTAGCCATCCCAGTGTGAACTGTTTCATGTGTTTTGCAATGACTGTGTGTGTTAAAAGCTTTGCCACATTGTTATATGCATAGGGTTTCTCACCAGTGTGGAGTCATTGATGTATTTTACAAAATCCATGTGTGGTGAAAGCTTTCCCACATTATTCACATAAACAGGGTTTCTCAACAGTGTAAATTTTTTCATTTATTGGACAATGAGCATTTCTGCTGAAACCTTTCCCAAATTCAGTACATATATAAGATTTATGCCGTGTGAAGCTTTTCATGCATTATGCAATATGTACTTGTGCTCAAAAAATTCTCATGATGCTTATATACACTGGTTTTAACTTGAGTGTGAACTTTCATGTTGCTTACAATGTCCACGTTGGGTAAAAGCTTTCATATATAGGCTTTACATATATAGGGTTTCTCTCCAGTGTGAACTCTTTCATGTTGCTTACAATGTCTATATAGGGTAAAAGCTTTCCCACATTTCTTACATACATATGGTTTCTGGTCAGTGTGAATTCTTTCATGTTCCTTACACTGTCGATGTGTGTTAAAAGCTTTCCCACATTGCTTACATACATAGGGTTTCTCTCCAGTGTGAATTCTTTCATGTTCCTTACAATATCTATGTGTGGTAAAAGCTTTCCCACATTGCTTACATACATAGGGTTTCTCTCCAGTGTGAATTCTTTCATGTCTTTTACAATCTGCCTGTGTGTTAAAAGCTTTCCCACATTGCTTACATATATAGGGTTTCTCTCCAGTGTGAATTCTTTCATGTCGCTTACAATGTCTACGTCGGGTAAAAGCTTTCCCACATTGCTTACATACATATGGTTTCTCACCAGTGTGAATTCTTTCATGTTCCTTACACTGTCTGTATCTGTTAAAACCTTTCCCACATTGCTTACATACATAGGGTTTCTCTCCAGTGTGAATTCTTTCATGCTTCTTAAAATATCCCCGTGTGTTAAATGCTTTCCCACATTGCTTACATACATACGGTTTCTCTCCAGTGTGAATTATTTCATGTTGCTTACAATTTCCATATTGGGTAAAACCTTTCCCACAATGCTCACATACATATGGTTTCTCTCCAGTGTGAATTCTTTCATGTTGCTCACAAGCTCCATGTTGGGTAAAACCTTTCCCACATTGCTTACATACATAGGGTTTCTCTCCAGTGTAAATTATTTCATGTCGCTTACAATGTCCAGATTTGGTGAACCCTTTTCCACATTGCTGACATACATAGGATTTCTCCCCACTGCCATATTTTTCATGGATCTGAACATTGTGGTGTGTTTCTGCTTCTTTCACATTCACATTACCTTCTGCAGTACAAAGGAATACTTCTTTACACTGATTCCAAGATGTATGTCCATAGGATTGCCCTAGCTTGTCATTTCTGTCAAAAAAAATCACATATCAGATTGATAACCATATTACTAAGTTTTTATTGGAGATTTGAACAAAAATTTTTGCAGTCTCGCTGTTTGAATCCCCACTTCATATGCTTCACTTTTGTATTTCATTATTTCTCTGAGCAGCATATGTAATCATTGTCTTTAGATTTCTGTTTATTTTCACTTTGAAAGTGGTATCATTTCTACTTACTTTGTTTTTTTTTTACACTTTCCTTACATTAAATAAAAAAATAAGAAACATTCACAGTGAAACGTATCTCAGTTTAATGACTGTATTAATGTCAAGTTTTGTTTTTAATGCCTGCTAAGAAATTCTGACCATGAAATAACAGAATGGCCTTGTAAGACATGTTGAAAACAACCATTCCCAAAAGAATGCTACACATTTGGAAATCTTAAAATTTGATACCTTTTGAAATGCAGAATCCTTATCTTGACTTTGGGCATGGGTACATATGTGTATCACATACAGATCATTCTGATATGTTTGCCCATCACAATCTCCCTTCTGTCCTTAACCTGTAGTTCCCTTTTCCATATGGTCAGTCTTACTTTTCTCTATTAACTCTTTCATTTCATTCCACAATTTATATTTTGGTTTCTCATCTAAAAAAACCCAGTGAACTTTTAGATTTTATAGCTGAGCTATTTCACCAAATTGTTGGGACAAAAAACCACCTATTTCTTATGGCAAATGACATTATATTATTTATTTTTTGTCATTATATAACACATTCTTTTCTTTTCCATGGTGGGAATGAACAACAGCTTTTAGCATAAAATCTATAGCTTTTTAAATCTGTTTTAAGACATTTTCGCTGATCATTAAGCTGTGAAGTTTGAACTTGAATTTGCCATTCTGCAAAATCTGATTTCTTGTGTGCTGGATTTATAGGTATGCACAATCACAGAGAGTCTATTAATATTTTCCTTCTCCACAAATCCAGTGATAGATAGCTAAGCTTCTTAAAGGCCTGATCTATTATAACTTGATCTGCTTTGTATATGAGCAAGCATGTATCAGTATTTTAAGTGCATTTTGAATTTTTAAAATATATCTAGAACAAGTATGAGGGGATCAATTTCTAGAGACAACTGCACACTGATATTCAGAATGAGTGCACTTAACATTCTAGCAGCCTTCTAAGAATTTTAGTCAGAATGGCTGATTCTTCAGAGCATGGCTTGGAAACACAAGAACTCCATTTTATTTCAAATTCTATTGCAATCTTAGCAATTTTTAGATGATGAATGTGTTGTATTCACATGTATATATGAGTAGAAAAACTGAAGAGAGAATGTCATAACTCAAAGTGTATGCCTTTCATACACATCTATATGCAATATCATACATTTTCTTGATTTAATCCACTCATTATACATACCCTAGCTTATACGTCTTCAGAGAATATTACTGACAATAAATTGAATGGTGCCTCATTTCTTTGGCGGCATTTTTCTGCTGACTCACTAATTACTCAGGAACATTCCTTCTTCTTATGAGTGCAAATTACCTTAAGTATCTCCAGTAAATTTTGCATTCTTTTTCAACTTCCTGGATATCCCCAAGTCCTCCTGAATTGTAGATATAGAAATACCAGTGCTCATTAGAATAATACATACAAATTAATAGATTTTGTTTAGAGTTATGATATAATGTGTCCAGGTCTGAGCTATTTTTAAAAATATTTTCACATTGTTTTTAATGAAACAGCACTGATGCGTGACATACAACATTCTGACAGCATGAGTGACAAAAGTATTTTGTCCTTACCTATTGCAATCATGTTCCTAAAGATTTCGCCCATCACATCTCTGTAGAGGTTCTTTTGGGATGGACTCAGCAAAGTCCACTCCTCATTGCTGAAGTTCACGACCACATCCTCAAAGGTCACCACCTCCTAAAGGATCGATCATACATATATTTCTCACACGAAGGTTGAGACACCAGGTTTGGGATATCTTAAATTCTCTCCTACAAATCTGAATCAAAAGCAAAGTGTGGTGATATATATCTATAATTCCAGCACTCAAAATGCTGAGGCAGGATGGTTATAGTGAGTTCAGGGCAATTCTAACCTCCATATGGTGTTCAAATCCAGCTGATATACATATAGAAAGCTTGTCTCAATAAAACAAAACTAAACTAAACAAATACAACCAAACAAAACAGCTGAATGAAGATTGATTTCTTCAAATTTAAATCATGTCTTGGTCATTAATTTTGTGTATATACACATTTTTGAAGACAGCAAATTTGATGATAGATTGCAACTCACTGCTAATGTAAGAGTGAAATAGGAGCACTGATTCTTGTGCTGAGTCACTGCAATAGTCCCTGTGTTCTGTCTCTAATGCAGAGCTCACAGTGAAAAGCCTGTAGGACCAGCATCCACAAAGCACAGAGGCAGATAAATATCCCATCAATCAACTGTGAAGCCAAGCAAGCACCACTTCTCCCTGGTAAGCAATGGCGGTCTGGCAGAATGTGGCCCTTCCAGGGGGAGAAACAGCAGCAGCTCCTGAGACCCACACCATGTGGGATCTTAGGATGCTGTGAAACCAAACAACTGGCCTGTCTCCCTACTAAGCAATAGTGAACCTACAGATGCACGGCCTAGAATCAAACATCCCACTTCCCTACCCCTCTTCTCCTGTCACCCCCCTCCCCCGCCCGTTAGCAAATGGGAAACAGAAATCTGAGAGTCTCCTGGGAAGCAGACCATAACAAATAATGGGGATTTCCTTCTACTATCTCTTTGAAGGCTAATATTTTTGTTACTGTTTTGCTCTATTCTGAGTAATAGTATTACTCTATTCAATATTTTTTGATAAGTACTATAATGTTCTGTATTTCATCTCATTTTGATATATGTGTTTGAAAGAACAACTATTAGGGCTGGGGATTTAGCTCTGCGGCATAACCATCTGCCTCACAAGCACAGTCATAGATTCGATCCTCGGTACCGATAAAAAGGAAAAAAAAAAAACAAAAGAAAGAACAACTATTATAAAGATAATAAAATATACTGTGATACCTATTATTGTTATCGCAGTAACCAGTTGTGAAGTTGTGTACCATTTTCACTATATGATCTTAGTTGGCCTCATTCTGCCTTGTTCTGTTGTATTTTACCACTTTCAAAATTTAAAAAAAGAAAAAAAATCTCATCAATCACTGTGATAGGCTGCAGATAATGTCTCTTCTAATCTCATTTAGGCCAGTGAGTACTTTGTTCTTAATATACTTCACCAGCATTTTGAAACATGAATTTGGTTGCATAGAACAAAACATAAATAACATCCAATATGGTACACAAATAATAAACGTTAGTGGAAAATGCTGTTTTTAAAAAATAACTATATAAAATGGAAACAGGCCCAAGCTGTAATTTATAGCTCACTGTCACCAAGCATTCACTATCAATTCAGATATAAGGAATATATCTTGTGAGGCTGGTGAAGGACTTCTTCCTTGAATTTGGCGCTACCCTAAGTTACAGAGCTGTCTAACATAGAGAAACCCTGACTGTGACACCCCACAGACAAAGTGAAACTTGAAAAGAGACTGCGTAAGACACCTTCGATTTGTTTTTAAAAATTATACCCATACAATATGCAAAAATTCCAAAAATATTCAACACTTTCTGAGAAACAATGTGGATATCTGCCATACAACAAAGAAAACACTTGCATAGTTGGGTATTTAGCTCAGTGGCATGAACACCTGCCTGGAAAGCATAGGTCAGGAGTTCGATTCTTGGTACAAAAAAAATCCACATTTTACCTTCATAACACTGGGGCATAATTAGAGATAATCAAAATTAGATCTCAAGTGTGGAATAGAAAATGCATGGGTTGACAAGGATGTGAAACACTGATTTTTGCCAGAGCTGGTGTTGATCACATCAAGGAAGCAATCAGAACCCAACTTTAACTTCACACTTACTCTAAGAACTACCTGAATTTCAGTGAAGACCCTCTCTGTTGCATGTCCTGCTATTGGCTTCCTGCATTCTGTCAGTCACTTGCACATCCTTTCCACGCTCCTCTGATCCATGCAATGTTCATCTATATTCGTATCCTACATTACATATAAAAGAGTATTAAGTCATCCATTTCCACTCACCTATTCAAGAAAATACCAACTATTTATTCTTAAGTGAATTGAACAGGAGAGAAGTAATATAGAATGAAACACTATAAATAATGCAGTGGAAAATAAAATGGAAAAACCACACAGGCATCCCTCCCAGGATGAGAGGTCTGCCACTGACCAGCTCCTCTCTCCTGTCCTCACTTGATGTGCAGGCCTGTGTCTCTTCACTGCTGGGTGGAGAGAGAACCAGGACACGAGCTCTCTTCAATCTCAGGAAAGATCAGGGACATGGCCTACTTTCAGCATTTTCAGTGGCTGCCATTTATAAAAAACTCAGCAACTGTGCTGTGGAACATTCATGGTTCCTAACTGTCCACACCTTAACTGATTAAGAAGAGAATATGGTGTCTATCAAACTCATTTTTTAAAATGAACCTTAAAGTGGAATTTCCAGGTTAAATGTATATAAGATGAATTTGAGGATCACAGATATTTCACCTGAAGCCTCAGCATAGAGCTAGAGCCTGGTATAGGAAGACTGAGTCTGCTCAGATCTACGTGGAGATCTAAAGTCAGAGAGATGGTCCAGGCAGAGGTGCAGGACACCATGGCACCTAGCAGGAACCATGGCTAAAAAAGGCCCAGTCCAGGCTGCCTCATCCATCAGTGAGTTCTAAGGAAAGCGTCACACATTCCACACTGGAAAGGAAAAAGCTGAAATGGTTCTAGAGCTCCTTCCTACATGCCTAAGGCCCCCTGTCTCACTCAGGGGAGCTCTGCATGAGAAGGTCAGTCTGTTACAGAGCTCAAATTGACTGAGTATTTTCCACCCAGATGCAGATCTGAACTGCCACATGTGGACTCACCATAGCTATGGAACAGGACAGGTGTTTACAGGGTGCAGGCGAGGTGATGGAGGCACTGCAGGCTGGTCAGGGTACAAAGCCTTAAATAAGAGACCAGGCCCTCACCAGCCCCACTTTCCTCCAGCAGTAACCAAACCCTGCAAGAGTGTGCATTAAAAACTGAGTAACTGAAAGGAGTTACTCACAAAATTATATATTATGGAGATAGTTTGAATATACAAAAGTAAATGGTAACATCCATAAATAAAATGAGATGTGACCCTTAAAGGATATGTGGTGTCCATTGATGTCCCCAAACTACACGCATCAGAAGGAAACAGTCTGATGAACAGAGCAATAAGGAGCACAGGCAATGGGTAAACATCACAGCTGCTTAATAACAACAACAAAGCTAGGATACAATAAGTGCACTGGTGAATTTTATCCAGGATGTGGTAAAGAATGAATACTGATTGTTTTTCAATTCTCCCATCAAGTTGAAGAAAAAACCACCACCAACTTCTTTTAAGTGACAAGTCATCCTGAGAATGAAGCCAGATAATAATGTGTTAAAAATAAAATAAATGAAAATGCTCTGTTGGCTAATATTCCTAACGAACATACACAAAAGTATTCAGCTAAATGTTTGCCACATTAACTCACCATCATATTCAAAATTAACCAACACAATCAACACTGGGCTCAATCTCAGTGGTGCAAGAATATTCCCTCTCGTGCACAAACTAGTAAGTGTTGCTTCACACTTTCACAGCATAAGGTACAGCTAACCCCTGAAGAGATTTGGAAAGACAGCTTTGAGAACCTCAAAAGTTCACCATTTTTTCATGATATAAATCATTCATAGACTATCAGTAGGAGGAATGGACCTCAGCACAGCATGACAAGCTCCATCCTTGTCATGGTGCTCAGGTGCTGACAAGCTGCAAGCTTAGCTTCTAGGGTCAGAAAGGAGACAAGGCTTGCAACTCTTTTCACCATACAGTACTCGAAGTCCTGGCCATAGAATTTAATCCAGAAAGAGAAAGCAAAGCCTTCCAAATCAGAAAGGAAGAATTAATTGTTGTTACAGTTCTCCTGAGGGTGCAGCATTGTGTATATAAGAAATTTAAACTACATTGACAACCTTATAGAACTAATTCACAAATCACTTAAATTGCAGGACACATGAGCAACATGCTCTAATCAATTTATTACTACCTACTACAAACAAATTGTAGCGTCAAATACAAAGAACACAATTCAATTCACAAATAATCAAAAATAACTAATGATTAGGGAAATTGAAGCAAACTCACATCTTCTTGGAATGCAATAAGTAGAAGAGCACTAACAGAAGAAAAGCCATACTGTGATGAGTGATGGGAAGAATTCATGTTATAATGTACATGCTACCCAGAGCAACCAGGTGTTTCAGTGCCATTCCTGTCAAAGTATCAGTGCCATTTTCCTAGAAACATTAAAAAAATTGAAATTCACAAGGAAGTACAAAGAGTCTTCCTATAGCCATAGAAAGAACATTAAAAGTAGAGGCATCAAAATACTAGTTTCCAGGTATTATAAAGTAACAGTAGTTAAAAGGGTTTTACACTGGAAGAAAAGGACCACAGACTAAAACAGCTTGCCCAGATGCACACCAAGTGACAAAATCACTAGGAATTTTGTTTCTTCTTTCCTTTCTTTTCTTCCCTATTTTTTCATTTTCATTTTATATTCAGGGTCTTGCTGTGTCATTGGAGCCTGAGCTGAACTCAGAATATGTTGCAGGCTTGTCTGGAACTCCAGGAACCCTGCTGCCTCAGCCACTTGAGTACAGGCATTACAGGCATTTTCACCATTCCTTGCTCAGCCAGTAAGTTTTTTTTTATTTGAAGAGAAAGACAAAAATAAATGAAGCAAGACAGTAAAAGGCTAGAAGCAACACAGAATTTCAAGAGAAAAAAACATACAGTAAGAGTTCACCAGTTAATAGATCACACATTGTCAAGTTACAAACAGCTGTCCAGATTACAAAATTAAAGCATACAAAGTGGAGATTAATACAGTGAGATTGCAGTCAGTTCTGTTCAATGATCCAAGACAAAGTCAGCAATATGGTTCTCTTTCCTACACAGCTAAATAAAGTTGCAGTTGTATCCTGGAGATCACTTTCCTTCCTCTCTTTTTTACACTAACAATCGCGCATTTTAGTTTCCATTACTTCCACAGTTTTTTTACTTTTTCTTTGAAGAGAAAAAGAAAAAAGTTTGAAAAAAAAACAGGCCAAAAAACAAAAAACAAAGCAAGATGGAGCACATCAATTTCTCCATTATGGTAAACCTTATGCTAGGTGTGCTGACTAAAGTACACACACAAAAGAACCTCACAAAGATTTCTCACTAGAAAGTCTATTTTTGACTTTTCATTTTTATCATTTTTTTTTTTTTGCTCGCTTTCTTCTTTCTTTTTTTCTTCAGACAGGGTTTGCTATGCAGTTCAGTCTGGCCTTGATCTTCCGTTGTGGCCCAGGATGACCAAAAACTCATCACAAACTTTCTGCCTCGGCCTTCAGAGTCCTGGAATAACAGGTGTGCAACAACATCCCTGATTGTGTTTTCCTCTTTAAATTTTGTCCAAAACAAAACTCCTCAAAGTTTTTGATATTCTCAAAGTTCATTAGGTTGGTTATACAAAACCAAATCAGAAAGTATTGAAAACACCCTGAAGAACTTTCAAAATCCTCACTAACATACAACATAACATAACAGAGCACAATATAGTATAGCCTAATAACACAAAAATAAATAAAAAAGGAACCACATAACTCTGCTTTAAATATCTGCTTCCAAAAATACAGCAAGAATTTCTAAGTTATCCATACACCAGCAATATGATGCATTTTCTTTGAAATAAATGTTGGTATCCACTCAAATGCTTGTGTAAGAATGAGTGTGGCAGCTTCCTTTTGAAGTCTGACCCAAAAACATAAAAAATGGCCATCACAAGATGGGTGACAGGTGCATGTCCTTGCTTCAGCCACATAATAGTGGGTGGTGGCAGCACAGAGAGAGCCCAGCATGGAAACACTGCTTCAAGGAAACCAACCAAAGAGTATTACAACTGAAAAGGCTCAGCACCATCCCCTCTAGGAAAGGGAAACTACTCATCAGGGACACAAAGCCCATGGTCTGATTGGCATGGGAGGAAAGGAAGTGACAGCAGCAGCTAGGAGACAAGTTCCCCAGGAATGATGCACATGTGTCCTTCATCAGTACGGGGTGATGATGTCACCTCCCCATTTTTGCCAGAGCTGGTTTTGATCACATCAAGGAAGCAATCAGAACCCAACTTTAACTTCACACTTACTCTAAGAACTACCTGAATTTCAGTGAAGACCCTCTTTGTTGTATGTCCTGCTATTGGCTTCCTGCGTTCCGTCAGTCACTTGTACATCCTTTCCACGCTCCTCTGATCCATCCTCTGCAGGAAACCCTTAATGCCTAACTATTGATATCACTGCAAAATTTCTGTTTAGAGCTTCTCCTTTACACCACTTAGTAAATTCCATTGCAGAGCATTTCCATATTTAAACTGTCTATGAACAACCAAGCCACTAAATCAGCTCTTAATTCAGAGATCACACACCTATTCCTTTCCACTCAGAAGGATATCACGTGTATATGTCCATGCAAATGCCTAAATTTCAGCATTTTTTGATGAGAATTTAACAGGTAGCCCTTTCAGGAATTTGTCCTTCACAAATTTTTACCCCGTCCTTGATAACACTTTCACATTTGCTTCATTTTTCTCAGACTTCAAAACTCTATGGCTGTTCTCACAAACCTAGTCTGTGAGTAAGGGCGCCACCTAAATAATTAAGTATGTTCAGAAATTATTTTGCACTGATCTGTATAATACACAGGAGTTCATGAGTTGTTTGGGAAGCCTTTTTCCACTGAGGCACACTACTACACATCTCTGAATTCTCAGGACCTTTGCCACTACCTGTCATGAGGATGGAAATATGAGAACATACTATAAATTGAGGAGATCGCTACAAATACAAAAAAGCCCAAGTTTAAGTTGAGCCATTGTGGCTATGAGGCCCTGCATTACAGTCATTAATAAACTTTGGACATTCCAGATCTGTGACTCTGAGGAAAGAGAGCAGAGACCTAGCTCATTACTGCTCTACAAGCTACAAAAAGTATCATACTCAGGGTCTTCTTAAACTCCTTCCAATGCCTAAGATTGTGGGGTTACCAGGCCAGCAGTGAATTTCAAAGATGATACTTGAGTCTGCTGCTGTCATAGTGAAGCCAGGGTTCTGGGGACCCCAAATCACCCTTGCCAACAGCAAGAGGCAAAAGGGACAGTGAATGACCCATGGACAATGCTGGAGGACCTCAGGAGCTGAAGCTAACTAAATACCTGAGGCTCCAGACACTGGAATTACTTCTAAATACTTGTAACTGGTTTCACCCAATCCACCCTATCTCTGGCCTCCCATCCACAACCTCGCCATTCCATGGCTCCAGGATCTCTCAGGTTCTTTGCTAATCAGGCCACAGGACATCAAAAGTACTAAATGAGATGCAGCAAGCATTTGGCTACCAGTATCCTACTCAGAAAAGGTAAATCATGCTGAGACACTGGAAGAGACAAAAGTCACAGCCAGCAATAGCCTGAAAATTGGACACTTCATATAGCCAGCCCCTTCATCAATGATTGACTCCTGCTCTACTGCTCTCCTTCTGAGTCAAGAATCAACAGGGAAAGGAACCCCTCCTTGCAAGAGAGGATCTCAAAAGATAGACTGTAGTGCTGGGACTTCTGGAGCTGCCATTCTTCTACAGTGGTGAACTCAGCTCGACCAGAGGAGTGTTTGTACTGAAGAGCTTTACCTCGGTCTTTTAATTTTCAAATCCATTTTATTTCAATGAAAAAAGAACACATCAACTAAAATTAAATTTCAAAACATGTCAATCGGGGGTAACACTTGGATATACATTGCACACTGTAATCCCCAGATCATTCACCCAGAGCACAAGACATCTGTAATCAATTATCCAAACAGTACTGTTACAGGCACCTGAGTTATTTAAATAGTATTGCCATAAGGCAGGGCTAGGTCCTCCAAGGAGTCCATGCAGGAGACCAGATACCATGCAACTATGGGGAAGACTGACACGTCATGCTATGCGCCAAGTCTCAAGACAAATGATAAGCAAATTCATCCATATCCTAAAGACTGATATTCTAAATAGTGCCTTAGCACTCTGAGGAGGTCAGGACTCACCATTCAAAGAAAAGTATGCTTATTCTAAGGACTGACATTTTAAATATCTCCTATCATCCTGATGAACTCAGGTGTCACCCTCCCATAACCCTAAGGGAAAAGTCACTGCTGCCTAAGAATGCCTGCTTCCTATGTGACTCCCTTCCCCTTTGTTCCCAATTTAATCAACTTTTACATGAACTTATAATCTTATTGGCTACCATAGCTCTGTCCCATCTTATGCCCATCTGCATTGTGAGTTCCGATTTTTCCCCACCTTAAACTCAGCTTACCACATGATTTTACTCTACAAAGTTCCCTAGAAAGACAGTGTTTGGCATCCCGCTCAGGACCCCTTCTCTCTCTCAGGTGGCTTTCTTTCTCTCAAGAAGTATATTGTGCTCTTAATTTCTGTTGTTCCTAAAATTCATTCTTTCACTTTAGAGAACCCAAACTCATACCACACATGGAAGGTCAGGAATTTCATTCCACTATATCATGGTATGGTTGCCTCTATTTCTAACTAACTCAGCTGCCTGTAAATTTAAGAATTGTTTATCAATTTGACTTGGACTAACTGTAGCAAATAAAATGTTCTTAATGAATATACGGATATATATCATTAAATTGAAAAAACGATTATCACAGTTTTTCTACCTAGCACCAGCCAACATTTTCAACTTTCAAGTATGTGGGAAAACAAAAAATAAAACCAACTCAGAAAATAGCAATCCTATAAGGGACAGTATATCATTCACTGTAATACCCATGTTATCTGCAGGTATTTCATAGGTCACAAAAGAAATACTGAGCCTATTAAATACCAAGTATCAGTTTCAATAAATGTGCTTATAGCACTGCATCGTTGACAATTGTGATTTTTTTTTTTCTGTATGAGGGATTGAACTCTTGACCTTGTGCTCTCCAGGAAGCTCCTTGTATTCTTGAGTTCAATCTCCAGACCCAACTACTTTAGATACTAAATATGACTATTAACAATGTTTAATTTGCCATTGACATATTTAGTTATAAATTTTGTAAATCTTAATTTTCACAAATGAAATTATTTTCTTTCCTTGCAGTTTAAATTACTTTTTTTTTTAGGTACCAAGTATCAAAGCTACAACCTAGCACATTCCAGGCAGGTGTTCTGCCTCCTAAGATAAATCCCTGGCCTGTATTAATGAATATTTCACTTTATTCATTCAAATAGAACTGTGATTTTAGCAAAGGATATCAATGTAGAGAGAAATTGATATACAATGAGAGAGGAACTGGAACCTCAAATAGTTAATGCAAAAAACTAAATACAACAATCACTGCTACCGGCACAGCTGAAGAAAGACAGACCTGAAGGTGAAGATGAAGTGACCAGGTCTACATGGTCCTGAAGAGAAAAACAACAGTTTGAAATGTACTACAGTTACCACCACCTCCTCCAGGAAGTTCAGATGGGCATCAATTACCATACTCAATGACCAGAACAACTGGACTATTGTTCCCACAAAATGCCTTGGCTCTTTCCACATACCTTTTCTGGCTGACTTGTTACCCTGTTGAATATTATTAGTTAAGCAGCTATAAGCTTATAGGTTGATTGTAGTCTGAGACCCACACTGTACCCACATTGTGACTTTCCTGTATAAATGACCCCTGAGAATAGGTCTGGGCCAAAAACCCGAAGACCACTCCTGAAAATTCAGGGCTATTCTTCTTTCTTTGTTTCTAAGAAAATTTTTGAACTTCTTTTGGTTTAAGACTTCATTTCTCAATGTTGTGAGCCATTAAACTTGCTGCATTTGATATCAAACAGGGCAGGATTATATTTCTCTTATTTCAGTTTAAATATGAAATTTCTGCTAAAGGCCATATTCCAAAGCCAGAATTTCAGGCTGCTTGTTTGCCCTGAGTTTAACATTTCCATGAGCTTTTAGAAGTCCTCAGTCTAGTGAACTGCAAATCTTTTGGAGGAAGGAGGTCACTGTTATCCTGTAGCACAATACGTGCCATTCCTAAGTCTCTGTTAGTCCCTCCCTCCTGGATGCCACTACATGGACTTCTTTCCTCTGCAACATCATTCAATAATTCCCATTTTACATAACTCAAATTTCACTCAGCTCTATTATTGTTTGTTTTTAATAATTTTTCTGTCTACTTGGTTGCTTTTTTTTTCATTTTAGTTTTTGATTTAAAGACATAGTCTCACTTTGGAGTTCTGGGAAGCCTTGCACTCACTGTGTAGGTTAGGCTGTCTTTGAATATATGGCCATTCTCCTGTTTCAGTTTCTTCATTGCTGGGGAAAAGAGGTGGGCATTATAGCACATGGTGTTTGTCTTTTTTCTCTTCTCCTTTTCACTACTATTCTTTCATTTCAGGGGCACTGTTATTTAATCCTGAGGTTTGCTTTTGTCAGTAAGGTTTCTGCAGCTTCAGCTGATTTTGTGAACAATAATATAGGAAGCCAAGCAACCCAATTGAGAAATGTGAAATTTCATTAGCTGCTCTCAGCACCACTTGTGTACAGAACCCCCACCCCCATTTCAGGATCTACACAAGAAAGAGGCTCTGAACTGGAAAGTTAGAGATGTTTTAAAAGATAGAATCACCAAAAGATAGTTGGAAATCATTTAGCTAGAATCTTATAACAATTTTTGCATGACTACTGTATTCTGCTTCTTTTGTTGAGCAGGTTATTTTTTTTCTTTGGGTACAGCTCATTTTGCTTTTCTCCTGGGACTTATACCCTGAGTGATTTTCCATTTTTCTGAGTGAAATACAGGGCACTAGTTAAATGCAAAGCTCAAGATGGCATCTATTAAGCCAACCTACAACACAGCTAAGTTACAAGCCTCAATATTTTCTATGGTAAAAACACACAGATCTATAATCCCAGCACTCAAGAGGTTCAGACAGGAATGCTGCTTTGAGGTTAGGGCAATTTTGTGCTCCATAAATGGTTCAAATCTAGCTGATATACATAGAGAAAACTTGTCTCAATAAAACAAAACTAAAATATACAAATAAAAGCAAACAAAACAGCTGAATGGAGAGTGATTTCTTCAAATTTTATTCCACATCTTGGGGATTAATTTTTGTATATATACATTTTTGAGATGGCAAATTTGATGCTATATTGCAACTCACAGCTAACGTACCAGCCAAATAGGAGCACTGATTCTTTTTTTTTTAAGAGGAAAAAGAGAAAAACACAAAACAAAACAAAGCGGTGTAAGGGTACACCTAATACAGAACTACAAAAAAAAAAATAACAGTAAGAAATCACCTGTTAGTAGATTACATATTATCATCTTGAAAATAGTTGCTCAAATCACAGTATCAAAGAATACAAGGTGGACATTCAAACAGGGAGACTGCAAACAGCTGTGTTTAATGATCCAAAAACATTGATATAGTCAGCTATTTAACACCCCTAAACACACTTGCTGTTATATCCCTTAGAGCTCTTTTTCTTTTCTTTTTTTTTCCCTCTCTTGCACTGATTCTTATGGTGAGTCACCACAAGAGTCCCTGTGCACTGCCTCCAAGGCAGAGCTCATAGTGAGAGCCTGCAGGACCAGCATCCATAAAGCACAGAGGCAGACAAATATCTCATGAATCACTTTGATGTACTAAGAGTAATATCTCTTCAAATCTCATTTAGGCCACTGAGTCCTTTGTTCTTAATATACTTAAGCAGTATCTTGATATTTAAATTTGGTTTCATAGAACAAAGCATAAATAACATCAAATATGATACATAAATAATAACTCAAAAGTTCATGGAAAACTGATGTATGTTAAAAATGTATAAACAATGAAATCAGGTACAAGTTTCAAATTATAGCTCAGTGTCAACAAGTGATCACTCTCCATTCAGATATAAGAAATATATCTTGGGAGGCTGATGCAGGAGAACTTCCTTGAGTTTGGGGCTAGCCTAAGTTACAGAGCTGTCTCAAATAGAGAAACCCTGACTGAGACACCCCACAGACAATGTGAAACTTGAAAAGTGACTGCATACGACACCTTTGGTTTGCTTTAAAAATTATATCCATACAATATAGAAAAATTCCACAATATTCAACATTTCTGAGGAACAATGTTAATATCATACATAGTATGCAGAAAACACTTTCAGAGCGGGGTATTTAGCTCAGCAGCATGAACACCTACCTAGCAAGCTTGAGATCATGAGTTCAATCCCTGTTACAAAAAAATTCAAATTTTGCCTTCATGACACTGGGTCATAATTAGAGATAATCAAAATTAGATCTCAAGTGAAGAACAAAGAATTCATGTGTTGACAAGGATGTAGAATACTGATTCTTACCAGAGCTAGTGTTTTTCACCTCAAGGAAGAAATCATAAACCAACTTTAACTTCATGCTTACCCTAGAACTACCTGACTTTCAGGGAAGACCCTCTCTGTTGTATGTCCTGCTATTGGCACTCTGCGTCCTGACAGTCACTTCCACATCCTTTCCACTCTCATCTGATCCACCCTAAGCAGAAAACCCTTCATGACTAAACTATTGATATCCCTGCACAATTTCAATTTATGGCATCTCCTTTACACCACTTAGTAAAGTCCACTGCAGAGCATTTCCATATTTCAAAAATGTATATGATCAACCAAGCTATTAAATCACCTCTTAATTCAGAGATGACACCCACATTGCTTTACATTCAGAAGGATATCACTTGTATATGTTCATGCAAATGACTACATTTAGGCATTTTTCAGTGAGAATTTAACAGGCAGCCTTTTCTGGAATTTGTCTTAGCAAGCACACTTTACCCTGCCCTTGATGACACTTTTGTATCTGCTTCATTTTTCTCAAAATTTAAACCTCTATGGCTGTTCTCCCAAACATCGTCTATGAGCACATGTGTCACATAAAGTATGTTCAGAAATTCTTTGCATTGTTCTGTATAATACACAGCAGTTCATCCGGTGTTTGGGAAGCCTTCCTCCACTGAGGCACATCACTACACGTCTTTGAATTCTCAGAACCTTTGCCTCCACCTTTCATGAGCATGGAAATATGAGAACATAGTATAAATTTAGGCGATCACAAAATACATAAATGCATAAGTTTAAGGAGAGCAGTTGTGGCTATCAGGTCCTGCAGCACAGACATTTATAAACTTCTGGCTTTCATATCTGTTGCTGACAGGAATGAGAGCAGAGACCTGGCTTATTACAGCTGCACCCAGCTTGAAAACACATCGCAATCAGGGTCTCCTCATGCCCCGTCCTGGGCCCAGACTGTTGGAGGAGCAAGGGCAGCAGTCGATTTCAAAAATGGCATTGTGGCCTGGTGGTATCACAGTGATGACAGCATTCTAGGGACCCAGAACTGTCCTGGCGCCAGCGAGAGGTAAAAGGGACAGAGGATGACACACTGCTAGCACTAGTGGACCTCAGGGTCTGAGGCTAAGCACCCAGGCTCTAGACAGCACAGCTGCTTCTCACCACTTGTTTTTTTTTTTTTCCTTTTCTTTTTCTTTCTTTCTTTCTTCATTTATTTTATTTATTTATTTATTTGGTCTTTTTCCTTTTTATCGGTACAGGGGATCGAACTCATGACTGCCTGCTTTCAAGGCAGGCGCTTATGCAGCTGAGCTAAACCCCCAGCCCCTTTTCACCACTTCTAACTGGTCTCAACCCGATTCCACCCCATTTCACTGCTCCCATCCCATAACATCACCATTGCGTAATTTGGAGGTCTCCCAGGTTCTTTCTAAGCAGTCCACAGCGAATAGAAGCAAAAAATAGTGGTCTAGCAAACATTTACTGCTCCCTTTTGTGCCCTGGCCTTGGAATTGACGCCATGACACCGGAAGATACCGCCTACCTTGGCCCGCCTGATTGGACAGTTCTTCAGCCAGCCTCTTCATCACTGATTGGCTCCTGCTCTCCTGCCTGCCTTCCCCACCAAGAATAATTACAGAAAATAAAACACCCTGTAACTGTGGATCCCCAATGAAAGCTGGTGGAGGCTTCTGGAGCTGGCTGTTTTCTGGAATGTTGACCTCAGCACGTCTGATGGGTATTTGCACTGAAAGTCTTTACCTCAGTCCTTGGTTTTTCTCCCAAACCCATTTTCTTTGAAAGTTAAAAACTAAAAAACGTGGTCCAGCGATTTAGCTTAAGCACCTGCCTGGCAAGCTAGAGGTCCTGCATTCCATCCAAGATCTGGCTACCACAAACTGCTGCTATAAACGTGGGTGCATATATATCACTGTGGTATGATAATTTTTATTCTTTTGAGTAGATACCCAGAAGGAGAATAGCTGAGTTGAGTGGGAATTGTAGACCTAGTTTGTGTGGAATCTCCACACGGATTTCCACAGTGGTTGCTTTACCACCAACAATGGAGAAGGGTTCCTTTTTCCCCCACAACCTCTCCAGCATTTGTTATTGCTTGATTTCTTGACAGTAGGCATTTTTTCTGGGGCAAGGTGACATATCAGTGTTATTTAATTTGCAATTGTTAAATGTTGAGTGATGCAGAACATTATATCACATATTTATTTGCTGTTTCTATTTCTTCATCTGAGAACTGTGTATTTCACCTCAGATGCACATTTTTGGATTGGGTCTTTAAATCTGGGAAGACTGAAATTTTTTAGTTTTTCGTGCTCTCAATAGTAATACTTTGTCTGAGGAACAGTTGGCAAACATTTTCTCCCACGTTGTGGGTTGTCTTTTCACTCTGTTAGTGAATTCTCTTGCTGTTAAAAAGTTTTTCAGTAGGGTGAGGTTCTGTCTTAATTCTCTTCAATTTTTGCTGTTCAAAAATCGAAGTTTTCTTCATAAACACTTTGCTTACATGAATGTCTTCAAGAGTTTTACTTACTCTATCTTGCAGCAGATTTAATGTTTCTGTTTTAATATAAGATCTTTGATCTATTCTGATCTTAGCTTAATACACTTTGAAAGATAATATTCAGAAAGTATAGAGCCAGTTTTTCCAGCACCATTTATTAAAGAGGCTGCTTTTCTTCCAATGACTCTGTTTGGCACCTTTGTCAAAGATAAGATGGTTTAGTGGTCTGGGGTTGTTTCTCCATCTTCTAATTTGTTCCTTTGATCTTTTCATCTGGTTTTTGTTTGTTTTGTTTTTTGTCATTACCACATCTTTTTTTTTTAATCACAATACCTTTATAGTATAATTTCAAGTCAGGGATTTTGATGAACCCTATCTTTCCTTTGTTGCCCAGGATCACCTTTGCTACTCTAGGTCTCTTCTGGTTCCAGATGAATTTTAGGATTTCTTTTGTGTAATTCTTTGAGATATGCTACGGGGTTTTGATTGGGATTGCACTAAATCTGTACAATAGCTTTGGAAGTATGGTCATTTTCACTAAATTGAATTTCCCTACCCAAGACTATGGGATAGCTCTTCATTTTCGAATATCTTCTTCAATCTCCATTTTGAGAGTACTGTAGTTTACAGTGTAGAAATCATTTACATGCTTTGTTAGATTGATTCCTAAGTATTTCATTTGGTTGGATGCTATTGTAAAAGTTATTGTTTCCTTGATTTCTCTTTCCATGAGTTTTTTATTCTTGTTTATGAAGTCTATTGATTGTTGAGTGTTACCTTTGTAACCAGCTATATTACTGAATTTGCTTCTTAACCTAGAAGTCTTTTGGTGGAATTTTTAGGGTCTTCTACAGAGACTATCATGGCTTCTGCAAATAATGATATTTTAAGCTTTTCCTTTCCTATCTTTATTCCTTTTATTTCTTTCTACTTGTCTAATTGCTCCAGCTAGTTTCCAGGACTATATTGAATAAGAGTGGAGACAGTTGTCTCCACTTGTTTTGTTCCTGATTTTAGAGTGAAAGCTTTCAGTGTTTGTCCCCTTAGTATGAGGTTGACTGTTGGTTTGTAATAAAAGGCTTTTATCAGATTGAGATGAAGATCATCTCCCCAATTTTTGTAGGTTTTTTATTATGAATAGGTGATGGACTTTGTCAAAATCTTTTTCTGCATCTATTGAAGTGATCAAATGACTTTTGCTTTTGGATTTGTCAATACGGTGTATGATATGTATGGATTTATGTATGTTGAACCACAGCTGCATCCCAGGGAATAATGCCACTTGATCATGAGGTAAAATCCTCTTGATGATACTCTGCAGTCTGTTTGCCAGTATCTTATTGGGGATTTTTGCTTCAATGTTCACTAGGCAGAATGGTCTGTAATTCTCTTTCTTATTTGGATTGTTCTCTGGTTTTGGTATCAGGGTAATGCTTACTTCCAGGAATGAACTGAGAAGTACAATTTCCCATTTGATTTCATTAAATTTTGAGAAGTGATGGTGTTAGGTCTTCTCTAAATTTCTTATTTATCCCTGCCATTTCTTGGCTACCCTGCTTTCTTTCAAAGATCAGTGGACTCTTTCCATAATGGGCTGCAAATGTTTTCAGGATTCACGTTCAATCCTCCAGGAATAAAAATCCACTGATGTCAGAAAATATTCTGAGAACAGGCCAGGGCAGGACACAACAGGACAGAGAGTTGGAAGTTTCTGTTAGAGGCAGCAGACTTCATTTTCATGATTTTCACTCATTTCTATTAATTTTCCACCAAGAAACCCAGTATGTGAACACAAAAGGAGCACAGTTACCATGTATAGTGAAGACATTACATTTAACTGATAGTAATGGTCTGAAACAGAGTAAGGATGAAATAAAAGCAAGCATCAGTACTCCAAGACAAGCTTGCTACTCATTCAGGCTCATAAAGATGCTGAATTCTGAAAGTGATCATATTGCCAAGCATGGGGGTGACAATTATTGCTGAAATGGAACCTGCTCCAATTAAACATTTCCTTCTGGTGAGGCAGGGAGACCCAAGGGCTTCACACTCTAAGTTCCCCTTGCCGTATAGTTCCCTTGTCACTAATTGGCACTCAGCTCTTTGTTGTACTCTACTTAAAAAAAAAACATGTCCTCATGATGAAAAAACGGGGCAAGACCCCAAGATGACGAATGGGGCAAGACACGTTTTTTAAAACAAGCACTTTTATTTTAGCTGGCCCAGCGACACAGTGCAAATGGAATTTGCAAAGCTGTGCAACTGAGTTAGAGTTTTGACTGATTTTTATAGTTAATTTATGATTAGCTCATTGATCAGTAAGTACATAGTGATGAGAAACAGAAATAAGGTGGGCCTTTGTTCCCCTTTGCTTGAGGACAGAGGCATTTCGCAGTGGGTGGTTGGCCAATTCATAGCCCTTGGTCTGCCAATTCCAGGAACATTTGTCTCTCATAAAGGGAACAGTGGTTGGCACAGCATCATTTGTCTCTTACAAGGGGAACAAAATTTGACATAGCACACAGGTCACTAAGGTGGCGGGGGATGACGCAGAATGATGCGGTCAGTTAATTTATACCTATGTGTTTGGTGCTTGGTTACTAGGGCAATGAGCTCAGTAGAATGATAATATTATTAATAACTATCTTTTTAAGTAACTATTTTTGTTAATTATCTTTTAATCAATTATTTTAATTTTTAGCATCTCAGTATAACACTCTTCAGGATTTTTTTTTTTTTGTCTTTTTCATTTTTTTCGGTACCAGGGATCGAACTCACGACCGCCTGCTTGCAAGGCAGGTGCTTATGCCGCTGAGCTAAATCCCCAGCCCCCACTCTTCAGGATTTTAATATTCCTAGAAGTCATATATTCCCTAAAGCCTGGTGATCCATTTGTTAACACCTTTTGGCTTCAGAAATGTGTAGGAGATTACTATGATTGCTTCTATCTGTATAAACTGCAGTCATGTGTGTTAGAACCCATGAATCAAATCTGGTCTCTGGATCCTTCCTCTCAGGTTCTGAAACTGTTCTCTGGCTCCTTGATCTCATAAAAAACTTACTTTTTCCTTTTCACTTTTTTCCAAGATATTTATGCTTTGGAAACAGTCAAAATCAAACAACCCTCATGGAAACCATGAGATAAAGAATATATTTGTATTAAATTCTATAAGTCAGGTATTTTGTACCGGTATAAAAGTAAAGAAATAAATATCTAATATAATTCAGCTAGCTGTATGTTCTGAATAATCTTCCAAATGCATCACCTCATTCTTCAACTAATTATGTAACTGAGTTTTTAATCTATGTAAACCCTAACAGTTTTTTAGCATTTACCTGTTTCAGTTTGACTCCAGCAATTCTTTGGAGATCAAAACCACTTAATTTCCTGTACAGTCCATTCTGTGCCAAGCAGGCATAACTGGCATCTGGTCAGGAATTCATGGTTAAAACAAATGAACTGCTAGAAACACCGAGACTCATGTTACATAGTACTTAGCAAGTTGATGGAGACCTCCGTTATTATCTACCAATTTCACTTATAAGAACTGACTTAGAAAAGTTATGCAGAATACTCACAATCATGTAAAGAGGTGTATAATCATCCCTTCTGAGAAATCACTATAATACCCCTCCATATGTTAAAAAGGTAGCATATGTTGATAAGTTAGCAATATATTTGTTGATAATAACACTTCCATCTACAGGTAAAGAAAATTTACATGCAACAAAATTTTCAGGAAACTTACAGTTATCCTATCTGGAAGGTAAGTTTTTATTGGAGCCTATGCCTAAATACCTAGCCCCCAAAAAAGTGCACAGCAAAGGACCAAAAGAAGGAGAAAAGTCTCATTGTCTTGAGGGCAACAGGAAGAGTGAAATCTTCTTCAGAACTCATAACTCTGCTAACCAGCCAGCCACCTGTCACTAGGCAGCCCATATTTAATCAGAACAAGCAAGCAAGTGAGTGGACAATGGTAAAAAGCTGAGCAGGCCCCTGGGAGAGGGTCAAGGAACCCACAGACCAACAGATGATTCTAATTAGAAAAATTATTCAGGAAGTCTCTAGGTGGCCTCAGCTGTGGCCTATATTGTTCCTTGCGGTGTCTCCTCATTCTCAATTCAATCATGCCCAGGCCACACCACAGCCCTGCACATGTATTCATCTTCAACCCTTTCCAACAACTCTCTCTTATTTTGTTTTGTTGACTTCCAGGATGGGTGGCCAGCTTAAGGTGGGGAAGCATTGAGGAGAACTCCAATTTAAACTCATCATAGTCCATCAGTTCATAACAGCAGTTATTTACCAGAATAGCCAGCAATTGTCAGAGGATGTTAGTGATCCTAGCTCCCCCCTCAGCCAAGCTTTTACATTACACTATATCTTCAGAGGCCAGACTCTTCTTCAGGATGTCCAAGGCCAAGCTAACATGAGACCTGCATTAACTACTGTCTTAGTTATTTTTTACTTGTTTCTGAGACAAAATACGTGAAGCCCAAGTTGAGAAAGGAAAGGTTTATTTCTTCATTTTTTGGAGGTTTCAGTCCACACTCAGTTGGCTCCAAGGCAGGTGTGCATGGCTGGGCCACATTTCATGGCAGCTGCAAACAGCAATCAGGAACCAGCAAAAACCAAGACACACTTTATTCCTGCATTATATTACATCCTGGCTCCACCTCTATGTGGGTGTAGCACTGACACCATCAATCCACATACTACACAATGAACCATCACAAATGCATAATGCAAACTCATAAAGCCTGGGGGACACAGGCATAAACCATGACATTCCACCCCTGGCCCCCAGGACTCATGTATATCCATTATACAAAAGGCGTTTAGTCCACTTCCAAGAGTTGACAACGTCCTATGTTTCAGTATTCCTGAACAGTCCAATTCCCAAGTCTCCTCCAAGATCTAAGGCAAACTCTTAACTGTAACCCCTGTACAAATCAAACAAGGTTAAACATTTCCCAAATGCAAAGGCACAAGGTAAACATTACCATTCCAAAAGTTACAAGAATGGGAATATAAAGTACTGGAAACAAAAGAAGTCCAGCAGGGTGAACATTAAGTCCTAGAATTCCATGTTCAGCATCAGAAGCAATCTGGTTGCAAACTCCAAAAGGCTTGGGTAATTCCACCCCCATGGCATTTCCAGCAATTTTGACTACAGCAGCTTTTCTCTTACATCTTCTCTGCTCTCTTTTTGCAGCTTCCCTTGAATCAACCACATTCTTGCCTTTTCCAAACATCTGCAGTCTCCACCGCACCTTTGGTTTCACCCTTACGTCTTCACAAACTGCCCTCTCAGGGGCACACCTTTTGGCCTCCCAGGCACTTTGCAATTGAGGTGGAAGCCATCTTGCCTCAGAATTTGTGCATTTTCCTTGCACCTAAAATCAGCACCTTGTGGATGCCACCAAGGTTTGCTGCTGACTGGAGCAGTACCTACGCTTTTCTGTCTTTTGGCTATAGGGTTTAGTTGCCTGGATTGCAGGGCTCTGTTTACATGATTGTGAGGAAAAGCTTCTCCAAGGGGCCACCATTCTGGAACCTCAAGTGGCTTCTGTTGCCATTCTAGAACATGGCACTCTGCAGCTTTTCCCTCTGAGCAAATTCTTTCACTTTAGCAGTGAGGCTGCACAGGGTGGGGACCCCCTTCCTATGATGCCCTGGGGCCATCTTTCTTATCTCTCTGTTTCTCCTCAGGAATCAAACTCTCAACTCTGTCTTTGCAATGCACAGTCTTCCTGGAATTTTCCTTCTGGCCAAACTCACAGCATTGTACACTATCCTGCTGATCTCTTTGCTTTTGATATGCAACATAAATCTGGCTAAAAGACCCCAACAATAGCCATGCCACAGCCTCAAGGTTTGATTGCTTTTTAATTTCTTTTTCAAGATTAATCAGTCCATTGCCCTTTGTCTCAGTCTCAGCAAAGTCTCTGGGCAGTAGCAAAATGCAGACAAACCTTCTGCCAAGCCATAACACACATCAGGTGGAGTCCAACAACTAATGCAGTCCTTCTTCCCAACAAAAAACTCCCAAGCCTGGTTTTTATCATCCAGCCTTCTATCAGCCTTCTGGTCTCCTGAGCTCTGACCAGAATCCCCTCTACAGAACAGTCTAAGCTGCTCCAGCTCTACACATCCAGGCGACATGTCCAAACCTTTCCAAACTCTGCCCACAAGCCATTTACAAAGCCTCTCAAAAACATGGTCAAGAATAGTCACAGCAAAAGACCCCACTCCTAGGTACCAAATTCTGTCTTAATTACTTTTTAATTGTTGCTGAGACAAAATACCTGAAGCCCAATTTCAGAAAGGAAAGATTTATTTCTTACAGTTTTTGCAGGATTCGGTTCACACTCCGTTGGCTCCAAGGCAGGCAGGTATGGCTGGGCCACAGTTCATGGAGGCTGCAAAAAGCACACAGGAACCAGCAAAAAGCAAGATACACCTTCTTCCTGCCATTGAATTACATCCTGGCTCCACCCAATGTGGGTTTAGGACTGACACCATCAATCCGAACACTAGACAATGAACCATCATAAATGCACAATGCAAACTCATGAGGCCTGGGGGACACAGGCATAAACCATGACATTCCACCCCTGGCCCCCAGGACTCATATACATCCATTATGCAAAAGACATTTAGTCCACCTCCAAGAGTTGCCAAAAGAACTTCCTATCAAGGTCACTTAGGTCTTCTCAGGAGTTATCTTAGAACCATGCATAACACCTCATGGCTCTTCTGTCAGTGTCAGCCACTTAGAAGAGTCACAATCATTGCTTCACCACGATGCTCTCTGTGAAAGCTTGGGAGATTTTTCTCCTGTGACTCTTCTTAGGCACACCTTGCATTGAAGGTGACTTTCCTCTGTGGTTTCATCATCTCCTTGATGAGACAACCAGGGACTCACTGAATATCTTAGGATGATGCAATCAGAGGTTATTTTATATCCTGGGTCTCCACCACCCTAGAAGGGCTGAGGCCAAAATATTGGCTATCCATTTAGCCCATCTGTTTCTCTAAGTTTTGGCTTCCAAACCTTAGCTTTCAAACATCCAAAAGAAGTTTTTCATAACAATACAGTATATTAGAGGCAGTAAGTGTAATATTACTATTTTATCTAAACATGAAACATATTAGAACATTAAATGAATCCTATTTTCTTCTATCCATGGACATTTTAGCATTTGAATACCTACAGTATTAACAGTTGCATATTTTACATAATATATCAAGAATCAGAACCGTACATAGTATTGCATCATGACAATCACGAGATTTTTGTAATAATCTAAATTCTTGTTTGACATAAAATATCCCTTTTAGTCAATCACCCTTATCTAATACACAAGAAGTTTTTTGTGTGTTATTGAAAAACTTATTGATCTTTAGTTGAATGTGAATCTCACAAGTCTTTGTGAGCAGCAAAGGTGTGCACATGAGACAAAAATCTGTTACCATAAGTAATCCCCATTTTACAATCATGGAGTCTTACGCATCCAGAATTATGAATATATGCAATACATCATATAGTTGATTAAAATCAACTGTCATAACCATGTGAAACCTTTATATAGGCATCATCAAACCAAAAATATGTATTACTTCATTTGATAATGACCAATGTGAACATTTACGAATAAATTTCATAAATTTATTTGAGGTGTCTCCTATAGTGATCTGGAGATCATTGAGGTCTCTAATCAATGGATAAAAACTGGTTAAAAATGTTACCAGACAGCTGCTTTCTTATTTATCAATCAGAGCTTGGTCCACCAATCTAACTGCTAAGGGACTTTGCTTATTTATTTATATTTTTAAATTTATTTTTATTTAAAGAAAGACAAAACAAAATAGAAAGCAGGCATAAATAGTACATACATTCAAATTAAAGAATAAACAGTAATAAATCACTACTTTGTGTGTTTTATTGTCCTCTTTCAAATAATTGTTCAAGATACAAAAGTGGACCATATAAATGGGAATTCAAACAGGGAGACTTCAAATAGTTCTGTTCAACTATCTAATAAAAACTAAGTAATATGGCAATCAATCCTATACACTTAAACATGTATGTATTTATCCATATCTTCATATATGTTGAGTTTAAACAAACCAAAACAGATTAAAATCACTGTAGTTGAAGATTAATAGTATTGCTTGATTTCATATCATGACACGATGGAACCAGCACTGGGTACTGTAGTCCCCTTTTTTCTTCTTCAAAGTATTTGTTCATTTCATCATGTATCATAAAATCAGTTCTTCTAAATTATTGATAGGTTTTATGGAAGCATGCATCTTAACATGTGTTACTATCCTTTCTATATTAGAGGGAGAACCAGAACAAAGCAGGACAGAGCAAAACATAATCCTAGAGATACATAAAACTAAAAAGACATATAAAACTGCTGTACAAGGAGTTCTACCATGGTTACTGTGTTGTCTCTTGTTATCATCAATAAAAATGGCTATATCATCGGATAAAGTATAATTGAATATATCACTGCATAACAGTATTAACAGAAATAGAACTTTGTAGATAGTGTAGAGCTACTAAAACAGATATTAATCAAGTCAGAATGGGTATTATAGAGAATCATTTCTATTTTCAGTATAGTTGTCTACACTCTGACGATACTATCAACCTAACGGTTTTGAATAAAATAGTCAATAACAAGAAGCAATCAAATCAGATTTAAATAAGTTCAGTAATGATATAACAGGATAAGTTATAGAGGAATCTGGTTTAAGTTAACAGGAAATTAAAGATGATTACTGTGGTATATCCTCATATTTTTGGGACAGCTGTCTGTGCCCTCAGATTTAGTGCTTGTATAAAAACTGGGATGGAATAAGTTCTATCTAAACAGAGTGGTACAAGTAATATGGGTTTTAATTCCTGATACACTTATAGCAATATCTTCTTCTGTCTTTTTAAAGTCTATTCTTCCCCTTCACTCCCCCAGGGTGTACTGTGTATTTTTGGATCTCCCCAACACCCTTGGTTTTATATTGTGTGGGCAACCTGCTATTTATCTAAGTGTTTCTGAACTTTCTCACTCCAGGACTTGATCTCTAGTTATATTTCTTTACTTATTAAAGCCTTTCTTTCCAACCTACCCATAAATACTGATCCCGTTGCCCCTATTACTCTCTCTTTCCCTATCACATCGAGTTCTATTTTCTCATATTCAATTTTGGTCCAAATAGCCTTCTTCAGGTCAATTATACTTCCTATAAAGAGCATCTCAGTTGGCCCTATTTCTTGATCCACTCTGCCTGTGATTCTCTCTTTTTTTCCTTAATTTAGTGTATATAGGACATCTGCATTAGAAATTATATCCAACCTTCTCTGTCTCATTTCTGTTGTTATATTTTTCTGTCATCAGTTGTCTATTTGTCTTCTTCACTTTGCTTTTTGCTCCATTCATTGTGGCCTCTCTACCACTGTTCCTGATATCTTGGTGATTTTCTCTCTCTTTAGAACGTCCTATAGTATTCTCTGTAGGGTTGGATTGGTGGTTGTGAATTCTCCCAGTTCCTCTTAATCTTGGAAGCATCTTATTTCTCCATTAATTTCTAGGAAAACTTTTCAGGATACATCAATTTGGGCCATAGGTTATTTTCTTTCAGGACTTGGAATGATTCACTCCATTTTCTTCTCAATTTGATGGTTTGTGCCAAGAAGTCTGATGTAATTCTGATGGACTTTCCCTTATAGACGGTCTGTTTCTTGTCTCTGACAGCTTTTAATATTCTGTTCTTATATTGGATTTCTGGTATCTTGATTATTATATGCCTATGTGTAGTTCTGTTTTGGTTTAGGTGGCTGGAGTTCTGTATGCCTCATACAGCTGAGAATCTTTTCCTATGCTTGGGATGTTTTCCTTATTTTTGTGAATAGAATTTGTAGTTCCTTTGTTTGTACTCCTGCTTCTTCATTCACATTCGTTATTCTTAAGTTATACATCTTTTTGTCATCATCTAGCATTTGTATTGTTACTACTTGTTTCCTTGTTATATTTAAGAAATTTTTCCTTTCATGATCCTACAGTGCAAACCTGTCCTCTAGTTTGGATAATCTACCCTAGTTTCTGGCAATTAATTTTGCCAGCTTGCAAAGGAGTTTTTAAATTCATGGTTCTCTCTTTGAACCAGCTTCCTTTCTTCTAACTTTTCTCTATTTTCCTCATGAAACAATTCTCCCCTTTTTTTGTTTTCTTCCCTTTTTCCATGTTTTTTTCTTGAGAGGTGCTTAGCATTTCTTAAATTATTCTATTTGTATCTTGCTTTACTCGGTTAAATACTTCACCTTTCAAATTATCTATGCATTCTGAAGATATTGCTGTATGTCTACTGGGGCCATGTCTGATATTGCATGTTTGCTGTCCTCATTCTGCTTTGCATTTACAGTTCCTGGATCCATGCTCTCATGATTGGGGAATGGGAACCCTTTCTTGTTGCTTCCTCTTATTATTTTTTGTTCCTTCCATACAGGTGTATACGGGAGGTCCAGTTTCTTTGTTTGTTGGTTATAGTTTGTCTGAAGTGCTGATTGTATGTCCCCCCCCCCAGTGCAGTGTACCATGTGGATACAGACCAGGGAAGCCTATGCTGGGCCCGCCCCCTCTGGATTAATCAGCCTGCTGAAGGCTTCACTGCATTAGTGCATTGGAACTGGTATGGGCTAGCCTATTGGTTTCAGCCTGAGGCATGACACAGGTCAGGTAATCCCCATCAATCCCACTTGAGAAGGGAGAACCTGACCGAAGTCACTTCAGCCCCTTGTTCTGGCCAATTTGCCCTGTCCCAGAATGTCATCTTTTGGAGGCTCTATGGAAGGTGTTTATTCCCGTCATTCACCACAGGTCAATGCAGGGTACCCTGCCAGCTAAGCTTGTCAGTTAAGATCACCAACTCCCATCCTCAATGCAAATGCATCTCCAGTGAGATGAAACTGATGAGCTTTTGTGTAGTTCCATAAATCTTGGCTGCATGAGATCAAGTGTAGGAGTGGCAGCAAGTTCAAGTGGCAGCACCAAGACTGTAGCTTTTTCAGTAGAAGCACTGGGACTGTTTTTTTTAAATGGTTTCTCTCAGCTTAATTCTTTCCAGGCTTGGGAGGGTCTATCTCCCTCTGCCTGGGTCTCACTATGCTGTATTATTTTTGAAATCTAAGGTGACATCTCACAGAATCTCTGTAGCCTGGTGTTACCTATCCACCATCTTTTCTCCTCCAGGACTTTGTTTCTTCATCCTAATCATAAATTTCTAAATAATGAGACTATAAATGAGTGATGAAGAACAACATATTGCATTCATATACCCAGTCTTTGTGACATTTTGAGCAGCTGGCAAACAATGTGAAACCATGCTTCATAAATTCACAACCCAAACATATCTTTGATCAAACAATGCAAACTTGGAAAAAGAGAAAAGTTACTGAGCTTAAAATGAAAGGAACAGCTGTTCACAGAGTGCACAAATGGACAAACAGACAGATGATTAGTGTGGATTCAAACAAACACAGAAATCAGCACACAACTTGTCGGGGTCTGTGAGAATATTTAAGTTCCCCAAAGGCCATTTATGTACTTGTACCATGCCTCTTTGTTAAACTAGCTGCCCTCTTAAACCCCATGCTTTTTGTCTCATTGATCTATCTCTAACAGTGGGGTGTTAAGGTCTCCTATTTCAATTATATACTTGTGTTTGGTTTTTCATGTCCATTAGTATTTGTCTCATATAGCTGGGTGCTCCTGTATTTGATGCATATATATTTGTAATTCTTCCTCTTATAGTTTCTCACTTACACATATGTAGTGGCCTTCTTTATCTCCTTTAAACATTTTAGGTTTAAAGTTCACATTTTCTGCAAACAGAATAGCTATCCTGCTTTTTTCTGGGTTCCTGTTTCATGGAAAACTGCTTTCCATCTTTTGTCTTTTAACCTATGAAGTTTTTTTTTTTTTTAGTAAAATGTGTTTCTTGTATACAGCATATTGTGGGTTCCTATTTCTTGATCCATTCTGTCAACCTGTTTCTTTTTATAGGTGAGTTGTGCCCATTTACCTTTTTAGATATCACTGATATGTACTTACTTGACTTTGCCATGTTGTATTCCTGTCGTTGATTTCCTGCTTTTCTCCCTTGTTCAATTTCTTGCCGAGCCTGGTCATTTCTTTCTGTTGTTCTGGAGATTGTGGTCATTTTTATCCCCATCTAGCATGTCTTTCAATAATCTTTCGAGGGTTGGTTTGTTGGACATGAATTTCTTCAGTTGTTCTTTCTCATTGAAGTATCTTGTTTCTCCATTAAATTTGAAAGACACTTTTTCTGGGTACATCGGTCTAAGTTGAAAGTTGTTTTCTTTTAGGGCTTGAAATTTTTCACACCAAACTCATCTTAACCTGAAGGTTTGTGCTGAAAAGTTTGCCTTAATAGTAATCATAGTCTTTCCTGGACAGGTGAGTTGTGTCTTTTCTCTAACAGTTTTACTATTCTGTTTTTATGCTGTATGTCTGGGATCTTAATTATTATATGTTTGAGCATAGACTTATGTTTGTTGTGACTGTTTGGCACTTTGTGTGGCTCTTATTTGTATATCAGAATTTTCCTCATGTTTGGAAATTTTTCTGTTTTTATTTATGTGAATCGCTTAGTTATATCATTTGCATTGACTCATGCATTTTCACTGATGTCTATTAGTCTTACATTGCTTCTCTTGGCATCATGTTGAAGCTTCTGGATTGTCATTTCATGATGCTTTGTTATTTTTATATGTTCTACACATTCATGATCACTCCCTGCAATACTGTCC